AAATATTCCAAGTCGTGGGGTATAATTGAGACACGATTATATACGGTCTTCTGTTCCAGTATCAAGTCAAGTATTTTATGAAGGGAGGTTAAATATCGTATTAATTTTGCAGTTTTTTATTGATAAAGCAAAAGGAAAATTTCCGGAGCATTTTAAAAATTATGTGAGACCGATACTCGACCGATTGCGTAATACTTAGGGAGATTGGATAAATGAAACGGCGAGCGTGAGCCGAGTTGTTAAGGGAGGAAAGTTTGAGCTGTTCGTGCTATAGCGCGGCTCTATTGTTTTAGAGATACTTGGCGGCGCGCAACGGGGGGTTGAAGAGTGCCGTTGCTCGCATTTGCATCCCCATTCTTACGTCTCACTTCGTGACGTTTTGGCTCGCACCGCTCTAATCGTTTGAAACATCAGATGATAAGGGTTGAATTCTGCTCGATTAAGTGCTTCCACGTAAAAAAACATAAATATATAAATAAGTAAATAAAAAAAAGTCTCAATAAATATATTTCTTTAAACAGTTTAGATTCTAAGATATAGCTGGCATAATCTCTAAAAATATATTTTAATCATTTGTATACTTTCTTCAGGTTTCTAACTTTAATTTATCGTGCAGAGTACGAGTATATTGTGAAATGTAATTGGTCAAGGGTAATTTTTTTTCAAGTGTAGGTAGAAAAGCGCAGAAAGAAGGCAGAAACGAAGTTAGCTTCATAGAACGGACAGATGTTTCAGAAAGATTCCTGAGGAAAATACAGTAAAAAGGGATCTCGGAAAATATGATAAATAGTTCAAGTCGTGGGGTATTATTGAGACACGATTATATATAGGGCCGATTGTTCCAATTCCTTGGTAAGTTAGTTGATAGTGAAATCATACGTGTGTCTTTGTCTAAGTTGAAGGAAAGACAAAGACAAACATGATTTAACTAAACAGTTAACTTTTAACTTATCAGTTAAAGTTAAAGAAGTTGGAATAACCGGCCCACGGTCTTTTGTTCAATGTTATCCTGTCTTTCAGTAAAACCGCGTTAAGTTCAAACGTGATAACATCCGACCGAGAAATAAAAGCAGAATCGAAATTAGCTTTAGGGGATAAAAGAAAAAATGGCTACAAGAAAACAATGACTGCAACCATGGGAATCGCTTTTCTACCACATAAAATACCACAAGAAAATGACGTTGACCTGCTGCGTTAGCCATCATAGTCGTCGAATATAAATTCTACCCACAAAATTTGAGTATTGATGAAGTTTTAGTTTCGTGGGAAAAAAATTTAGAAAGTCAAGAAGTTAGTTTGACAAATTCGATTACTTTGAAGATCTCTACCTGAAAAATATACCATAAAATTAGTAGAAAGAAGCCATGCAATTATTGATGATGGGAACGACTAGATAAATTATTAATAACAAAGCTTAACAGTTCTGATCAAACAGTATGTCTGTATTTTTTTCCAAGTTGTTATTATAAATTTTTTTCGAGTTATGCCGGGTACGCTCTTATTAAACAAACTGTATAATGTAAATTTATTGTTATACAATATGTTTCACTAAATCGTTACTTCTAAAGCGCAGATATCAACGCAAATTTCGTACTTTATTTCCAGAAGTGAGTTTGCATTTTCCAAATACAGATAGGGAAACGAGTAAAGGCAAAAATGAAAAGAGTCATACAGCGAACAAATGTATCGGGAAGGAGCATTCAGTGAAAAGGTTAAAAATTCTTAGAAGCACAATGAAAAGTCAGTCCTAATTTGTTTAATAATATATCATTATGTCTGATAAAATTTCGAAAATTTGTAACATCTCCAGTTGGTAGGAAAGTCAGGTAGTAAGGACTGAATTATTCTCGGCCAAGTATTTGTCGAGACGGCTCTGCAGGTTTCGCTGAACATTCAGTTCGCTGGACGTCGTTGAGAAAGCCCAGTCGGAAAAGAACCGCATCGTGTACGAATGAAACGTGAAGTGGAAAACGTTAGAAGTTCGCAGTGATAAAGTAAATACTTGGGGTGGAATCGGAATTATGACGGACAGCAACACCTTTGCGCAAAAATCGCAGTCTGTAAAAATCGATATAGATTTTCCGCCATCGGATTTGTTATCGGTTGTTATTGATATCGAGGGCGACACTTCTGCGAACTTCTTTCCACCGGACGTGAAGATTCAAATCGAAGAGGATACGCCTACTCCCTTGTTAACGAACACCCACTCCATTTTAAAGAAGCGTGAATTGGCCGCCAGAGAGGAATACATCTCATTGCAAATTGAAGACGACTCATCCATTTTACTCGGGGAGAATGATAATAGTGAAGTAACAAATATGATCGTGAGTGAAGGAACAGCTATTTCTGGAAAGGCGAACCACCCTCTTCCGCAATTTTGCGAGAGAGACAACGATGTTCTTTCCCAAAATTTCTCTCAACCACCGGACGTAAGGATTCAAATCGAGGAGGATACACCGACCTCTTCGTTAACAGACTTGCACACGCCTTCCATTCCAACGAAATATCAGTTGGCGGCCAGAGACGAATATATTTCACATTGCTAATAGAAGATTCTTCTACTTTACTCGAAAAGAATAATAACAGCGAGATGACAGAATTATCGATCGATAGATTTATGCAATTCATCCAGCAAATACGAATACAACGAATCTATCGTTATATGAAATGGAAACTTCGGCGGCTTTGGATACTAATGAATGATTTTTCAAATAAATTGGATGTATTAATGGCCGCGAATCCAATAACAGCTGTTTACCGCCTAGCATATATAAATCTATAAAGACTGGTTATTACAGACATTTCCGAGAAATTCGACAAGGTATGGGCGAGAAAATAATTTGATCGATTACATAATCTGAGAAAAATTCTTATCAATTATAACATAAGATAATCCTGTTCTCTTTCTCTCGCTAGTTCTCACTTATATTGTTATCACCCTTTCCTCTCTTTCTCTTAGAATATTATTTTCTCCTTTAAATATAGGACGAAGATAGAAACGACCGGACAATGACGAAGAGGCACATCGGTGATAAATCGACAACAGTTCTTCACACGACTGACAAACGTTCACACGTCGGCCGTGCGCAGCGAATTTGTATTATAGGATAACAACTCAAATATATTTCTTTTATATTCTAAATGTTTTTTTATTTTATTCCAAATCCTTTTTACATGATCATCTGCGTCCCAGTTAGTAAGCATCATAAATATTAATTTTAATCCTCTTCTTGATAAAAAAATATTATTGACCATTCGATCGTTTTCTACAGTTCAGATATAGTAAATGTTCTGAGTTTGCCCAGCGCAGGGTACGGGAAAATCGTTATATCAATCTCGTGAATTATTCATGTTAAGTTTAGGTCAGTAAATTCTCCTGACGAAAAAGTCCTCGATATCGATGTAGCAGTTACCGATCCTTTTTTACCATATATTCTTCAGGTATCCTTCCGAAACATCTGTCCGTTCCACAAATCTCACCTCGTTTCTGCTTTATTTACTCGTTTTTCTACCTACACTTGGAAATAAAGTTACCCTAGAAATTTCACACTCTGTCACGTCGCAATCGTGAGTGTTTATTTGTCCTTTTTGAGGTCAATAGATTTAACTAATTTACCTCGGGACGGACAAGTTTGTGTGCAGTGTTTGTGGGTGAGATTTAGTGTTGAAAGAAGAAAGGGCAAGAAAATGGGATAATTTCTTGAGAAACCAGCTTTTAAATTATTTAATAAATTGTTTAATTATTTTACATACCAGTTGTGGTTCCTCAGATTGAAATAGACAAATTGTAATATTATAATGTGCCACTGGTGTTTGATGAGCGATTGTACGAATTAGTGAATGATCCAAATTGGTGAATAAATCAGATGAGTGAAATGTTACATCTTGATCGTGAATGTTTATGAGTTATCGTTTTCGGGTCAATGGATTAAACCAATTTACCCTGGAATCGGCAAACTTGTGTGTGTGTGTGTGTGTGTGTGTGTGTGTGATGTATGGGTGTGAAAGAAAAATAAGAGAGAAATGAATAGATTTAACCAACTGATTTACTTACGTTTAGGCTTTTTGATTAGGCTTTTTGATTAGTGGACTTTAGGAGCGTTACGTACTGAACAACAATTGACAAACGAATAAAAAGGAGATAGGAGTCAGAGTGGAGAGGTTCGGTTATGTGACACTGGGCGAAACTGTATCTTAAAACAAACCTTTGTTTACCGGCTGAATACAACTGAGAGACTTATATATGAATTCAATGACAACTAGTGTGAATGGCAATTAAAATTTAAATTAGAACAAAATATAGATGGCAATTAAAATTTACAACGAACAATTGATGTAAAGTGTCAAAGATGATTTTGGGCATGTATGATAAGTTACAATAAACCGAGATTTGAATATTGTAAAGCAGTATTGGGAATTAAGTGAGCAGCGCGAACCGATTTCAAAGGCAACCCCCGCACTTCCCCCACTACCTGCCGAAACGTCCGGCCGAGCCGCCGATTGCGCGTGAGACGACCTGCCTCAGGCCTCAGGAACGATCTCATATATGATATAAAATGGGATCGCATCCTTCGTCAAATTAAAATTAAAATATTTATTTATGTTTAAAAAATAATTCTTACTCTCATTGATGATGAAATATTACGTTTTTATTTCTAATATAACAAATTCTCTTTAATAATAACATAGTGATGACAATAATTAAGAATATAATTATTAAAGTTGTGCCAATAGATTTCCACATCACCCATAAGGTACTATTGTTGATGCGTCTTTTTTTAAGTGGTTTCCCCAGTGGGCATACTCCACTAAAAATTAATAAAGATGAAATATATTACTCAGCAGGAAAGCGAAATGCTACATGGTGAGAAATATAAAAACGGAAGGGGAACAATAGGTACAGAGCAAAAAATAGTGTAAAAAATGTTATTTGCCGCAGAAACAGATATTTTCGAGGGAAAAAAATAAAGAAAAAGGAAAGAAAATCTTCTGGTTTAAGTATGGAGGTAGCATGGTGGCAGGGTGTGACAAAACCAGCTTCTGATTGGACGAAGGGTCAGGTAGGAAGATATATACCCTTACTGACACTGACCTCTGACTACATGCTAAATATCTCTTCTAACCAAACTGTCCAAGTCAAAAGACAAGATTCGGGTGTCCAGGGAAATGTTGGTGTGACAAATGTGCAGAATCGGTTGCTGGTTGGACGAAGGGTCAGATAGGTGGATCTGTATCCCTACTGATACTGATGTCCGCTTTCAGTCGTCTTCAGTCGATTTTCTTCAATCGTTGTTGAGTTACTCAGACGTCCACATCTCAGAACGCTCAGGTGAACCGAGTCGCGTTGTGATACTGTGTGATAATACTGAACGTAAGTTCTGTTTTTACGCGCACGACGGAGTTTTAAGTTTCTGTTGTAGTGCAGTCTGATTCCCTCCTCATCAAAAATTTGTGTATATAGATTTTAAGTTACATCTTCCGTCTTTCTAGATTCAAGAATTGCCACTCCTGTGACCAATATGTTCCCGGACGATTCCAAGATGAAATTTGTACCACTGGCTGCATATTCGACCGTTACCAGACGAACTTCTTCGATGCATGTCAAAAGCGACATATTAAAGAGGCCCGACGAACTTTCTGTCAGAAAGGTGAGTAAAGATACATATACATATGTAAGTTATAATACTGTTTATTTGGAATTTTTTTAGCCATCAATAACGTTTTCAACCATTTAATTTCGTGGTTTTCATTCGCTGTGTTTTAGTATGAGACTTACGCCAACTCGTCTGCGAAATACCAATTTACCGATTATGATGAGATTGAGCTGGTGCGTGAAGACGTTATATATGCTGCAAGCTTTTATTATATTATTAAACGTCCTGTAGCAGACAAGGAAAGAGCATCCAAACATAAAATATCTTTCAAACAAGAAGCAGATGTTGGACTGGAGGTAACTGTTACATTCGCAACGTGCAATGTTAGAAAATATCACGATATTAGCGACTCTCCTAAAACGGACGATATGGAAGAGCAGTATGCCTCGCTTGTTCAGGAGCTTCATAATCTAATGGAAACTGATGACGAATATGTAGCAGACAAGGAAAGAGCATCCAAACATAAAATATCTTTCAAACAAGAAGCAGATGTTGGACAGGAGGTAACTGTTACATTCGCAACGTGCAATGTTTCGAGCCACGTATTACCTTTTTTTTTTGGTAACGTAGGGGAAATCCATCATGGATACCCCCTCCCCTTGGGGGGGGAGGGGGTTATGTCGGACTCCTACCGACTAAAACCCCTGCGGGATGTCTACCTGTCGGGCCGTTGGGTGGGGAGTTAGGAGAACTGCTCCCGCATTCCCTCCCCAACCCCCCGGCCCTAGGGCTCAGCCACGTATTACCTATATTAGAATGGCTAATTAGAATGGTAAATTTGAACATAAGGAAATCTTCCAAGCGAAAAAAGTTATTTCTATAATTTATAATGAATTAATATTTGAATTTTTATAGTCATAAATAACAATTTCAACAATTTCAATTATTTAATTTTGTGATTTTTGTACGTTATTTTTAGTGTCCTTTATATGGTTTTTCTACTGGGAATGAACTGTTTGTTGATTTAGAGAATTGATAATCACGTAATTGGAGAGGACCAATCAGTAGAGAAGAAAAAGAAACTTTTAGGATACTCTTCCGCAGAAAAGTACCTGGCCATATTTAACTTTATTCAATATTTTCTTTATAAAGCACTTCATATTATATCAATATTTTATAATAAACGAACGTTATGCATTGTTAATTGTGTACTGTTATACATTATTTATCACCCTCTATTAACCCATTAATTAAAATACAAGTCATTGATCTTTTTGCATAATTAACTCATAATATTCTTTTTGCAACAAAAACCAATTGTATGTAACGTTTACAAATATATAGCTCTAAAGCATCTGCATGAAACTATGTAGATAAAGCGCATATCCTTCATTATAAAACAAGGTAAGTGGATTAATTGAATGAATAAGTGAATTAATTCTCGGAAATATTATTGCCCTTTGGGTCATTCGGCTCGACCTGTCACTATTCACCTTGTAACTTTTTTATTGTTACTTTCATGTCGAATGCGAATTACAAGGGGGATACCAGAAATTATTATGATTATGTTATTTAGTGTAATGTGCATAATTTATATTATAACTTTATCGTATTCTACATTAATAATTTTTACGTCGATATTACGTCGCAAACAGAATCTGCTCCTTGATCTGTTTTTTGTTTTTTTTGTTGTCTCATGGCTGCATCGAAAATCGGAATTTCATCATATGTACGCATTTATATTTGCGCGATATCCTTATACAAATTTATTCATTGAATTCAATTGTCCAATGATACAAGTTAAATATCAATCTCTTTTTAACTTTGTCATTTATTCATTGTAATTTATGTTTATTTTTGTTGCTGCTCATCGCCAATTATTTGTACCTATTCCTTTTGTTATCATATCTTGACGGTTTCCCTCCCAAGTAGAACACAAAATTATGATGACATCAAAGTGACGAGAAGATAATCGAATCATGATGAAAAAATTAGTTTTTCTCGTCATTTTGACGTCATCATGATTTTCTGTTCTGCGTGGGCTTGATGTCGCAAGTTCGATAAATAACAACATATTTACCGAGTTCATAAAACACTATGTAAAATTGTGAATAACACAGTTGCCAAAGATTTGTTAGTCGTTTGCAGAGTCGTGATAAAATTTCGAGCTCGATGCCTTGGCAGTGACGATCCTAAAAATCGCTTCTTAACACTATTGCGACAGTAAATACGAGAAACGTAAAGAAAAAGCTATGAGAGAGATAAAGGATCTTTTCTCTCACAGATCCTTCTTTCCTTTTCATTGATTTCCTTCGCTATCATTCATAAATATTCGCTTACTTACAGAAACATAAATTAAATTCTTCTGAAAAGTTTTAAAAATTTCTTAAGATAAATTATTATTCACATTCACCTGCCGGCTTTATACTTTAAATGAGAAGATTGTTTTCAAAGATTTTTATACATCCCCGAAAATTGCAAAAAAGAAATGTATTACAGCGAGCAAATAATTGTGAGTGATAGCGTATATCTATAAGAACTTTTACCAGTTATAATTTACGAAAAACATGTTCTTCTCTCATTCTTTCTCTTTTATATAATTACAATTTTCTTCTCTTTCAATATTATTTTTCTCTCTAAAAATATGCGAACAAAAATGGCCAGGCGGCGACGCGAAGAGGCGCATTGACCCGCAACAGCTCTTCACGCGACAAACAAACGTTCACACGTCATTCGTGTAAACATACAAAGGATGATGGCCGTATTTAAGCCAAAGGTCAAAACCGCTATAATTCTGCGAAGGATAAAATTTTATTATCATATAATATTCATAATAATATGAACAATCATCGTATATGATCGTTTAATTTTTAGCAGGGTGTAAATATTACTTTCTACGTACTCCTTTATATTTCTTCCTCAAGTGTATGTGTGTTCTCAATGATCTTTTTCAAGTTGATATTTTCGAAGATATTAGTCTGTCACATTTTACGTGCATCATTATTTCCACAGCACAAAAATTTGATCCCGACAAAATTCTACCGGTTTTGATTCTTAATTCAATCGTCCTATTTGACCGCGAGAGTGGGTGCATTTCATTGGACTTGTAGTGATATCTTAAATCTAATCGTGTTCAGGTTCAGGTTAGAATAACAATCAGTGAACTTTCAAAACACCCTCACTTGTTTCTCAGCTTAAGAATAGCAATTCAAGAATCAGCGCATCGTACACACGATACGATTGTATTGGAGAAAGAAACTTTAAAAGACGGGCCTAGAAAGATATAGCGGACTCGGAATATATATGTTAAAAAATATGGCAAAGGAAAAATATAATAGAGTTTTAAGATGTAACAATGTTTCTCCGCACTCACAATTAAATTCAGCCGATAACATTACGATAACAAAACGTATTGATCCGATCTTTCAGGGTTAAAGTCACCAAGGTGTGAATAATTTTGTAAGTGATCAACATACTTTCACACATGACCGTTTAAATATTGAGGGCAATTTTAGTTCACTGCTCACTTCTGAGCCCCGAACTCGTCTCTTAAAATCTACCAAGGGGCGCCAGCGCCCCGTATTCATTGGATTCTACGAATACACGGACGTTATGCCTGCTAAAAAGTGGCTGTTTTTCTTTTTTTACATTTCGTTGCGTCGACAGACATGCAAAAAATTGTCCCTGACGAAAAACTTGTCGAAACTTCAGAAAGAGGGACAATGACTCGGGACATCGTCATCGATCCCGAAGTCGGTACGGGCGGAAGTGACATTCCAAAATACAATCTTCTCCAAATTCGAAAGTACGCGCAACAGAATCAGAAAGCTTATTTCCGAACTGTTCATATGTCCATCAGTTTTATCTTCATGCAATAAAGATTAAATGCCATAAATATCTCTTCTCTTTGTTCCTTATTTTCTTTTAAGATATGGATTATTGAAGACACAGTCCAAGAACATCCAGAAATCAGTTTTCCAATTCTGAGAAAAAACTCGGTCGGTGGTAAAGGAAGATAGTGACTCTCCTGACAAAGACGTTTGCCGGAATGTCAGTACACAGAAAATTTACAATACAGAGTTACGACTCAAATATATCTTTCTTCTTTCCATCTTTTTGCTCTATCATCTATATCTTAGTTCGTATTCTTCGTATTTTCAGTATATATTTATTTTAACGTGGATTTTGACAAAAAGGGAATAGATAATTTTTGTATCGCAAACACACAATGTTGCGATAAGAAGTAATCAAAGGAATAATCACAATGGATAACTTTTGCATTGCAAATACACAATATTCTGATAAGGTAGAGATAATCAAAGGAATAATCATAGCAGATTTCTTTTTGATTTCATAAGATATTCGCAAAATATCTCTTCCTTTTTTTTCCAGATGAAACATTCGTCTTTTACGCCACATCTTCGTATTTGATATACTTTTTTAGGCACTGAAGATGCGAGCCGTAACGTTAATGATAAAGCAAAAAAAAGGATCGACAACCATCAGATTTCACTTTACTTTACGCTTTGTTCCCTTTCTATTCGTCGACCAATTCCCAAAGCATCAGTGCGGCATCGGTGCCGCCAACGGTGACAACATTCTGGTCGTTGTATAAGAATCTGGCACACGCCACCAGCGAGCTGTACACCTTTTCCTCCACGTACTCCGCTTTAGCACTAGTACACGGATATCGGAAGAGCCTCAAGTAACCTTCGGCATCTCCGCTAACTAACATATCGTGAGCAGCTGATCTGCTGGAGGTAGTGACCACCGTCGTCAGAGGATAGTAGCGGTTATTCCACATACCTGTGGACAATTGCAAAGTTTAGTCTGATAGTAGTTTAATTTGACGTAATAATTGATGATTTAAAATTCGCCAGGTAAGACAAATATCGTAAAAGTATATCGCTAAAAAATGGACATGTTTTATATACGAGATAGTGTATAGTGGTGTATAGTGTAGATACGTAGATAGTGTATTGTATAAAGCAAAATAAATGACTACACAGGATGTATCTAAACTCTACTGACGAACCCGCAGGATAGGTATAGAGATCCTCAAATAATTTCTAAGATACAGTTGCCGCAGTCTCAAAAAATATATTCCTTTCATTAAATACTTTATTCGAGTTGCCAACGTTAATTTATTGCTCGGAGTACAGCGTGAAAAATCCTAGAGTGATTTTTCCCTAAATGCAAGCGAGGAAATATAAAAACGAAATCAGGTTTAGGGCGAACAGATGTGCTGGAAAGATACCTGAGATGTTTACTAAAGCAGGTTCCCAGGAAACATAATAAATAGTCAGACCGAGCTTCTCTTTAAAACTACATCATTAAGTCTGGCAACATTTTCGAAATCTGCAAGATCTACCTGTATTTAGTCGAAAAGCCAGGTAGTAAGGGTTCTGCTCGATTAAGTTCTTGTTGGGTCGTTTCTACGTACAAAAAAAAAGAAATAAAAAATGTTTTAATAAATATATACCTTTAAACAGCTTAGCTTTTAAGATGTAGCCGTCGTAATCTCAAAAAATATATTTTATTCATTAAATCATTTACAAAAAAGAACATAAATAACTAGATATATACCATTATAAATTAATAACTAGATATATACCATTATAAAAATTAAAAATTTCTGCCACATCTACGAACTCTTCGAAAGTGTAGACATTTATAAGGTATGTGTCAATAAGAAATAATATGCTTATTTTTAATCCGCTCATTGCGATTTGTTTTCTCTCATTGGTTATCTTCTAAAGGCTAAATCTCAAAAATCAATCTTTTGTTTGTATATGTTTATTCAAATATTTTTACTTATTTTTCAGCACAGTTTATCTTCCAGCAAGTTTGTCGGTTTAGATACATCCTGTATATTCGAGCAACGACCACCTTTCTATTTACGTCATTTTGTGATATATTTTTTGTGATATATACTCGAAATAATTGAGAGCTTTTTGACTAACCAGAAACCATATAACCAACGGTGCAGTTGTGAGTGTACCATTTAACGTCCTTCATGACCAACGGGCTCTTCTCCGACGACAATACTTTGACGTCCCCTTAAAATAAAAATCACGCGACCGATTTGATATGATTTATCTTATACGCAAAGGAGATTACTTCTTTTCTATAACCAACCAAACGAATAAATTCATGATAAGTAACTTACAAAACACGAGATCGTAGTCCTGAGTGACGGTCTGGAGGAAACGGCTGTCGGAACTCCAGTCGAGCTGGACCAATGGCTGTGTGCCACGGATCTTGTTACTCTTCTTGTATGAAAATCCGTCTCGCGACACTCTGAAGAGATATACACTGCCGTTCTGGGAACCCATGGCTACTATCTCTCCGGCTGATAGCGACAGAATATTAAAACACGTTATTACACAAATATGCAACCCGTGGTGATACTCCATGCTTATAGAATTAGATAATTTCAGTTTGTCTTTTGTGCAGTACAGACGAGCGATCGTTAAAAACGGAAGGGGAGATACTTGTATCGTACTGGGATTGTATCCAATGCAAGACAGTGGGGACCCACACACCCGCAGGGTCGCCACGGCGGCACCGGTGTCGGCCGCCAGCACCAAGAGGTGACCCTCCGACGAGCCCGCCGCGAGTGCCACGCCGAACGGGTGGAAGGCGATACAGATGCATTCAAAGCCCACCTGCGCGGTAGATTACAGCGCGAGGTAAACGATAAGTAGCACTTTCAGCTATCGGATATATCTTCCGCGATGAGATTTATTTTATCCAGAAAAAGTATTCTATTTGTAAAGTGATTTTTCCCACAGTTCTCATATTCCAAGCAGAGCCTTTTCCAGAAAAAGGATTTCTCTTTCGATAAAGCGATTAACATGAAGCATTCATCTAAAATTTATCAAATATAGATGGAGTCAGAAGTATATGTATATATATATACACAGGGTGTCCCATTTTAAAGGACCAACTCAAATAGCTCAGAAACACTGCGTTAAATCGAGAAATGCTTAAGACAAAAGTTATTTAGCTCGAAGGGGGACATAGGACAGAGATAGTATTTTGTTTATAGATGGCGCCACTTTCGAGATATTCACTAATTATCAATTTTCTTAAATGGAAATCCCGATTTTTTATTATATCATCTTTTTCTACCAATTAATTTAAATAACTTTTGTCTGAAACATTTTTTTATTTGCTTAATATATTTTGAGATATTTAAGGAAAACTTGATAACTTTTCCAATATTTACCTTACGATATCTCATTAATTATTCGACAAAAGAAAAAATAGTATTAGATTTTTTTACTTTATTTATTATCAAGAATATATTATTATAATAGTGCCTTAACTTTTATTAACTTATCGACCTTTGGAAATTTCAAAATTATTAAATTAATAAAAGTTAGGGCACTATTATAGTAGTATATTCTTAATAATAAATAAAATAAAAAAGACTAATACTATTTTTTCTTTCGACGAATAGTTAGCGAGATATCGTAAGGTAAATGTTGGAAAAGTTATCAAGTTTTCCTTAAATATCTCAAAATGTATTAAGCAGATAGAAAAATGTTTCAGACAAAAGTTGTTCAAATTAATTGGTAGAAAAAGATGATATAATAAAAAATTTGGATTTCCATTTAAGAAAATTGATAATCAGTGAATATCTCGAAAGTGGCGCCATCGATAAACAAAATGCTATCGCTATCCTATGTCCCCCTTCGAGCTAAACAACTTTTGTCTTAAGCATTTCTCGATTTAACGCAGTGTTTCTGAGATATTTGAGTGGGTCCTTTAAAATGGGACACCATGTATATTACTTTTCGCTATAAATTATAATAATTTTTTCAAATTAATTGGTATAACTAATAAGAATAAAGTACAATAAGAATAAATAATAATCCTTTTGAAAAAAGATTAAATAATCTGTGTATGAGAGAAATTTATATTTAAATCAATAAGATTTACATTATATATAATCCCTATAACTTTAAGAATAATGTGTTTATAATATTTCTCTGTTAATCTTAGAGAAATCCTTTTGAGGTCATGCATAAGAATAAAATCCTCTAAAATTTAGATGATTCCGCTTGTTCCGAAATTATTTTATTCCGGGCGTTCTAATACCTTTCCACAATAAATAAAAGGCACTCGACTGTATATAACGTTTTGAAATATTTCTTCAGTAAAAGATTTTCCTTACATGTGTCTCATATTAGACATTTCAACACTTTCTCTAAACGTTTTATAAATATTTTAAAAATATATTAAAAAATTATTATAATATAAGCTTTCCAAATATTGCAAATATGTTTTAGAAATATCGGTATATTTATGACAATTTATTATGACAATTAGCGCGTAATTCAATTCGACTGTAGAAATAATACCGCGTCATCGCTCTGAACTTCTCGAGCTTACTTGTGTGGTCCAAAGAAGCTTGTGCCTTCGCCATAGGGCGATGTTCTTGTCGTGGCCTGCGGTAGCGAACACCTCGTCGTCAGGGTGGACCGCCAAACCCCAGAGTTGTCTACCGTGACCGAACACTACTTGGTTGAACCTTCTTTGCAAGGAACCTTCCAGGATGTTGTTTCGCGTCGTCCCGACGTAAATATTGCCGTCATTTCTGCCAGGACGTTGAGGATATATACTGCGCACTCCACCTACCAATTCTGGTAGCTGCAGTGAAAAATTAGATCCATTTTTAGATGCTGATTGCCATAGGTGGCTGGTTCTTCGATTTATTATGATGGCGCGCGATTAGTCGTTAATACGTATAAACACGAAGCTTTCTGTTTATCACGCTTAATACTCCTTCACATTATTTTAGTCTAAAATAAAGATAATTTAAGAATTTGAAAATAAAAAAATGTGAGAAAATGAAGGAAAAATCGATTACGGGCAAAACGGGAAGAAAACTAGAAATAAAATTAATTCATAGAGCGAAAATTTAAGTAATATATAAATTATAGGATAAGCATTGTAAGATTAAAAACAATTATAAATTTAATGACTCAATTAATTGTTCATAATTAATTTTAACATTTGCAATTAATTATATTTGTAATTATTTATTACGATTATAATTGCTTATAATTAATTATAAATAATTGCCGCGATTATAGATATAACAACAATTACATGAATGAAATGTTTATGGGGAATCTGCACTCACCTTCGTGTCAGTGATGCGTTTATAGTTCTGCAATGAGTCCCAAGCGGCGATCTTGCGGTCCTTTTCACCGCCAGAGAGCAACGTACCCTCCGATAACATGACAAGGGAACTGATACCTTTGTTGTGCGCTTCGAACTCCATTCGCACGAAATACGCGCCGTCCGCGTCCACCGAGTACACGGTGATGAAGCCGTCGCTGTCCGCCGTCACCACGTCGCCATCCTGCTCGAACTGGATGCTCGTCACGTGCGTGCGCGATGGCTGAAGATATTGCAAATTAGACATAATAAAAATTAATCAGGCGCCTCTGGCATAAAACATATTATCTCAGTTGATAGCAAGTTCAGTCTCCTAGCTTTTTTAATTATAATCTACTTTTTAGAGTAGGATCGTTCAAATTGTATCAAAGGCTGAAACAATTGACTGCATACGCTAAGAGTTAAAAAGGTAAGCAATATGTTCCAGATATGGACTTACAGGTTTGATAATGTCGGTCCGTTCGAAGAAACCATCTTTTCGACGATTCCAAAAGGTCAGATGACCGCGTCCATGCGTTATTAAAAGATTATCGTCCAGCGGATGAAACGCCGCACCTGTGAGATCCTCTTGCATGGTCTGCGAATTTAAACTGATAAGAATACACGAAACCTGTCTAACAGACGAGGAATGTAAAAAATGTGAGATGAATACCCACATAGCCAAGACTGCTAAAGACAAATTTTTTAGATTGTGCATTGGTATAATTTTTACAATAATGAGATATAATTTACTGTGTCAGACAGCGTACTTAGAAATCAGACAGAAACCGTGCCGAACTGCGTCGTGATATGATGGCTAAAAGTCGGATAAAGTCGATATTAGGCTGAAGAAAAATGAAAAGAGGAAAGGTAAAGAGAAAAAAAAGAACAAACTTAAGTACTGACACGACGTGTCGACGAAAGGCAAATCGTCAGAAATCAGACTTATCAAAAGACATACTGAGGTAACAGAAGTATTAATCACTTAAACTATAAAATTAATCAAATGACTAATTTCAGGATCATCATTTATCTAGTTGCGAAACGGTTTGAATGGCTTTGTATATATATATATATATATATATATATGTATGTATGCAATAAATAAGTATTATAATGAATTTATAATATTTACTCGATAAATAAATAATATAAATAAACAATATTAATATAAAAAATAAATTTATTTTACATACATATTTAATAGTAAAATTTCTTTATAGTTAGGAATATGAATATAATCTTGTTACTACTTGTTACTATCTTGTTACTATATGTCTAATTAGAGAATTTTTTACTATAGCACGAAAGTTCAAACAGCTAATAAATTTTAGAATCTGGGTCCTTTTTCTACATACAGCACCACCATAGCAAGCTGCATTCTATTTTTGTTACCCTTGTTACTCTGTGTCACACCGTGACGGCACATCGTACACGCTTTTGGCTCGTAGAACTCAAACAATAATAGAGCACAACAGTAAGACAAACCTGTCCTATTGTAAACCTGTCCTTCGTTATACCATGACGGCACGTCGTGTATGGTTTTTACTGCTCTCCTGCGATGGCATTATATCGGCAGATTATACTGACAGAAAGCAAGATTAATGAGGATACAATGGACAGGAGGAGAGTCTTGGACATCCTAGGATTGCTCATGATTTATGATCTGCCGGCATGTTGTCGGTATCCTAATGTTCGGCTAATCTCTGGCTGTTGACATATGTTCCGCATTTTAGAACTTACCGCCACTTTGCCCAACAGATGACCCCATTGCCATTGCCATACCGAAAGTATGGCCTCTCTTCCAGCGTCCACGGCAAGCACGTAACTACCGCCATTCTGTATGAGATAATAAAAATAGCTGTCACTGTTAAAAACGAGAAAAGCAATGAGAAGTTTAACGATGGAAAGTCATCAAGATAAAATCGAAGAAGCTTATCTCCAATGAAATATATATCTCGGTCTTTTTTCTTTACTTAACCCTTTCACTGTTAAATTAACTTCCCTTGAGAAAATTATTAAAATATTTGATCCTACGTTTTTTTGGGTCGCTGATTACGAATCTAAAGTCAGATTTGCAAAATTCAAAATGGCGGACTCAAGATGGCGATTATGATGTACAAAATTAATGAAAATTCCAATTATTATTAAATAATGACCAAGTCGTTATAAGAACATATGATTCTAGACGATGGAACTCGATCGAGCTGGAACAAATTTATGTGAGAAAATGTTCAATACTGCAAATTTATGCTTATTAAAGATTAAACATTCATTTTTGAATAAAATAATATTGATAGTATAGATAAGAGATGGAAATACAGAATGAAAAAACTACGAAAATAGAGCTAAAAAGTGCAAAACAATCCAATTTCGGCCGTTTTTGTAGAAATACTTGTTTATAAAAAAAATCTAACCTGCAAAAAAATACTGGAAAAAAATATATGTTTTTGTACAACATCAGAAAAATATTTGATGAAAATTTCAGACTTCTACATTCAATATTCTCCGAGGAATCAATTTTTTCCTAAAAAAAGCATTTTTCTTCAACTTTAATTTGTTATAAATAATCACAAATGAATAATTAGGTATAAAAACCTATTGGAGTATGTTGAACAACTATTCAGTTATTTGGAAAACTCAAATCCCCGATTAGTTCTTCAAAATTATGCGATTTACAACGCAAAATTGAATCAAGAAAAGGTTGGAAATATACTTCTCACTAACAATGAAAGGGTTAAAGAAATTAATTCGAAAATATTGCTTCTTATTTATGAATAACATTTATTAGCATTTAAGTTAAATCTGCGAAAGATGGATTTACAAATTTTAGACGCGTAACGAGCGCTAATATATCCTTTCTGATTTACGAGCTGAACGCGGAACGGATTTTCATACAAGATCGAAACTTGGGACTGAAAAGAGCGCGCGTCATGCATTGTTAGAGATGAGTGGCTTTTCACAAAGCCTCTGCGGGATGCTTACCAATTGTGAAAACGCAAGCGCCGATACGCCCATTTGAAACTCAGTCATGCCGAACACGTAAAGGGTGAGAAGGGTCTCCGTGGACCAGATGCGCACGTGTGGCTGCGCTTTTCTGTGTCTGCCGGCTCTTTGACCCGACGCCACGAGTTCTCGGCTGGGGTGAACCTGCAGAAATGGCTTGTTTCGTTCACAGTAAACATTTCAACGTGACAATTTTTCCCAGGGAAACTGGACAGTTCCGTCCTCGTCAGGTAACAATCATCCCGATCAGTAACAGTCGGCCCAATTATTTCAGAAATACGATATGGTAGCGACTGAAGGAGGAAAGAATTTCCGCCTTAAAGCAAGCGTCTTATCTTAGAAAAAACTCATGCGGGTAATCAATTGGGTGATGTCCTCGTCAAGTAACAATCATTCCGATCAGTGACAATCGGCCCAATTTTTTTCAGAAATACGATATGGTGGCGACTGAAGGAGGGAAGAATTTCCACCTTAACCTTTTAACGCCTGACTTTTTTATAAGTGTTTTAAGGATAAAATTTGAGTCTTTTTGAACTGAGACTATAAGTAGTGATAACCAAAAAGATATCAGAATTTTATATCTACGAAAAACTATCTTCTGAATAAATGAGTACATGAAGTTTCCGCTTTTCGTCTGTTGGTTTCGTTAGTTTGGCTTTTTTATCGTTTGTTTTTTGTTTATTGGTAAATATGACTTGGATCCTAAAAGCATATACGAAATGAGCAACCTATACAGAGAAAAATGAAGGGTAATCTATATGACATAACTCTGATAGTAAGTTTGACATTTTTGAGCTGAAAGTTTACTATATTTGTGAGTGAAGTTTATCATTCAGAGCGTCAAGCTTATTATTTCAGAAGAATATCTTATCACCATAAAATATCTTATAGGTAGTCAATTATCCCTTCATTTTTCGCCGCATAAAAAACTGTAGGTCACCAGTTTTCACGAAAATAGGTTGATTTCTTAATTCCTGTGTCCACCGTAATGGATTCGTCATTTTGAACTTCTGTATTCTTTTAATTTCACACTTTGCATCTGAGAAAGCTTCCAAATATATAAAGTTATAACAGATACCAATCTATTCATTTATATTGCACTTCTAGATGTCAGTAACAATGCCACGAATAACTATGCTTACTTGGAATTTGACAAAACATGTTATCATTAAAACTGAGTTAAAAAACAGACCAAACCGAATCTACATACAATCTATATACCATTTTTAGAAGAAGAATTCACCTTTACAGTGGTGCAAAGAAAACGAAAATATCTCCTTTTTTGACTAAGTTATGGATTCTTAAATGCGTTTCTGGTAGCTATAGTTACTAGAAGCCCTTAAAGTACCAGTAGGCGTTAAAGGGTTAAAGCAAGCGTCTTATCTTAGAAAAAAAACTCATGCGGGTAATCAATTGGGTGATATCCAAAGCGAGTCGGGATTTTTGCACGATCGAACTCGAAAATCCACTTCCGTCTACCTCCATGCACGTGATATCCTCCGTATGACCGATGTAGTGCCGCTGCGCGTTCTCTTCCCGATCGAAGAGTATAGCCACCGCGGCGACGTAATACAACAATTCGCCGCTGGGCAAGACCCAGAGATTCCGACGGGTGTCGGTGCCTCGATAGCCGTACACCCACTCCAGCTGCAGCTTCTTCTCCGGCGGCGAGTTGTCGACGGGCGGTAAGTGCGAAGGCGGGTAGAAGGAGCGTCTGAGTCCTCTAATTGTCACCCTGGCTGGCTCCTCGCGCAACACCTCCACTACGCTGTAATCTGTACCACCCGAAAAAAGTAATCTATTCGTAAAGTGATTTTTCCCATAGTCTCATATTCTAAGCTAAGCCTTTGATAGAAAAAGGATTCCTCTTTCGATGAAGCGATTAAAGTGAACCATTCATCTGAGATTTATATTAGATATTATTCTAACTGTTTTCCTCTTATTTCAAGAAGATTTCCTGTTATATCAAGAGGAACGCCTGTCGGCGTTTTTTTCCTTCCATCTACTCACACAGAGATATTCTCTCTGTGCATATAACGATCGTTGCTGCATTTATATTTTATGAACAACATCTAGACTATCTAGAGCAAAGGAAAAGAGAAGAGAGATCGTTATTCAGTTTGTGTTTTCCCGTTTGTTCCGTCATGAACGAAATTCAAGAATTTTTGAAGAAAATCAACTTAAAGACATACCGGTCCACATTTCAGCGCAAGTACATACATATATCCATTTATCGTATCGCGTTGTACATTACATTAAATGTCATTTAGAGTACTTAAAATTACAAATTTAAATTTTTTCCTACTTTTTCAGCAGAAAATAAAAAAAATTGAACAAGAATTTTTTCCAAAGGATTTCATAAGAATTTATTTCCTCTCCTTTCCCTATAAAGGAACGTATAATCAGTAAGAATAAAGTACAGTAAGAATAAATAATAATCTTCTTAAAAAGAGGTTAAGTAATTTGTATATAAGAGGAAATCTATATTAAAATCAATAAGATTTGTATTATATTTATAACATATAATTCCTCTAACTTTAAGAATAATATATTTATAAGATTTTCCTCTTAATTTTAGAGGAATCCTCTTGAGGCTATATATAAGAATAAAATCCTCTAAAATTTAGATGATTCCGCTTGTTTTGAAGTTACTTTTTCTTGGATGCATAAAAGTGCGCTGGTTCTCAATTAAAGCGACAAAGCTGATGACAATAAAATTACCAAAGTCGCAAAATTAAAAATATTAGTTGTAGTACTTGCGACTTTATTCAGGTCCTGCTTCTTTTTGACATCACTTGTATAATAATTCTTAAGCTTTTGTTAATTTCATTATTTTTATCGAGGACTCACATTGAAATTGAAACGTGTGAGAATTTGACACTTTCGTTCAAAAATTAGATTGACCGCGTTTTTACCGTTCACTCGAACAACTTCGGAGTCGGCGGCGTATAGAGCTCGAGGTCTGCTCTTGCTGCGTGCCCTTCTCTGACGGCCGACCTCTTCGACGACAGGGGGTGGACCACGCGACCGCGACCTCCGCGCCGGGGACGTCGTGATGGCGCCGGTCACGCCGAGGACCGACCCTGTGCCGAGATAAAACGTGTCTACGTCGGCGAATTCGTTCCTCAGCTGCGAAAAGCTCCTCACCTGATGGCAAATTGCGAAAAGGATTTTCTGCGCTTGATCGATATAAGCAAGGAGCTGCTATAGAGTTCTCCCGCTTGTTCGTAGAGCGAAACTGTAAAATATTCTATCAACTGCGGAAAAAGGGAGAAAAAAGTAGCCTGAAAGCTGGTGCCAATTTGACTCGACCCTCCTCCTCATTCTTTCTAATACGAAACGATTCGCGTTCGTGTAATCGCTTACGCGAATTATCGACTTACGTCACATTGAATGCGAAATCACAGACGCTTGTGATGTAACACACAAAAAGAGAGAGGGGGAGAGAGAGAGAGAGAGAGAGAGAAAGAGAGAGAGAGAGAGAGAGAATAAGAGGGGTCGATGATGTGCTTCGCTAAAGAAAATTGGCGAGACATTTGAAATTCATATATGATCGTGACCTGGAAAAGATGGATCTCTGACCTTTTTATACACGTAGGGCCACATCCGTCCCACTTACACGACCACACAGCCGCACGTTATTCAGAGAGAGAGAGAGAGAGAGAGAGAGAGAGAGAGAGAGAGAGAGAGAGAGAGAGAGAGACGTATAATCATGTAATTTGTTACATTGTCAAAAATACGGGTGTTACGTCACGCTCTACGTCACGTTTTGCCCTTCTCGATCTTTGATCGCGACACACAGATTCGAGCGTCGGTTGTACGGCGAATTGTAGGTCGAGAAAAATATTTCTACAAGCGCACTCGCGCTCGAGCAGAAACATCTCGACGCGTTATATGATCGATCGTATCACGCTACGATCAGCGAGAGAGCGTAAGCGGAGAGTAAATCTCTTTTCACGTTCGCGCGCGGCCCCATTAGCGGCTTCCGTACGCAAAACGCGCGAGCACAAGGCGAGCGCCTTTCGAAAGCGACTTATGGGACGACAGGCAATCGCTTTATTTCGCGGGGTCTCGAGTGCCGACCCCGTTATCGTCACGCTTCTCACACCCTCGTTACCCCGTTGCGGCATACATATTTATAGACTAACGTTGCTCGAGTCGATTTTGCGAGTATGATGCCGATACTTCGGGATTTACATACGTTCCCTTCTTTTCCCTTTTTTTTCTCTTCTCACGGAGACCTTCGGATCACGCACTCGCCGCGAATATAAAAGCGCGCCGACCGCGAATAAGTCGCGTTACATTTGCGAGAGTCAACGTTCAACTTCTCGACGCGTAACTTCTCGACTACGTGGATAAATTGTATAATATAAACAGACATGCTCCTCAGTTTATCATTTTTAATGCTTTAATGTTCGATGCGAAAGTAAGCCTATTAGTTTAAATAATAACTGACCTCTTGTCCTGAAACGGTGAACATCCTCTTAGCTCCGTTCATCTTCAGCACTTGGCCGAGGTCCTCGAGGACCTCCTCGAAGGGTTGCGAGGTACGGAGATTCAGCAGGACTCGGCACTGACAAAGTTAGATTCGTCGTATGTAACAAGCATCGCTTACAATTCCCATTATCGTGTCAAAAGGATTGTCGCGAAATTTCAGAGGCGGCGCTCGACCGTCCACGATCAGGGACGCGGGGGGCTTGCCGCTAAAATGTCGTTGACATAGTTCTATCCGAAATGCCGTCGTATATCATATTTCACGTGCACAACGACCCCCGTATCGAGCGAACGGCCTCTCTCGTACCTGCACGGTGTGATCGTGGTTGTTGACAATGCGGATGACACGGCCCGACGAGGGTTTTCCACCCCCGCCTGGGGGCGGCGCCTCGTCACTGATGGAAGCCTTCCTACTGAGACTCGCCACTGCTGGCGGTCTACTTTGCCATCCGCCACCGACCCCACTTCCGGTCCCTGCGACGCCGCTCCTGCTGCCCCCGCCGCCTCCGGGAGCGGGAGCTGTGTACCAGGTATTGTTCTTCTTCCCGTAGCTGGCCGGCTGTTGAGAAAAAAAAAGGTACTTGTTAGTACAACTTGAGGCATCCCTCGAATCTCGCCTGTTTATCTTATCGTCAATTACTGCGTCCGTGTTGTCACTTCGAGGTCGTTAAGTCGTCGCAACCGAAGGACCTCCTCATGTATTATTCAATTATTGATTTTATAATATCGAACGTCTTACTTCAGTTACGTATTTCAGATTTTTTTACTCAGTCGTTGACGGAAGCAACCCTTCGCGAACGGAATTGCATTATAAAAGTATCGGATATATGTTTGTAAAGTAGAAAGGACGTTTGCACAACTTCTCCCCCACTTTTCGAGTCCCCGTGATCTCTTCCCCTCGCGACGCCGCGTACACGAACGTTCTTAAGGACCTGCATCATCTCGGCCGGCAGCGATATCACTTCGAAGGAGTCGCTCATCAACACGACGAAGCTATCCCAGCTGTAAGGATCCTGATCCCAGGACTCGGCCTCTGAGTCGCTAAAAGAGCCCGTATGTTCTCGCCTGGCGCCAAAGCTCGGCTCCAGGTCCGATTGAGAGGACGAACTTGCTGACTCAATTGTGAAGCCCGACCGTGTCACTCCTGCGGATTCGCCAATTATGTCCTGCGCACCTTCGAGCGTCGATCGCGCGGTCTCACATGATCCCGAGGACTTGTACCCTTTCACTACTCGTCCTACGAATCGCGCTCGAGAGTCTTGAATTTTCGATCTTGATGCTTCGACTGTCAGGCTTCAACTTACTTCTTCCTCAATCGGCCGATCTTCTCAGCCTCAAACTTGATTAACCCTCCAGTCGCGGCGAAACCCTCCGTTTACGCGCGCGCATGTGTGTGTGTGCGTGTGCGTGTGCGCGCGTGCGCGCGCGCGTAAACGCGCGAATTTGAAAAAAATATTTCAAAATAAAAAATTCCTTCGGATACGTCAGGTCGCGATTATCCTCGCGTGAGCCTCGAGTCGGATCCTTCGGAGAAAGGCTCGCGGAACGGGAGGACTCGGTCGGCCTCTCTCTTTCCCGAGAGTTGATGTAACCGCGACTATGTTCAATGGACGACTAGCGGGGTTGCTTGAGGCGTAGGTGGGGTGGAGTTGTATTGAGGAACCAATGCTGCAACATCCCCTACCACCTCGCGAAGGGCCACCGTCGCTCAAGGACAGCTTCCCCCTGGTACGCCACCCTCTTCGCCGCCTTAATCACCACCATCCCTTCTCCGACTGGTAGCACTAATTCAGAATGCTAATTTGAGGAGCAGAGCGAATCACACGGCATTCCTTTTCCTCCTGGAAACTGCTACTTCTTAATGGATATGTTTAGCGGCTTTCGTTTCGCTCGTGTCAGACGGTTGTGAATCGCGCGATTGCTGTTCGATCGCGCGATCCACTTCGTATGCAAACTTTTGAAAGCACGCTTCATGAGCTTCTCGAGCCGCTCGCAATGAGCGCGTCGAAAGGAAGTTTTATCGGCAGCGAAGGACGCGGGTGCGAGGAATCGGCATTTATCACACCGACGATTAAACGCGATTAAGTGTTCGGGAGCTTCAGCTACGTTCACAACGGACAGATCAGTCGGATCGCGTTGGATCGAAGACTGCAGGCAGTTTTCGTCCTGTTTAACCTACTTATCCCGATATAAAACGATAAAAAAGACGAGCGTGAAAGCATCCGCGGAAATTGCGAACGCCCACGCCTCCCTGATAAATCTGTAACTGGATATCTGCCGCGGGAAGAGAGAGAGAGGGAGAGAGGAAACCAGTGTTAAGGCACTTAGATTGATTGGCTTACGGCGGCCAACATTTAAAACATAAGGCCTCGAAGAGGAGAAAAAGGCCAGCGGGGGTGGCTAATAGCCCAATGAATTATGTTACGGTTTCAAGACACGCACACAGTATCTGATTGACAAAATGTTGGCCACCAACATGTGATATTAGGATTATCAGGATTTTTGGGCAACTTTTCGTGAGAATAAATTTGAAGTCAAGCGCAATAACAGTCTGTAAGTCCAAGCACGAAGGTTACTGAGGAGCCCTAAGTATAAAATCTTGAGCAATTTACGCTATAAATTCAATTACCTCTACGTTCGCACGAATTAATTTCAGCTGCCAGTCCAGTTTGAATTTAAATCGTCGCAGGAGAGCGTAAGACGTATTTGTATCTGGCTGATCGACAAGTCGTAGAGATTCGATACAAGGTCGTAGGTCGGCATGATAATAGTAGGTAGGAATGGAAAGGGAAGGAGGATTCTCACAAGGCGAAGGTCAAGCCACCCCCTTATTCTCGCAGACCAGACTAACCGGGGTGGGCCGTCCTACGTCAATGTAATACTTTAACCCCTCTCTCAGGTCGTTAGTATTTCGTTGCTACGAATTTCATTGTGACACTCATTGCGGAACTTTTTACAATACGGTGATACAAGTAAACGAATATCTACTTATATTACTATCTCTCAATGTTAACAAATCTCATCGTTCATTCCTTTAATTAATAAAAAAAAATATGATGTTGCAAAATATATTGCAATACTAATGTTTTGCAGTTTTTCCCAAATAAAGTTCTAAATTTAAATAACGCGTGAGTTCTTCACGACGTTCTCGTATCTACCAGACTATTGGTGTGTCCTCGAGGAAAGGACTCGGTTACTTGAAATGAATGAAATAAGCCAAACAAAAATTGAAGGTAAAAATGTGAAAAGCAATTTAGTGGGCGAATAAGTCGATGTAAGTACGAATATGAATGCCGCTAAACATTTTTTTAGCTACAATGGCAACTTATTTACATCGAGAGATCTTGACCGTAAATGAGTAGGTAGGTAAGACCCTCTCATATAACATTCTCTCAACATCGCTTTTCCGCTTCGCGAACAGATGGCGCTCGAGCTGGGCAAAGTTACCGCTTATCAATAGCTTCTTTTTTAAACGTGCTTTACGAGTGCTTTACGAGTGTGCTCCAGTTTGCTAATGTTGATTAATTAAAGCAAAAAAGCAAGAACCTCTTTCTCACTTGTACTCGCGATATCTATACATCAGTCCTAGTACACACAGTTTTCCACACACACACACACACACACACATGCGTGAAGCAAAATAACTAAATTTTACAAGATTTATTCGCGCATGGTCGAGATAACACGTGACTTCCTGTCATCGATAGCGTGTCAATGAGAATTTCTGATCTTTCGCTGTAGAAAAATTCCAGAGCGAAGAAATTAAATCTCTCTTTCGCGCGTAAATCGAAGCCTCCGCGGTTTTAATACACATGCCATGTATTTGAATTATATTGTATCGGATTATTCTCTTGGGATAAGATCTCGCGTTGTGCTTATTTTCGTCACGACTAAAATATTTCCGTGCTCATAACATGCGCATGCACACGTACAATGCACGCAACAGTCGCGTGCTGTGTGTCACCCGGGTTAATTATAATTCCGACGAAAAAGGATCGACAAAAATCGCGCCCGAGATAAGCGCGGCAGACTATAAATTTCTTCGATAAACCACCGCCTAATGCCTACGAGCTTCTCGCGATTCTCCCCGCGAATTGAATAACGATCGAGTTGCAAATTCGCCAGTCTCGCGATTACCGAGTGAAATCAATGAAAAAAAAAAACAAAAAACAAAAAAACAACAAAAATCCATCTCTCGAGAGACAAGAAAGCTGAGACGATCTCAGACGTGTTCCACGGAAATCCTTCGAGCGAGCAGTGCGTGTCGGCCGGCAGTACGTATTTTAATTCGTATCATTACGCCGATGCGACAGCTGATACGCGGCTGTCGTTGCGAAGTAATTATTTAGAAACGCTCACGGCCCAATACACAACTTAACAGAAAGCCGGCTCAATGGCGGATCTAAACCCGCCGATAAAGTCGCCCGTATAACCGTCGCGTCATCTTAATCGTCAATCTCGGCTGCTTTTCCGATTGCGCCTAATCGACGATGATAACGATATCGTCGCGAGCTATCGACCCTCCCCCCCGCCCCCGTGTGAATGTAGACGAAGTACCTGTGTTTTTTCTTTCTGTCGACTGTCCTTATTGACGAAAAGAATCACGGGACCAAATTCGGTTCCCTTATTTTATTTCGATACATCCATGTTTGCAACGAGGAGAGAGAGAGAGAGGGGGAGGGAGGGGAAGAAACGTGTAACTCATACATAAACTCGTTTGTGTACACAACCTAGTTACATCTGTACTAATTATTCGGTTTTCGCCTGTTCGTCAAACTCGTCCGACATAATTGGCTCGTTCGCATGTCTCACACGCGTCCTTAATTAACTCCAATGTTCAATATTTACGGGCACACATTAGGGCATTAAAAGCCTCTGAGAGCTGTCTCGATCGTCTTACCACCTTGCATTATTCCTCGTCGAGTCATACGTGACGTGAAGGAAAACGAGTGAGCTTAGTTACAATCGTACTTAATGCAACGAGCAACATTTTACGTGATACTACGTAGCTCCCCCTCTCTCTCTCTCTCTCTGTCTCTTTCTCTCTCTTTCTCTTTCTTGCCTCTCCTTCGCTCGCTCCCGCCTTAACGCGAGGTATCCTTGCGATATGAAAATGAACAACGAGCGCGTACTTATAAGTTGCGTGACGGCGATCATGTCTCGTGATTCAAAATGTGCCATGGCGATTACAGGAAAACAATTGCCGTTGGTCAAAGGAGCGAGGAAGCAGCAGCGACTCCGCGAAGGCAAAAAGAGGGTGAGAAGTGTCCGTGATATTGCTTATTATTTGGTAATGCATATTATATTCGCGCGGGTATCCCGTGTGAAAAATTTGGGTTAGCCTCCTTGGAACTTCCTTTCCTTAATTATGCTCTTTAATTAATTATCGATCGGCGAGGTTTCCCACGTGAAAAATTTGGGTTAGTCTCCCTGCAACTTCCTTTCCTTGATTATGCTCTTTAATTAATTATCGATCGGCGAGGTTTCCCGTGTGAAAAATTTGGGTTAGTTTCCCTGCAACTTCCTTTCCTTAATTATGCTTTTTAATTAATTATCGATCGGCGAGGTTTCGTAGGTATGCGATGCATTATTAAAACGTCTCATGTGTGATTAATTTCTGACTCTCTTCGCGAGTTGCAATATTTATCGCTCGGATTTTTTTTCTCTCGCTACACCTTTTCTCAATTTTCCTTTTTCTACTTGTCGACCGGGCGAATCCTGAAGTAGTGTATAATGTATTAACAAATCGTCAAAAATATATTAATAAAGCGTAACAGACTCGGGATATGTTACAACGCTCATCGTTCGTTGGATTTTTCCACCGCTCATTCGGCACGATATGGAGTGTAAACATGCTACCCATCAATTGCGGAGACATCAATGCGTGGTTCGTCATAGATTTTCCGAGCACGAGCCTCAACCGGAAGCGTGTCATGGGAAAAGCATAAAGAAGGCAGTAGAAAAAGCGAGAGAACGGCGGGGAAAATTGGGGCGTACGCCCAACGCGGATAGAAAAACACAGAATTGCTTCGGGTTGACGAATGGTAGACTAGATTTGGAATTTATTGTCGGAAAAGAAATTCCACGTGCATGGAAAGGTGAAAGTTAGCCTTGAAGCGTTCCAAGTTAATTTTAAGTAAAAGTCAAACAGCCGAAACTCATTTGCGTCACGTATTCTTGTTTAGAAGAAAAAAGCGGAAACATCTGTTCTCTCACACAGTTTATTTTCGCAAATAACGATAAACGACAATTGGGACGTCTCTACGTGCGGCTGCATGAAGGAGGGTCTTGGCGTTGACAAGTGGATAAGTCGACAGGAAAGTCCGCTTTACAAATAACAAACAAGATATATTTGTTAACATCCGTTTGGGGACACTCTCGTTGTCCCTTGCAGCTGAAGGGGTTGAGAGTGAAGTCGACGATGGCTGAGGAGGAGGTAGGCCGTGTGGAGAAACTCGCTGTTTATTGATCCCAAGGGGCTGACCAGCGGTCAATGAGATACGGTCTTTCCCTCTTGCTCGCCACCCTCCTGCAACGGCCTCCTTAACGGAAGTAGGAATCGCCGCCGTACCTCTACTTCGTGATTCATGCGTTCCCAGGTGTTCCAAGTCAACGAAGAAAGCGCCGGTCGATGGTGAAGTCAGCGAGGGTAACTCGAACAGAATTCTCGCTCGGATTTTTCATCGATTCCTCCTTTGCAGAGGAGATTGGTCCTCATTGATCGCTGGCCGGTTCATTAAGGAAATCAATAAACAGCGAGTTTGTCCTCTAGGCTGATTTCTACTCGAGCTTTGAAGACTTGGAGAGAAGAAGTTCGCAGACCCTGCACGTTTTGAAATGTTTACCAATTCCAAACATTCTGCAAGTACAAAAGCTGAGTAGCTCTCGAGGTCGGCTTCGTTCCGTCGCAGGTGCAGAAATACGACGGCTCACGATGAGATCCTAAAGTACGGTTATTCAGAAGTAAAGCAAATTTACTTTCTTCCCTAGGCGGGCAATCTTCGTGAACGGTTCGAGTTTCTCGTTGCACTTTGCGTTCCGAGGATTGCAACTCTCGGTCGTGCGACGCAATAGTGAGTCGTTTGACTGTAATTGGGTCACCAATAACACGACAAGTACGAGGAACACGCGAGAAAAAAGTAATATCGCGTCGCGAAGAGGGTGAACGAACATATAATAAAAGTCTAATTAATGGCACGGAAATCCTTATCGCAATGCGAGGTGTAAGGACGTATAACGTCAGAAGTGATGATGAAAATGCATAAGAGGAGGAGGATGAAACATGCTATCTCACGTTAATGGCCGAATAATAACGCGCTTCATCCAATTATTATCCGTCTCGGTAAAATGTCTACGAAGATAATGAGATATCGATGATAAGCCCGAATTAACGAGCAACAGTGACAAAGTTTTCTGCAAATTGAATCTGAGAGATCGAGCTTCTAATATCTTACTTAATTTTAGGTATTTGTAGCGCTTGAGATTAGAATATAATTGAATTTTGCTGGATGACGAAAATGTGTGTGTTTGTGTGTGTGTGTGTGCGTGGTATGTGAATCCGAAGCGAAGACAGAGGGGGGAGAATCGAGGGAGCTAAGAACAGAAAGCTAGAGAAAGGAGGCGAGAAGAAAGGGGGAAAGAATAAACGCGGTGTCTCCGCGCAAACTCATCCCCACTCGAAAGCAAGTAGCCCTTTAAAGTCCCCTTCTCGCTTTCCCCACTCTCGCTAGTCCTCTCCTTCGCACTTGGCTTCTGCCGCTTAACGGAATAAATTGTTTCCCCTCCACCTCTGTCTCCCTTTTCACCCCGACGGGAATTCTCGGAGCGCACGAAACTATGTGGAGCCACGTGCTTTCAGTAAACAACGGCGAGATCGCTTGTGCGCCGTCATTAGGAACATTAGAATCTTTTATTTGCACTGCCACTTATATTTCTAGTTTTTTTCAAGGAATAAATTAACGGATAAATCTCTGTATATTATTCCGAAATAATTCTCTTTTCAGGATTTTAAAGTAAAGTTAGCTACATTTATTTATTTTGTTCGAGGTAAAAGTTTCCTCAAAAATATTTTTTATCACATACTTTGAAAATAAGAAAGGGTGTACGCTATAATGCGTTGGACACTGATCGATTAAAATCTTAGTTGACTGAAATGATCGATAAATCAATAATCAAAGTTAGTCAGTCGTCACATAGATAATTATGAATAATTTAATTGTCAATCAAATCGAAGCAAATGGTCGAAACAATCATTACATGAAATCATGATTTACTTGATTTTGATCATTTTTATTTAACCAAAATTTCAATTGTACACCAAGCATTACGTATGGCTGACATTATATAATTCAGACCCATTGAATCAATTTTTAATCTTGTATATATTTGTATATATTTTATAAAGCTAAAAATTATAGAAAATTATAGAAAAATTAAATTATATTATAGAGAATTATTTTATAGAATTATATTGTAGAATTTATTTTATATAATTATAGAATAGAATTTTATTATAGAATTATATTATAGAAAATTAATAAATTATATATTATTATAATGAATAACTAAAATATTATATTATTATAATAAATCAATTAAATTATTACAATGAATAAATATTAAATAATGCTTATATTACAATTTACACAATCGAGCATATGCTTCACGTGATAGATATATACAAAATAATACGAGTTGAATGTGCATCGTGCTTGCCAAATAATCATTGATTTCGGTGCTATTTCGGGTGGACAAATTATACAGTTCACCTCCTGTACTTTGAAACCATTCGGGCTTTCCTGGCTAATCCGATAAGATTGGTCGCACCTTCGATGCAGCAATCAGAGTGAGCATGAAACGGAAGGGTGTGGGCCATAATATGAAGTGACGTAAATGGAATCGTTCCATCATCCATTGGCCCAGTATAATCCTAACGAACAATCTGGATGATGCGTTCTGAGCAAACTATCTGCTAATAATAAGGGAAAAATCTAGGGAAGAATATTCTCGTAATACGCGATTGGTTGCGGAGATAATTACAGACGTATCAAGAGAGATCGTTCGATTGTCGATTTAATTACCGTCTCGCATAAGGATTCAAGAGGAGAAATTTGAATCGTTCGGACTTTTTGGACGAGAAAAAAAATGGCGGGGAGTACGAGCGGTTAATAAAATGTAGCAAACAACAGCGCGACTTAACGAACGTGCTGCCGCTAAATGTCCACGAACGTTTCATAGATCTTTTTTTTACGCGAAAAGCTCCCTTCAGAAGGGTCGCGATACGACGATTTATAAGAATGCTGCGTATAATAATGCCGACACAACGATGACGATGTGTGTATCTGGCCCAGATCAGTTCTTAAAGCAGGCCGCACGCAACGCGCGATTGTATTTGCTCCACCGCCCCCTCTTTCTCCCTCTCCTTAATACCACGACGATCTACATAAGAATCTTAACCCGGTGGCCCAGTCACTCTTGACCCATATATGATGTGAAACGTCAATTATCCGCAATAACAGGAAGAAAGGACAATTTCGGCAGACGGATTTTTCAGAAGCGCAGCGATATCAAATATATTACGTCGTAACACATTGCAAAAATTCACGAATTTATCAATCACGTTAGTTCCACGATTGAAAGTCAGGATACGAGGACGTTCAGAATATTTGAACTTGGCCATATAAAACATGCGTGCAAGATGACTCGCGCAGGACGGCAAAGTTAACAATTTGTTTTAACATCTGTTACTTCTCGCGAAATTGTACGAAAGGACAATATTATTCTCAAAACATATTTATACATCTGTTATAAATAGTTACATTTGAAGAAACTATATCTTCGTTGTTAGGGAAATACTAATACAGGATAATGCACGCTCGGTTCTGTTAATTATCGGGAAAGGGAAAGGGTGGTTTAACGCGAAAATATCCGTTTGCAGTTCGCAGTTCGATGGGGTCGGTTGCCCCTTAAGGAAGACCGGTGTTTACACCGTCAGTCAAGTTCATGAATATCGAGATTGCTAGCATGCCCTCGCGTGATTAACACTTTCGCTATCTTTTTGATTCTTTATTCAGCGCTAGACACATCTCGTCTTGCTCTATTTCTTTGCGAACGACTCGTTAAAAAAACCGTGTACGCCTCAGTGTAGATCTCATTTAAAGTCTCTAACACATTTTCTGCCTTTTCATAACGTAAGGCCTCGGAGGTGATGAGCAAATAAATGTTGTACTTTACGTATAAGAGATATCTCGCATCTGTCCTTCTTTTGACGATTGAAAATATTATCATCATCATCGGTGCCCAGCAGATTGAAACTTTCGTCGTAGATATGTCTGAGGCGGAGCGATGCGGTATGCTTTGAACTTGTTGTCACTGTCAATACTGACGAAGGTCACTTACCTTGAACGTTTTGTAACTGGACACTACGTAGGAGGCGCCGTCTTCAAGTTCGTCGAGGTTGATTTTCCGGTCACCGTCCATCGAGAAGATATGACGCGCGCCTCTCGGTAGGTCCAGTCGCAGGGACAATCGGTCCAGGAGAGCCTCCAACGAGCCGATATCGCGGCCGGGCTTGAATCTAAAAGAATGATTACGATGAACATTATTATTATCATAATACATCAGAATACACACGCGCGCCAAAATGAAACAACTAGCAAAAATATTTACAAAAGCAAGATCTCCAGTAATTCTTCGATATCACAGAACTAAGACCCTAAAGACCCTAAACAAAATTCAAAGCACTTAGGAAGCCATGACACATGTTAATTAGCCGCGTTCAATGCGAATGATCCCGCTGTAACAGCCGAGTCGCGCCGAGTCGCTGATTGCTACGCGAGGGAAAAATTCTCACGAGGGGCGAAACTGCGAACCGGAAACGGGCATTTCGCGATAATCCGCGAGAGATCCTTTCGGATCCTCACGAGACGTCGTCGCTGGCGATTTCCCGACGAAAGTGCGCGCTCCTCACCTGAATTCCACGCCGGGGAAGTAGGGGTCGCCATTTTTGTAGAAGGTGACTCTTCTCGCCCGCCAGTAGCCGAGGTTGTTGTATCTCGCGCCGGTAGACTCGTGCTGCCGGCTCTTAGGCCTCGGCTGCTCCGACTGCTCCGGAGGCGGCATGCGGGGACTGGAGGGTCTGCTTTGCCTCCAGTAGCCGGCCATGCCGCCTCCACCCCCACCCTCACCCGCCAACATACCCCCGATCTCCTCCCGCACCGCAGTCGTTACACCCTCCACCGCGATTCCACCCTCCTCGTCGTCTTCCTCCTCTTCCTCCTCTTCCTCGGCGTCTTCCTCGTCATCATCGTCCTCGTCGTTCACTCCCGGCATCGGCGGCGCCGCCGTCGGGGGCGTCGGCGTTGCGGTGCCGCCCTCCTGCTCCTCTTTTTTCATCGCGGCACCTTCGAGCAGAAAGAAGGGAGGGAGTCAGGAGGGTCGCAGTGTTGCTTGATAAGCGACTTGTAGTCGACCGGGAGAGTGACGCGTCCCGAAAATGACGAATTGCGGTGGAAGTATGAATTAAGGTTAAGAATGCGACGAGAGGGTAACGGAGAGGGTAACTTTTCTATAGGACTTCTAAACTAGTGCGATAAGTTGGACTGAGACAGGATATGTTTCCTCTCATACTAACTTATTTTGCACTAGTAGTAGTGCAATACCAGTTCAAAAATTCTTTGAAAAAGATCCTTTGTATACAAATTTATGTATCACATATAAGGAAATCGTAATTTTTAAATCAGCAGCTCGTTAAGGTGCGGTATGGAGCATAAAAAAGATATATCGTGGCGGACTTATTTCTTTCGTAGGATCATCTGAGGAGGCAAAATTAAGATGAAAGGGCCATGAACTGATGCACTTCAGTTGATGCGATTTCGACAGCATAGCAGTCGATTTTACAAGATAAAAAGTCAACAGAGAACATGTTAGCGCTATAAAGCTATATTAAAAACCATTATAGCCTAGAAATGTCATCAAAAATGACCGCGCGAGTACCATGAGCGAACTATTGAAAATGCATTTTTCCCATCACGTCAGCGCAAACGGAACCCGAGTAATTATTTTCTCACGGGGCGACGGACTCCTCACCTGCGTCCTCCAACGTCTTCACGTCCGCGGCGGCTACACTACCCCCGTTAGCGTCGATCCCGTTGCCGCCACCCCCGTTGCCGTCAGTTATCGTCGCTGCCGCCTCTTCGTACTGCCCCAGTCCGCCGGAGCCGGCACGCGAGCCCAACTGATTTTCAGTCTCGATCATCCGCGCGAGGCCGCCGCCACTTGCAGCGCGTCCCCACTTGGCTGGCACTTTTTACGTTTACGGAAAAGAATGAAGAAGATGGATCTACGGGCAGTGAGAAGCCTGCTCGTCGGATCGATGCATGCCACGTGGCCAGCCGGTCACAGTCTCTACCTGGAATGTCAAGACAAAATAATTATGAAAGCGATGTACGAAAAGAAACATGTTAAAGCACCATAAAAAAAAAGTCGGTCGAGGAGTGATCTTCGAACATACTCTTTCTTCACTCGATCCTTCTTTTTTTATTCTCCGAAAGAGTGACCACTTACAATCGGAAAAGTCATTGCTCTATCCGATCGATAGATCGATCTCTCCTAAGAGATTTCATATTAAATGATTTTTAAACTCACTCCCTTTTCATTCTTTTATTAAGTAACCAAGAAAGTTCGTGCCGTTTTAGTCAACGGAGATGAATAATAAATTTCCGCAATAATTAATTCCCATAAGTGTTATATACCGGTAAATTCTCTGTTAAATGAGCTTTTATTTAGACATATACAGTCTGTAAAGTAAGAGCGTGCACGGCATAAATGGCAGTTGGCTTCAAATATCGTCCTAGTTTTTTGTGAGCCGATAGATGAAATCTTTGTCGTGAATGCTTTGTCACAAAAGATTCAGTTGGCGTCGAACTCTAACCTGAGAAACACGTTAACCGCCATGAGTGCCGCATACGTATCGCGCTACGAGGCTGTGTTTCTTTGTTCCCACTCCAAAGGACCGAAAATGTCATATGCAGTGGCTACTAAATACATGGGAAAGTCAAAATCGTTCGTCGCTAAGTGCGTTTAGCAATATCAGAAGATCAAAAATATCGATGACTTGCCAGAACGTGGCTCGATAGGCAAAGTGACGCCGAATATGGAAAAAAAAATTGTAAATTTGTTTAGACAGAAACCCGACCTTAATACTTAAAATTTATGAGAAGTGTTTGTTGCCGACTGCTGAACGATGCTTCATAAAAAAAAACGAAGACTGGATCTTACAGGAAGACAACGACCCAAAACACCGGAGCAAGCTTTGCACCGAGTGGAAAGAGCAGTCTGGCATCGTCACATTTAATTGGCCATCGCAGTCGCCAGATGCAAATCCCACTGAAAATGTGTAGGCATATCTCAAGCACAAGCTTCGAGGAAAAAAAGTGTGCACTTTGAAGCAGCTGACACGACAAATTCGTTTCATTTGGAGGTCTTTACCGAACGAATACGCAGTCAACTTAGTGGAAAGTATGCCTCGAAGATGCCAGGCAATTATCAATGCCGGTGGTGTGACTGGACTCATTATTAATGGTATAGCATTTTTCTTCTCATGGAGTACAACAAATCCATGTACTTAAAAATCATTAAAAATAAATTTTTCTACACATTAACCCGTGCACGTTCTTACTTTACAGACTGTATAAAACCATACTTTAATTGATAGCGCACGCATGCGCAGTTTGACAATAGCAGAACCTAGAAACGGCATGAACTTTGTTGGTTGCCTAATAATTATGTGCAGCTAGAAAAATAATTTCTTCGTTCAATGGATCGAGAGAAGATCGTTTTCGAAGGTGCAATTTCGTGAATCCAAAATGAAGTCGAATCCTTCATCGAATCGTATCAAAATTATTTCAAAGTGATAAATTATTTCAAAGTGATAAATGAGGGTTGCGCAAAGTTTTCCTATTCATTGCAGGGACTGAGAGAAATTGCAGAGTCGCTTTAAATCAATTCCAGCTGTTGTGGAATTAAAGCCGAAATTAGAAAGCCAAAGGGAAAATCCTGGAGCGTACTTCGTGTCTTGTGTTTTTATTCCGGTGTTTTTATTATACCACCATGTTATCATCGCGCTACGTGAATCACTATGGAAATTGAAGAATGTTTCGTTTCGTATTCCCGGTGCTTGCGTTGTACTTAAATTGCCCGGGGAATTAGACTGATTGCACTGATCTTCTTTGTGTGTCCTGTCTATGTGTGTACGAACAGCGGAGCGTCATGTTATTTGACATTTCAAGGCCCTTTTCGCTCGCAATGGCACAATTCCGTCACTCTGACGTATGTTGCTACAAATATTTCCGTTCCTCGAATAAATTTAACCGGTTAAACCGACCGCTGTCGCTTTACGGAGAAAAATAAGGGTTGATTGGGTATACGGTTAAAGGATATAACTATACAAGCTGACCATTCGTCGCACGATCGTCAGGGATTCCCGATCCGTCATACGACAGGATGCAATCAAGTTGCAGTTGCTAATGTTTCTCTTCGGCCGACCGAATGCCAATTTTTATCATCGTCGATCGCAACCACCACTGCAGGTCCATCGATCAATTAGCTCGTCGGCCATTGTTGAATGCGCGGCGTTTCGTTAATTCTAGCGATTTTGCCCTTTTATGCTCGCGTGTAATCTCAGATTCAGACGTGTTGTTCGCTCGTTAATATACGCTATGCGTCATTACCGTAAACATCGTTACATTCTTAACGGGGGTGTGTTTGTCAACTCTCTTACTATGCGGCAGAACGGGCGAGAAGGGCGGGAGGGAAGGATCGTCACGTGATCGTAGTATCGATATTTTGGCGCAATTACGCTTATCTCTTACACAAGTCGTCGAATTCCATTCCGAGTCTAATTTCTGGCCCCCCTTCCTCCCCCTCCCCCCCGGCTATCCACCGTTGTTCTCCGCATGCACGTCATGCGTGACACATCACCCCTCTCGAATGTAAAACAGCGCTGACTGCTTTTTACGATGATTTATACGCTCATTTCTCATCTCGCGTTATTTAGAAACTAAGCCGCCGTCTCGGCTAACCGACGCGATCCATCAGAGCAGCGAATGATTCCTCGAGCAGAGGCGATGCAAGACAACATCACGCGACAACCAAAACGCAAAAAGGCAGAAAACAATATCGCGCAATAAACAGTATCGCGTCACTTCTGACTCGGTTCAACTGAATTATTTCGAGCGTCATTTCCATCTTAATCGATTCAATCGTTTAGACTGCATCGTTTCGAGATCTTAAAAAATTTAGCAATGGTTTGTATTTCCATTTGATTAACTATTCCTGCATAATTCATTGCGGTCGAAGGGATCATTTAGAAAAGCGCCGCTGCGATACGCACACACACACATGCGCCATCTTGCAAATTAAATACTTACATCAATGAGCGGGTATATGTATTTACATATTGAATGTAAGCACATGTTAATCAGATAATAATAAGAATAAGATCTGATTGAGTTAAAATATCCTGCTGGTCATTTTGATGTTTCGAGGGAGATTTACGTCACAAAAATTATCATATGGTTCCTTTAATCCGACCTTTCTGCGAAATATTATCACACTCAATCTGAATAGATTAGTCGCACGAAATCTGGTGCTTTTCGCATTTTTTCGTCTCCCTTCTTTTAATCCATTAATGGCCAACGTCCTATTCTTAGAGGAAAGAAATATCCTTATTATTTGTATCAATATTAAAATTTAACTGCTTGTCGATGCACATACATTCTTCATTTTGAAGCAATTCAATAATTTTATTAATAAGTGTGCTATATTATAGCTATAACATATTAGGGGGAAACACGGAATGTTTATATTAATTACATATTAATGTTAAGTATATTATGTCCTTCATTACTTATATATTAGTCGCATAATTTTTATACTTTATTTATTTATTTTACTTAGTTATATAATTTCTTTTTATAACCAATATAAATATAAAAAATATTTTTTAGTTTCATTCGTTACGTGTATATTAAATTATTATTTACGCTTTATCTTTATATAAGAAATATAAAATTATCTTATCTATAAATAATTAATCTGCAAAAACTACGCTCTGAAAGTTACAACATTTCTTTTTAAACGCAAGATTGCTTTTCTCTCTTTGAAATGTTACTCTTCGTCTAAAATGTGCGGAAACTGAATGCGCTGAAAACAGATTCAAATTTTACCTGTAAGGACTCACGCAGGATGAACAGGTAGAATCTTCAACAGGCAGCACAAGCTTCACCCTCGCGAAGGGGATAATTAAAAGCAAAGATGTTCACTGTGTAATGCGGTCGGACCGATGATGCCGGTTCCGGATTCTGATAGGATCTTCCGCGGATCTACCGGCGCGTAAAGATTTGAAGTTCACTGACACCACCCGGCGTAAACGTTGCGGAGCGAGATCGCGACGGCTGCTTCACACGGAGGATCGTAAAAATCGCCCCTTCGACGATGAGGTTCATACGGATTGCCGGCGATCGCCGCGACAGTATACATATTCATGCGTCCTTCGACGATGGCGTCCCGACGTCGAATGTGTGGCGATCGTCCGCGCAACCTCGGCATCGTCGTCGTTCCTCGTCGTCGTCGTCGTCGTCGTCGTTGTCGCCGTCGTCGTCATCGTCGTGGCGGCGTCGACGCCCGTGTCAGTGAACCAACCAGTGGCGGTGGTAGAACTTGTTGCGCGGAACGAAACTGAATGTCGATGAAATAACGCAAGAAACAGAGTCCTTTACTTTATTCCTGCCTGCAAGCGTGAAAGTCTCCGGAAGAGAGGTAACAGGGAAGAAACGACTTAGGATTCAGATCGGAAGGAATTATATGCTCGGGAAGAACTGCTCGAAGAATTCAGAAACATTCGCGCGAGATCAATACCTGTTCGCTCCGTCGAGAAGAAAAATTCACGCACAACAATGAATAGAAGCAAATTTCTTTATCGTTCTCTCCGCGAGAATATTACCTAACTTTATAGTCGATATATTTTCTCGAAAATTATCGTCATTTACAACCGTTTTCCCTCGTGCTTTCTTCAAAAAGATATCTTATCTTAGAAAAAGATCTCTCTTTCTCAAAACAAAATAGACGAGTGCGGCCGATGAGGGTGATTCGAAAAATGTTGGAACGGAGTCATGTAAAAATATAGCAAATTTATTTCCCGTTAACAAATAAATACTAACGTTGAATACGTTGAAAACAGAAATTGCTTTTATCACGCCATCATATCGATGTTCGTAGGTTCGGGAAAAGTTTTTCCACCATAATTGCACATACTCGGTATAACCGTCGCGCGATCTTAAGCAGGTCAGCAGGCTTCCGTGTCGCCGATAATAACCTTTATAATACGAGATTCAGTATAATAATCGTAGGAAGAAAGAGAAAGAAGGATAGAAAGAAAGAGAGGAAATAGAGAAAGAAAAAGAGAGAAAGTAACTTTACGCATACATTTTCACATCTTTGAAGCACATTCAAAGAGGAAAAGAAATTCAAAAAGGAATATATAGTGTAACTTATAAACATTTGCAAAACTGTTATTGCAAAAATATCATAAAATCACTTAAATTTATTTTAAACATACTTTTTCTACTTTATTTCTCTCTCTCTCTCCCTCTCTCTCTCTCTCTCTCTCTCTCTTATAAAATCATTTAAATTTATTTGAAACATACTTTTTCTGCCCTATCTCTTTCTTTTTCCGGAATATTTGCTTTCGTATAGTAAAAATTTTTCCAAACGATAATACGATAAATCAACGGCACGAATATACGAGCTCTAATAACGCGCCTCCGCGGATCAGATTTTCACCGAGAAAGGACCTTCTCGGACATATCGATCGCGACGCGCGTCGATAATCGAGCAAGGTCGTTAGCCGAAAGAAGGCGGGTACTGAGAACGATACAAGATTACTTTGATGAAGATGAGATTAGATTAGAAGAAAAAAAAAGAAATTCAAGTGATGAGAATAATCACATTATTCCACGATCTTTCCTTCCGTCGCTTTTGCAACCGAAACTTCAATGTATGCACGCCCGTCTTATTTTAAATGCAACAGTGCGGTTTCGATGAAACCGTATGTAAAGAGAAGTAGCCTGTGTTCTCTCTTCTCGTGGCTCCTTAAATAAGCAACTCAATCGGCGGCCATTTCGAGTAAATGTCACGACATTGCATGCTGAAATCCTCAGCTAACTTCAATATGTTAAAAAGCTTGGATATTAAACCCGATATATAAAGGATAAGCACGAACACGTTGAATTAATAACAGGAAATATTGTAGATATTAAATTTTGTGAGCGAATTTAAAATGTGTATACACATACGCTGAAGGAAGTGTAAATTTTACTACATAAGAGTAATAAAGTAACACGAACGAAGTGTTTTTGTAGATTTTTATATTTTCATTTTTTTTATACAATTTACTAGTAAATCGTTCTATTTCTTTCCTCCGTTATTATCAATTTCGTTGTCATTTCGATTAGCTTCTTTTTTTCTTTTCTTCTTTACTGGTTCAATCTCAATTTGTTTATTCTTGTTTGATCTTTTAACATCATTATCAACTTCTAGTACTTCTACATCCTCCCTCATTTTCTTTCTCTTATTCTTCTTTGACGATTTCGTTCCGACTTCTTCATCTTGCTTCACTTCTTCAGGATCGTAAACTTTTATTTCATTTGTATTGTCCTCTTCTTGGATCACATTATTTTTTGATTTTTTCTTTTTTTTCGATTTATCAATTTCTATTATTTCTATATCTTCCTTCATTTTCTTTCTTTTACTCTTCTTTGATAACTTAGTTCCGGCTTCTTCATCTTGCTTCACTTCAACATCGTATACTTTTATTTCATTTGTATTGTCCTCTTCTTGGATCACATTATTTTTTGACTTTTTCTTTTTTTTCGATTTATTAATTTCTATTACTTCTATATCTTCCTTCATTTTCTTTCTTTTACTCTTCTTTGATAACTTAGTTCCGACTGCTTCATCTTGCTTCATTTCTTCAACATCCCAAATTATTATTTCATTTTTATCATTCTCTGCTTCAAACACATCATCCTTTGACTTTTTCTTTTCTTTCAACTTCCTCGATTTCGTACTTTGTGCTGAATTTTCTTCCAATTTATTCAAAATTGCTTCTTCTGTACTTCTAACTTCTCTATCTCCTGAATCAAAACAAACATCCATGTTTTCGTCTTTCACTTCCTCAGTCTTCTCAAGTTCATCAGTATCTTCTGATACTTTTCTCATTTGTTTATTAACACATTCCTCGAGTTGCTTATCCAACAATTTATTCTTCTTCTGGCGGCGCTTTTTTCTTTTGTAACTTTTTGATTCTTCTGATACTTTTTTATTTATTTCTGTATCATTTTCTGTTATATTGTCTTTTTCAGTATCCAAATTTGATTGTTCGACCTTTACGTTACCTCCCTTACGATTGCACTTTGGTAGGGGCACTTCGAAGTTTCTTTCGAACACCGCCACGAAGAAACCATTGCAGAGGTCAACGTCTGGTTTCGAATATAGGCACTTATCGCCACAGTTATAAGCCGGTGAACTAAAATTCAGCCATTTTTCTTTTAATATGTCTTTCATCGACACCAAATGATAAGCGTCTCCGACATTAGAGAGAACTTCGTCGACCACTTGTTCGTTTTCCTCCGGATAAACAGAACAAGTGCTATAGACTACTCTTTTTACGTCCGGGAAGTTGAAAAGAGCATATCTGAGTAAATAAACTTGGATAGATTGCAGATTATGCAGACGTCTTGGCTCAGTTTTGCCGTCTGAGTCGCTCTGCTTCGGTCTGTCAATGATACCTGCAGCAAAAATTAATGCAAACGATAATTATGACGGTATATATTGCAACAAAATTACATAAATGCAATTAAACCGTCACATCAATCGTTATGTGTGCAACGTTGGCACACAATTGACAAAATTTTCGACTGGATTTGATAAAATATACATTTTTAGTAAAATAATAAAGAAAAATGAATTTTTACCTGATCCGGAGCAACTAGGATCGACTAGAATGTAACGTACATTCTGAAACTGTTTAGTATTGAGAGTCAAAGCATCTTGATTATGAGGTTCCACACAAAAAGAATGAGTTATATCGATTTGTTGTTGTAAGGTTTGGAATCTCTCGCTATCAATTTCTATGGCGTGAACCGTTCTGGAATTAACAATTTTAATGTAACCTTGGAAATTTCTTTCAAAACTTTTGATATTTTGATATATTTTGATATTTAAAAAATCTTCCAAATATGTAATAAAATTATGTTATATAAAAAATGATTTTTCTAATAACCCATTTCACACAACGTGCAAGTCTATAATTAATAAGATCAGAGAATCATCGGAAAGTACAAAACAGGACAATACCCAACATTCTGTAGTTTAGCTGCCAAGTGTGTCGATTTCATACCAGGTGCAGCACACAGATCCAACACCGTAGAACCTTCGGTGGGGGCCAGTAGATGCGCTGACAAGCAGCTGGCCTAAAATAAAATCACATTCAAATAAAAATTCCTAAATAAAAAGTTGATGATTAAAGACAACAAGGAAAACTAGCTCAAGACCAGTGTTTGACAATAAAACGCAGATATCAGTAATAAAAGATAATTAATTTTCAAATTAAAACAAAGAAAAAATATATTATATATACCTTATCTTGGAGAACGATTTGGCCATCCAAGTAGCTGGCATGATCGTGAAAAAACGTCGACGGCGGAAAAGCTAGTACTTCTGGTATGTGGAAATCTTGTATGAAATACGGTTCAGATAATAACGATAAAGATTGCAAATATGACGGATATGTGGCACTTTTAGATATCAGCTTCCATCCTTCCCTTTCAAACAAGGAAATTGCTTGTTCAATTAATAACAGAAGTGTATTAATGCGCACATATCTAGGTCTTTGTACTGAAAAAAAAGAAAAACCCATTTTAAAGAAAAAGAAATTTAATATAAACAAAAACATCTGCAATACACAGTTATATTAGACCACAGTATATCTAGGCCTTTGGCTGTAGAAAGAGAAGGAAGAAAAATACTGTAGAAAAATCGCAGAAAATGCTGCTAAAATGGACAGACTCTTTATTTTTATGTAAGAAAAAAGATGTATATTTCATTTTTATTTATATAATGTATATAATAATTTTTATCTCTAAATTTTATTTTCTTTTCAAAATGTATATCCAAAGATTTTTGGATCTATCTCTTTCAGCTACATTTTCTGTGATTTCTTCCAATTCTCCTTTTTCCACCTTTTCCCTGCACAAGGTTCAAGGAAATTTATTTACTTATCATTATTTTACATTATGTATACATGTATATTACGTGCATATTATGTATGTATACATTATTAAATGTCTGTATATAAAAAAAATTAATATGCGATTTTTCAACCACAATACGAAAACAATTAATACCATAAACTTTCATAGGAAATATCACTCTCAACTGTTAAGCTTTTTCTCCACTTGCCTCCCCATATGTTCTTGTCTTTATCCTTTAAATCATAAATTGCATAGAAATACTTTTGCTTAGATAAAAAAAATATATATTTTTCATGATGGTACAAATATATTATAAAATTCTTCAAAGAAAGCAATTCTAAATCAACTTTCTTATCCAATCCTCTTTAGATATCCCCTATATTTATCTATCTCCCTCAGTTCTTTTTCTCTGTTCCCACATATTAATTACACAAAATGAATTACATAGAAATGCAGACAAATGCATTCAAATTATAATTAACTGCATTTTGTTAATAAGATATGTACAAATTTTCATATGCAAAATAACTCTATTAAAGGCTCTTTTTAATCAAATTTTCCTCAGATTCAACCACTTCCTCCTTTGTGTTATTTTCTTCTTCCTCGGCTGTTTCATGTAGGGCCTGGTAGGCATAACAGGAGATAATCAAGTTTACTGTAACCACAGCAGCAAATACTGATATACAATTAGTTACAAAAGTATCTGTCTGAAATTCCAGTCTTATATAATGCCGTACTCCATAGAAAGCAACAAAGGGCAATGTGAACATGGCAGTGCTATACAGCAGCAATGTGCCTAGTACCATTACCAACCCCATGCTTTTATCGTTCTTAATATGATCAATATTCCGCGAATGGCAAGATCTCTCACGATCCTTCAGCTCTCCTTTTCTAGCTTGCTTTCTGTGCCGACTAGATAATATTCTGCAGTTGCGGATAATCAGTACCATGAGGGAATCTTTTTCTATAGATTCTCTCTTATTTCTGCAAGCATAGTAGAAGCTTTACTAACAGATCAATAGGTAATGTTACCTTTTTTAAGCGTTGTAGAAGATATCGTGCTCTCAAGATTCAATAATTCCTTTCGCAGTAAGTCTGCATATGATAAGACAGTTTGAATTGGTTTGGATTGATTAGGCAGGTATTTTTTACCCCACAGCAGTTCTGTTATCAGTACTTTGGTGAGCCAAGGGTCCAAACGAGGCTGTTGTGTGAGAATCTGAGTATTCTGGAGAAGTAAGTCTAACTTGTGATCAGCTTTCAGAGTATTTACTGATAGAGCATAAATGCCTGATACATTCTGCAAAACAAAATGCTTGAATAAAATCTCACTAAAATTGGCAGTTATTTTTTGCGCGTTAATACTGCCCCTCCCCACGCATTATCGTCTTATATCCATTTATTCTGTGTACTCACAGGGTGTTTCTTCTCGTAAATGAGAGTCTTCAGACTACCTCCCTGTTCTTGGACGCAGCGTACAATATTAGCCGTTATTTTATAAATTTTCGGCACTTTTACGGAATGTATGAATCCATTCGACATATTACCAGATTTAAGTTCGTTATACACATATTATTATCTTTACAATACTCCGTACATTGCCCGTGAAGACAAGTGTCACATGTAAAGTTCTACAATTTCTGCTAATCTTCGCTACGAGACGCCACTATCTTGAATAATTGGCGGCTCGAATGATTTATAGAAATCTTTCGCGGCGACATCAGCAAGACTGACCAATAGAATGATGTCAAGAACGTCCGTGTTTACCAATGAAAAGATGACACGCTTATATATATATATATATATATATTCGCTATTAAACCTATTTTACATTAGTCGTAAGTATTGAATTGACCAATCGCGGTCGATTGTTTTTCTTGCCATAGAAGAATAAACGACTGTGATTGGCCAAGTTGCTAGCGACCTTAGGACTTGAGGCTAATGTAGAATGGGCTTTACATATTGAGAAATGCTTTATAATTTTAGGGGTTTGTCCTGGCCCTATAGAATCTCTAGACCATAAAGAAGCAGACTCGAACGGACGAGAACACGGTGGCGGCTGACGGCAGCCATCTTAACACGCGCCATCTGCACCGAGCTGTAATGAAGTTCGAAGTCTCCGAGAAATTCTCAACCTATTCGCTTTTCCAACCAAGTTACCGTCTCCGTGGTGGTGCGGACCAAAACCTGGCCGCGTCGTCGTCGACGCTTTTGAGGTTAATTTCTCTGTTGTCCCGGTACGAGAAAACATCCTTACTTTGTAAACCTAACCTCAATTGGCAGTTAAACTGCGTTCTGAAGTAATATTTTTTTTCAGACAACCTGCTCGGTTACCAATTGATACAGAGAGAGCAATTTAACGGGGGTTTAATTTGGGATTAAAGACAGGAACCTTCAATGAGACACTCTGCATTTGCAGTGTCCCATATTTTATAGTTGAAGCTACATTCATATGGATTTATGAATGTTAGTAGCACATGTATTAATTTAACTTAAAGACACAAACTTCATCTGTAGAGCCATAAATACTTTTGTAATTGAAGCTGTCATTGTTGTAACTGAATATCATTGAAACTTGCAATTGCCAGTAGCAGTATTACTTTAACTAGTCTCAGCAGAAGTCTGCTTTATACAATGATGATGAGCCTGCTGAAGATATATTGCTGCGTATGCTCAAGCTTATAAATGCTTAGGTGATTATTTGGAGAATTTTGAAGATGTACACCGAATATGTTGTTAATGACATTGATCCATTTGTCCAAAATTTTAGAAGTAATTTAAATATTCAAGGTGATTGAAATTAACAAATTCATTTCAGAGAGATTTTATTAATTTTCTTCTTACAGATATTTTACACAATATGAATGTGACAAGAAAGAAATATAATACAAAGTAGCTTGTTCTTATCATTATTCTTATTACATAAACAAAAAGGTTATATAAATAAAGAGATAAACATAAAAAAAGATACAGTACCCATAAAAAAGATACATTAATCAGTACCCATATGCCAAAGAGGCGTAGATTCTTATGAGGATGTCAAACGACGAGGTGAACAAGCGTGACCACAACTATAGCGAGGCATTACTGTTGTCTCCACAACCACTGCTCTCATTGTCTTATTCTACTGATGATGGTGATTACAATAGCGGTGCTAACACCGTTGTCCGGGGGAAATACCGGCCAGCGCGAGAAATTGGTCAGATTAAGGATCTTGATGAACTGAAAAAAATCGCACCGCGCGTGCGCTTACGTGACACTCAAAGTCTGAACGAGTTAACGAAACTTTCTTTGAACACTAGTAACTCGCAGAGCAATACGTCAATTTCTGATAAGGCCAAGCAGGAGCTGAAAAAGTATTGCCGTACCTGTGCTGGTTTAAAACTGCCCTTGGTAGAGTTTCTTTTTATTGCTATTGTTTCTTTCACTCGTTAATTTATTATAATTACTCGTTGTTAAGTAAATTATTTTTTTTTATTAGAAAAACGATAAGGCTCTTAAATATATAAGCAAAAGAAACAAGATAGGCCAGTGAGAGCCAAACACAGAATTTTTGTGCATGCAAAAGAAATTGATTCATCAGAACAAGTAGTTGTAATGTTATTGCCGTTTCATTCACAATATCATTTTATCATCTTTTTTCTTTATTTGTATTCGTTTATTATCAGTTTATTACCAGTTTCTTCCATAATATATCTAATTTCATTTAGCCAGGTTTTATTACTGGTTATTGTTGAAGAAGAAGAGATACTATTTTTTCCATTTTTACCTTGTCATGTTATAGGTCGATATCTTTAGTGAGCGGGGCACCCAAATGCGATTGAGCCAACAAATGCGGCACTTGGAAATCATTTATCCGTGTGATAACTTGTCCACACAGATGTGCATGGACTGTATCTGCGACTTAAAAATGAGCTATAAGTTCTTTATGCAAATTAAAAAAGCACAAATCAAGCTGAAGTCAATTGCCAATCAGATAACGGATAGTGCAGTAGTTTCGAAAAAACCGATTGATCCTGAACTGATACAGCCTCCTATTGAGATGAGAGAAGATAAGACAGAATCAAGATCAGGTAACGTATACTTTACATTATACATGTGTGTTATTTAGTTGAATTTATCTTTACAATTTTATATTTTTTATTTTTTATTTTTTTTTACTTTTACTCATTTGGCTACACTTGGTTTTTTTGGATATTATTATATTGTAGTGTGATATTCTGTGTTTTCATCAACCAATTCTCTTTCTAGCCGAGAATCCCTCTGTAGCCGAGAAAAATTTCCTTACACCATCAACCATAGAAGAAGATCAACCTTCTTCCGCAACACATTCTCAAAAAGATGAAGAACCTGTTCCGGTTATTTTTTCGCTACAGGATAACACAAAGGAGTCAACGGTGGAACAGAGCGTCGGAATTTTCGAGGAAGTAGTGGAGATAGATGATGAAGACGATGAAGACTCCATCGAGGAGTTCGATCCGGAAGATCCGGATTTCCAAGAACAGGAGGAACAGGGCAAGGAAGGACAGCAGGAAGAATCGCCGGCCGTCTATAAATACGATATGGCGCGGAAGTCGTACGTACGACTGGAAGGAGCTGCTGAGGAAGTAACGACCGCTGTTACTCAGGTAATGCCTACCTGCATCGAGGCAGAAGAAGAGAGTCCAAAAGAGGCAGGGCAGCCGAACATACTGAAGAAAAGGCTACTAATGCCGTCGAGAACAAGTACGGAGGGAGAATCAGGAAGTAGCGGGGGAGAGTCGGCGCCAAAAGTGCAGAAATTGGATTTAAACAATTTTTTTAGCGCGAACAACGCTCCCGAGGAGGACGGAGTTATGTACGTGACTGTGAAAGGTTCCAAGCCGAACGAGATACTCCTTGTGAAAGTTAGTGTATTAGATACTTAATTAAAAGTAAATTCAAGTATAAGAGAGAAAGAGAGATGTATGACATATTTTATTTTAGAAAGATGCGTGACATATTTTATCTTAGAAAGAGAAACTTATAGAATTTTGTAGAAGTAATACTTTGTAGAAGGTAAAAAAATATTTTGCTACTTTTTAAAGTTGCGTAACATTCGTCATAAGATTCAGCACTCCTTGTGCATATTGCTGCAGTTATATCTTTCATTTTATTAGATCATTCTATTAGATCATAGCGCACGTCTACTTTTTGTCTTGTTTGTTCTCATAAATTCAGGTATTTCATGAATTTAAATATGAAACAGGTGAAAAAGATGGACAAACAGGCAGAGCGTACATCCGCTGAAAGCAAATCTGTTGAACGTTTTTTTAAACGTTACGAGACACTATTAAAGGATTATTCGCGAAAACCGGATGCTCGCGAGCAAATAATCGAGGAACAAATTGAAGAATACAAGCGGAAACGTGAGAAGGTTCTCGGCGATCAATCGGCAATGATCTTCTCTCTAAACGAAAACCGAAAGGAATTACAAAAAGATAGTTCTTCTTCTTCGAAATCAAGTCCTGTCAAGGTAGACGAAATAATTATTAAGGACATAGAGGAGGAAGAACACGAGATGATGGACATAGAAGAGATAAAGATAGAAATGGACGTCATCGAGGAGCAGGTCAAACCGAAGACGCCGAAAGTGCAACTGGAAGAAACATATAGGAAGAAGGAGAGTCTACAAAAAGAGCCGGAGCAGTCCTGCAAGGAAGCGGATTTGGAAAGATTGGCGAAAATCTTGGGCGAAGACAACGAGCATTTACAGGTAACGATGATGGAATAACAACAAGTTGCTTAATTACTTGCAAATAAGCTTCGCTAATTTTCAAGCTTTCAAGCATCTCCAATTACTTGATTTTCGTTTCGCTGTAGGATTTCCAGGAGTATTTGAAGCAGCGCAAGATCATCATCACGCGCCTCAAGAACGAGGATATCATTTCTCTGTATGAGGATCGTCACAACAGCGTTCTCAGGCCACGTGAGAGTCTCCCCGACCTCATCGACGCTTCTCTCCCGGCTGATTCTCTTGCTGAGGAATGTTACTTCGAGTGTGATTATTGCCCGGAGACGTTTTCCAGTCGTGAAATTCTTGAGGAGCATCTCAAGACTCATGATTATCGTATCATGCATTTCTGCGAGGATTGTGGCGAGGAATTCACAACCAACAAGGCCAAAAGAAACCACAACATAGCCTGCCTGAAGAAATTGATTTGCAAATACTGCGACACGCTGATGGATACTCGAGGGAGGAAGCGTCGACATGAACAGAAACATGTGGATAGTCTGTATGGCCAGCTTTGTGAAGTTTGTGGTGAACGATTCAAGCACCAAGGTACTTTGGACCAGCACCGGAAGACTCAGCATACAATCTTGGAGAAGATCTATCAGTGTCCTAAGTGCCCGAAGAAGTTCGCCTTCAAACAGAAACTCAGTTTTCACTTAAAGTCAGTGCATACGACTTTAAGGGCTTTTTTATGCGAAGATTGCGGCGCAGATTTCAAAAATCCAGCTAGCCTGAGGCACCACCGAATCCGGAAGCACCAGCCAGTGGGTAACAAGCGCGAGTGTCCAGTCTGCAGGAAGCTAGTGCCATTTTATAGTTTGTCAAAGCATATGCATACCCACAAAGCTTATAGTATTCAATGCCCGCATTGTGACAAAATGTTCAAGAACAGCTCGACGTTGAAGCAACACGTGAGAATTCACGAGGATCAGAGACAATATCGTTGCGACACGTGCGGAGTAGGATTTAACAGAAGAGACGGACTCAGGCTGCACATGAGGGTACACCAGAAGACAGACAGCCGGGGGCTGAAGGAATGCTCCTGTCAAGTTTGCGGAGAAAAGTTCCCGAATCACTCGACTTTGGTGATCCATCGAAATAGGGAGCACAAGGATGGCAGACAATATACATGTCATATCTGCAACAGATCGATGATATCGACCAGGTCCCTAGAGTGGCACATGTCGCATATTCATAATGAAACCATGCCAGGTAAAGTTACATATAGAAGCAAGAAGCTTTAGGAGCGTTAATGAAAATTGATTTGTGTCTGATCGTGTCTCGAAAAATTTTCAAGTACAAATGAAATATGAAATTAAAACACGGAAATTCACGGGAGGAAAAGCGATATTTCCGACTGCAGTTGTTTTTTCAATTTTCCAAAAATAGGTATTTATTGCACAAGATAGAGAGTTACTTTGGCAAAATATTAGGAAATCGGGAAAAGTTAAAATTTTCTTAGATTGGTTTTTACATAATATTACAAACTTTTCTGTAAAGTAAAACATTATATGCATATTTGAGAAATTACATACAGAATTGTTAATAAGTGAGATTTCCAAGATTTAATGGAAAAAAGTAAAAAATGAAAAGTGAATATTTAAATACTTTTTATTTTTCATCTCGGTTTTTATATCCCATCATAAGATTTTTTATATTCCTCGTATAAAAAATCAGGTTGAAACTGACCGAATTATAAAGATCAATGATGCAAACTTGCATCTGTATGCCCTTGATGTTCTCTTGTGCTAAATGTGCGCTTGAAAGGTTAAAATATAAACACTAATAATTTGACAATTGTTTGTCCATTTGTAAATATTCCCGTAGGTATTGTTCGTGACGATAATATGCCTGAGAAGAAACGGGTCTCCTGTTATCACTGTAACAAGACATTTAAGACGGAAATGATCCTACGTACGCATATCAAAAAAACACACATGGAGAAGGACCCGATGAAGTGTCCCGATTGCGGAGATGCGTTCACGTCGGAAGTAATGAAAATATTTTGATAGTTTTACAAATTCCTAGAGTTTCTCAAATTCCTGCTACACATCCAAATCTTTAACAGTAGAATTACAGACGATTAATGTCACTTATTTTCACCAAGCGGTTAAAAGAACATATTTCTTGAAGAAAAAAAAATTATACGTGGCAAAAATAGTTATTAATTTTTTTAATTTCATTCGATGCCTTAAAAATATAATATGCATTATTACAGAAATTGAATAATTTTTAAAAGAAATTACAAACCGGTAATTTTTTTATCATCTTCGATAGTTCTAGTGTTAAATATTTTCCGTTTAAGATTTCTAAGATAAAAAAGGAAATCTTGAAATTAAAAAATCCTTTAACGCACATGTCTTTCTCCTCTGCATCGTTTCAGGTGCGCTTACGTCATCATATGATGGTAACGCACAATCGCCTGGAAGGCACCTTGGGATGTCCGCATTGCTCTAAACGATTTGTCAACCAATTGAGGTTGAAGACGCACATGATCTCGCATTCAGAGGAAAGACCCTATACGTGCGAAGTATGCGGTTTCAATCTGAAGACGAAGATCCAACTGATCAAACACCATCAGAACCGGCACAGCGACGAGCGGCCGCTAAAGTGCAGGTATATCTCTAAACAAGGTCGATTCTTTAACGCAGAAGAATAAGGAAATGGGCTCTTTGATGTATAATCGAAGTCTGTTAAAATCAAGCCTATAAGAGCCAGGTTGTTGATTGTGAGAAGTTTTACTTTCTAGAAATATCTTAAAATTGATAAAAACCAAGCATCTTAGGTCAATATTTTCGACCCTCTTCAGTAGCTCATTCGTTTATAGTCCGAAATGCTTGGTTCTTAATTTTAATTAAGGCGCTAAAATAAGTAAAACTTTTCATCTGTTGTTTATACGTCTTGTGCCAGTTCTTACACGCTTGATTTTAATCTCCCAACTTTTTCAAATGTCAAGAACTTTCGAAAGCTGCTTCATGCTTCTCAAGTTTGTCCTCTTCATTCTCCAGTCATTGTCCATGGCGGTGCAAACAAGTCAGCGCGTTGGTGTGTCACGAGCGTACGCACACCAACGAGCGGCCTTACTCGTGCAGCGTGTGTCGACAGCGTTTCAAGTACCTCGGTGACAAGAATAAGCACGAACGTCGTCACGAGAGTCTTGGCGGAACTGGCTTCAAGCGCATCGTTCCCGGAAGAAATTCCAAGTCGAAGTCGCGCGACGAACAGTCCTCAGCGTCCGAGCAGGAGGTGGAATTCAAGAACACAGGTGCAATTAAAGCGGGCTCGGCGTCAGCTGCTGAAGAGCAATTTGAGATGCAGCAGGATGAGCCATTCAGGGGCAAGTTTAATAAGGACGAGCAACTTGTGGAGTTTGAGGAACAACATATAGTGAAGTTTGAAGAAAACATTTCGGAAGATTACGAGCAGGTGTATGAACAGGTGAGAATTTTATTGATTGACGGTGTTTGTCATTTTCTAGGATAAATCCTTTTTGAGCACTCGAAGATGATTCAAAATAACGATAAACGACATTACACGTAAAATTCATAAAATTGTGTGCCGAAGAGAGTATATCTTACATTCTCCTCACAGCTTTCGGCATTTTTCATGTTTGACATTTCCGCATTTGTTTCGCAATTTTCGTTTTCCCGTTCTCTTGATCGCGCGTTCTTCCAGGAATATGAGGAAACGTCGAGGGAGGCTTCGGAGGCTACCGAGGTGATCATGAACATGGAGGATCCTGGTGTGTATACGGAAGAAGTGACTGCCGATAATATAGAGGCCGATATGATAACCGAGGATGAAATAATAACAGGTGACATCCTGCACACGTCGGCTGCCGGCGGCACCACCGCTGCCGTCGTGCATTTGCAGCAGCAGGACGACACCGGCAAGATCCAAGTGATACCGGTTATGCTGTCGTTGCCTGATCTCTCTGACGCCAACGCTGAGGTCAACCTTGCCACCGCGTCCATCATGTACAACAATTAACATATGCACTTCATGTGACATACAACAATTCGTATCTACATGCGTGATGATCACACGAATATTTTTACGCCCGCCTCAGATAATCTATAATCCGCGCCGAGATCCGAGGGAGAAACCCACGTGAGATTTCGTGTAATGAGATAATTGGAGACGCGCTGAGGCGCATATTCAGAATTATATCTACATAGTTATTTAGACGGAGTATGATATCTTCATTTTTCCTACGATTGACAAGAAATATCGACAATATTAGGAAAATACTACAGATCGTGACACGGATCGGTGACTCGCGAATTGTAGATCAGAGGTGTAATGTTTGAACTTAAGAAAAAAAAGGCTGCGCTTTTCACTAGATTTGAATGCAGACAAAATGCAGACTTCGCGAACATCAAACAATTTATAAGATTATTAGAATAGTTGGTACATGATCGCTCAACCCGTTACTCATCAACATAAAAATTGTTGTATCGATATTCTGGCAAGCTTGTAGTCTCTGTAATTTTGCTCCGCTCTCGTAACATTTTCCTATGAATATAAGTGAGAACTCAACGTTGGTTAAACTTTCAACTCAGTGAATAAAGTAGGTGTAATACGCCATCAACGTTGACTAAACTTAAAGATTCTACGGATTTTAGTGTGAGACGGAAGTGAAAACGAGTGATGCAAAAATGTGAGGACGGAGGTCGAAAATTACCTATAGCTCGAATATTATGTTATAGTGACTTCACACCGACTTCATGAGCATTTCGAGTCTTCTTCGTGCTTTTGACCTTAAAAAACCCTGCGAATTCTTTCGATTGCCTAAATGTTCTAATAATTCTAGACTGCGTGAACACGGAAGCTTTTGGCGTGTACGTCTACGTGAGGAATGAAACTAATTTATAACTAAATTATAGTACATTTGGAGACAAATTAGCAAACTAAAGATAGAATAAAGAAACTTACATTTTTATATGTGAAGGATATGCAAAGATATATGACAAAAAAATGTCGCAATGTCGCAAATGTTACGATAGACTTGCACGAATGAAACTGAAAACGAAGAAGTGACAAGAGAGTAATTAATTAGAAAATAAAATAAATAATTTTACATTTGTGTATGTAAAGACGTAATAAAAGGATATGTTACTTTATATTCTCTCAATATATATACAAACATGGGAGAAATGAAAGTTTTACCTTCGAACGAAAACAGAAGAGTTACACTACTGTCCAAAATACTAGGAACATAAAGCAGATTAAAAAAGAATCTTTAGTTATACATAAAAGTAGTAAGTTACGCCTAATAATAATAATAATAATGATAAATATCGTTAAATTAGTTGCGCTTGATGTTACAAGTATATAAATTATGTTTTATATGTATAATATTTACATAAGCTATACATATAAACAAATTTATATAACACAATAGATTATAATTATTTTTTAGTTATGTTCCTAAGACTACCTTGACGACAGTAGTGTACATAAACAAAAACTCGATGTGTGACTTGAGTGCACTCCTGTTTATTGAAGTGTCAATGCAGGACATCTAGGAATCTTTAAGAATTTAGCGATAGGATTTATTTTGAACATTAGTCATAATGAAACAACGATGAAAATATAACGGCTCCCTGAGCAAAGTTTCTCGGGAGTGCGATTCGTTTTGCTCGTATTCTCAATATGATTTAACAATATATTGGTCCTGTAGTTTCCATGAACAATACTGTGTATTCATAGTATCAGTTCAAATGATTATAAAAAAAAAAAAATTCGTTGGTTGTCCCACGTTGTGAACATACTTTTAATTCAGATTTCTCAAAGCGTAGTATTCGGGAAGAAACGAATCGATAGCTCACGACAGCTTCCCGAATCTTTTTAAGATTTTGTTTTTTATCTTTGTAGAATCTTGGACGGTGTTCTGAACTCTTTTTTTTAAAGGAGAGTTCAGAATACCGGATATTCGACTTTGGCTTAAAATTTTTCGATCATGAACGTCCTAGAAACTTGCTTCAGACCCTTGCGTCTTTTTTTATGTGATCGAATGTTTAGATTTTCGAACAATTTCTTTTTTTCTGTATCATTGAAATGTAGGTTATTTTTTAATCCTGATGCTTTCTAAATTTTCGGGTCATCAGAATCCGGTGTAAAATGTATATACATCATAATGTGTGTATCTCACTCGTTAAACAAATAAAGATCATTACAGAACATTTTACGACGACGTGAAATAGTTCCAGAAGAGTAAGAAATAATCATAAGAGTCTCGGAAATTGCAAATAGTCAATCGTGTAAAAATTATTTAATGTAAAAAGTCTGAAGAAGCGAAAAAAAAATGAAATGGCTTGATAATTGTTAAATGCGAAGAACTGAAGAACGGACTCTGACACTTAACTTGTAACATTATATAATAGTGAGTAAGCTATATTTTGTTTAAATCAGTGAGTAAAGTGTACATGCATACATGTGAGCGTGCGTATATGTGTGCGTATGTTACGTATTACATAAGTTTCTCTGCATATTGTCCTCATATTGTTCCTTAAGAGCATTATCAAGTTACGTAATTCTATATCAATGTAGATTGTTCGTCGATAAACGTTCTCATTAGACACACACATACACACACGCACGTATAAACACACATATTACACACCACACACGCGCATACACGTGGTTTGCTCTTCCTGCTGCACTTACTGCAATTGTTTTTCCCCATAAAATTCCAATTATCATTCTGCAATCTTCCCACCATTTTCTCATTTCATTTTTCCGTCTACGATATGAAATATGTACGAATATCTACCATGTAACGTATTATTTCACAAATAACGAATTCTTTCACCTATATAGAGCAGTTCTTTTTTTTAATAAAAACATTTTATATTGCGTTTCCTAAATTCTTACTATCACACATATCAAGATTGCTGAGTTGCGTTCTTTAAAAAGAAAAAAGCCTGAAAGCCTCAAAACTGGCTAATCATGTGTTTTCGAGATAACTCCAATTGAAAGTTCAGAAAGAAATCGACGGGTTTGTAACAATTTTATCAAATTTTTACTATGGCATGCAATTGTATCAAATTTTTGCTATGGCATGTAGCACCCTAATGTACTAGAAGAGAAGTTTCTATGAATTTAACCTAAAAACAGAATGTAAAAGAAACAGACATAGAGCGGGAACATTTTTATATTTTATCGTCACTTAGAAATTAACTTGATGACTGATGATGTGAATGACTATTTAGTAACATAAAAATGGCAGGTGTACTCATTTAAACTATGTTCTACAAATACTAACAAGCAATGTTAATATTAATAAAAATAATCGGCAAACCGACAGATAAAAATCGGTTTTACACGTCGTAACAACGTTGAAAGCCGGAAGAAGGCTTCGGTGTATAACGCTTGTATACGAAACGCCATTATCTTAACGTAAGATTTAATTGTTGCACTTAAAATCCAATGTTGATTCTTACTGGCCTTACAATTCCTTACATTGTATGTATATTTTATTTATAATCTTCATTATATATATATTTTTTATTTTTACCTACATAAAAAATATTAGACTCTGCGATCTTCATTTGTACAAGATAAAACTCTATTTTATACATATAGTATAATAATCATCATGGATACACAGGGTGATGTACACAAAGAAGGAAATATTACCTAATAAAGAAGATGCAGCGATAAACAATTAAAAAATGTTTAAAATTTTGCAGAAATTGAGTTCATGTAAACTTGATTGTATCATTTTTTCGTTATATGTATAATTCTTTCTCAGAATGGGACATGTTCAAACCCAAACCACTAATCCAGCTCTGGAGTGTTCCATACTCAAGAGGTTAAAGAATACTTGATCGTTCAAATATTAAAAAATTCTGCTAATTCCAACACACACCACGCCCCGACCGTCAGACGGTCGTAAAGCCTCCCACCTCCCACCAATATTTCAAGAGATGTCGAGTCACACGATTCATGTGCCTCACACTGTACATATTCTTGAGAATGCACTACATGCAAAGATTAAAACATCACTTTATATGTCTTCATAAACAAATAAACTTCAAGAGAATGTAATTTTCTTAAACATGATATTAAGACGTCTGAATATCATTGGCTGTCTTCAGTGGAAAAAGCAGCTTAATTTGCAAAAATTTTGTCGTAAAATTTATCACTGAACGATATAAACAGTTTATATTCTAACATATTTATTTAGTGATTATTAAGTTTGAACGTAGGATTTAATTGTCACTAGAGATGTGCGAATTATTCGAATTCCTATAATTCGAGTCCGAATAATTCGAAAATTTCGAATCGCGAAGATTCGAATATGAATCAAATACTTAGCGTTTGCGTGCATCAGTTACAAAACCCATCTGGGTCTATGTATTTGACTTAACTTGTAATTAACTTAATTTGTAATTAACCTTAACTTGTAATTAACTTAATTTATAATTAATAACTTAATTATTTATAAATTACTTTAAATATTTAAATATATATTTTACTTTAAGATGATATTACAATATCAATATTACCTTTCATATTAAAATCTTCCATCATTGCATCCATATTTGCATGTTTAACAGTCATGTTAAATTTTTTAATGATTCGATTCGAATTTAAAAAATGAGATTCGATTCGATTCAACATGAAAATTCTTGATTCGCACATCTCTAATTGTCACATACCCGTATTTGTTCTAGCATACTCGTGATATGCTAAATCGCTTAGTAAACACGTTGAAAAGGCGTAACGTTAAATACTCAGTAAGCTGCTTTTTCTACTAAACTCTATCGTTATTTGTAAGCAAGTTACGCTTAAAACTTATGCTTATATTTGTTGAAGACGTATCAAGTGGTGTTCCTATTTTTGCGCGTAGTGTAATTCCTAACATTCTTTTAATTTTAATATACTTCTAGTCATTTGGTTCATTTTGTATCAAGACTTTGGTAGTATTCCGCGAGTACTTTCCATGCCTTGGGCGACATGAAACCATCCGGTGGATCTTGGCCAGCTTTTGCCAATCCTACAAACGGTGAATTTATCAATTAGTTTATATAGCAATCATCGCGCTAATAATCAGATAGATCAAGCAAGGCAAAAGAATAAGCGATCAATGGAGCTTGGAAAATACAATCGTAACCGAAACTTGCCTCGCATCTTGGTGCCCGAAATGAATTCGAAATCTTGCTTTCTCTCGGGCTCGAAGAAAGCCATCTTGGCGTGCCTACTATCGTAGGCAGCCACGCGAAACGGTATTATCTCCAGGCTGTGAAGACCTCGGGCCATGGAGAGTACGCGAGCCCCGTGAGTGGGGTCATAGAGATTACCGTCTGGCGTGGCATCCTTATCAGGGTGTGGAATACCCGCTGGATCCCTGCCGACAATGTAGAAGTTCGCGCCAGCGTTCATCCTGGCTTTCGCATGCCATTGCACCTGCGAGACGAATCGTGTCGGTTATCACTTTAATTGAATGTGTGCTTATTCTGCAACTTTTAATGACAACATCGTCGTCGTTGCGAAGCTATTACGTGTTGTATTTGCGCAGTGACGCGTAACGCTTACGTTACGGTTATACTGTGTACATTAAGAAATTACAGAATAAGTCTGCAGGTGTTTATTGCACATGGAGATACGGAATGTCAGTGCTCAATTGTGAAACTTCGCACCTCAATCGGTCCAGCATACATCATCGGGCTGGGGAAAATAGCGAGCAGCGTGGAATTGACATCCAACACGCCTTCGTCTAGAACAGCCTTATGCTGAAGTATTCTAGTGTACAGCGGCACGTCATCATCCTTTGTCCATCCGCCCAGTGGATGCAGTAGTAACACAGGATTTTTGAAACCCCTCTCTTCTAACAAACGTTTCCTTGTGTCCTTTTCGTAAATATATGCAAATTAGATCTGCAATCCACTCTTATCTGGTTTATTTACTTATTTATTCATAAATGGATAAATCATTTAAAATACAAAAAGAAGAAAACAAAAAGAGGTAGAAAAAAAGAGATATATAAATATAAAATACACAAATTCTTTAAAAAAAGAAGATAAAATATAAACATGTAGAGATCTTGTTGTTTTATATAACCTTTTTAAACGATTTTAATCAAGAAATCTTATAAATCACTTAATTTGAGGATAAATTCAATTATGGTGATATATAATAACATGAGATCTGATATGAACAGATATAAATCTCATAGAAAAAAGAGAAGAGAGAAATTGAAGAAGCGTCCTCATTAAATCTGAGGATTCTCTATCAACTGACAAACCTGCATCAGCAGCGCGTGACCGTTGTGTATAGGGTTTCTCAGTTGAAAAGCGAATATTGCGTCGGCTTTCATTTTCCGACACTTGATACGGATCTCGTTGGGTGTAAGTCGATATTTGTCGAGGCCGTCATGCCAACGGATCCTCTCGAGCACTTCGAGGTCACCGCCCATCAACCAGTCGCCGGAATTGTGTATCATTTTGACGTACGGATGTGCCAAGTTGTTGGTACCAAACTGCCAGCAGCAGCGCTCCTCTTTTCGATGGTAATAGAATTCTGGTCTTCGTAGAATTGCCAAGGCCTTGCCTTGATATCTTAATGTCACGGCAAACGAGCCCTCCAAGCGATCTTTCTCTGTCGTGCTGATGGCCAATACGATTGGTACCGATTGGTTCACCTCCTTGCCGTCTTCCAACAAGCATCGCAAATGCTGAGCCTTAAATGGTATGTCGAAGGTGTGATTGGATATGAACTGATGAAGATGATTTTAGAATAGGGAAAGAAAGACAACAGATCTATAAAAGATTCAGGTCCAGAAATATATTAGATAGACAGAAGTAGATCTAGAGAAGAAGTACCTGTAAGTACTGATGTTCTCTCATGAATCCCGTTAACGGTGCCGCCCAACCTTCCGCCAAAATCTGCACCCATTGCACATCAAGTTTGTTGATCTCCACACTCTGGAGAGTTTCTGCTTCCGCTTTCGTAGCGACTAATCTGGAATATGGCACGAGTAGCTCTCGGATCGGTGCTGACGGCTTTTCGAGCTGCGGAATTATGTGGTTTTTCTCCAAGAACTCGATCACTGTAGACGCGGAATCTTCAGGAGTGCAGTTTTCCGTCTTGACGACCAGGTCAGGCTGTACTGGCCGTTCATACATCTGATCAATGCCAGTGAATCCCTTGATCGTGCCCTCGCGAGCCTTCTTGTACAGACCCTTCGTATCGCGGGCTTCGCAGACTTGTAATGGCGTGTCGACAAATACCTCGAAAAACGGCAAGTCAGCCTCCCTGCAGATCAAACATCTTCGAATAAGAGAAAATAAAAGAGTAGGAAGTAACTAACGTTAGTTATTACGTTTATACTTTGGCTAATAATGAGGATCTAATAACTGTTAAAATGTTTAGCTTTTCTTTCAGAACACTACAGAGAATGATATTAAAAAAGAATATGCGTCCGTCAGTTCTTATTAATTTTATAGCCTCCCTCTTTCTTTCTGTTTCTTTATCTATCTAGATCAGTCTCTACCTGTGGATCTGTCTGGCCATTTGCCGATCCTCCTCGAAGGGAGACACAAAACTGCACAGGCAAATTTGCCCGCTATCAGCAAACAGTTTCGCCACTTCTGCCACTCTACGGATGTTCTCCTTGCGGTCTTGCTTACTGAAGGACAAATTGCGATTTAGGCCGCTGCGCACGTTGTCGCCATCTAGGCCATATGCAGGAATTCCATGGTTCACCAGAATCGCCTCTACTTGGAAAGAGATGGAAGTCTTCCCGGCACCCGACAGACCTGTTAGCCATACCGTACAACCCCGGAAACCACGGATGTTACCGATCGCCTGACCTCGCTTCGCCCGCGACACATGATGTGCCTGTTCTGACACATTTGTGCATGTCTGCAAGAAATGTTACATTAATTAATTTTTGGATAAATAAATTCACAGAAGCATTGCCAAGAGGAGAGATATTGTGTTGTCGAGAATGTATACAACATATGTAATAAATTAATGAAATCAGACACATTAATAATATCTCACAGATTTGAAGTATCTTTTTAATACCGTTTAATGACAAATAAACAGCAAATTTGTGATTATATATAAGATTGAGACAGAAGTCATTGTATAGTGGGCCAAACCCAAATCAAAATGGGACAAGATTCCTTTAATATTAATATAAAGTACACATAAAAAATACTATAACATTTGAAATTTATCTCATGTTCTAATTATATAAATATATTAGTTTCATACATATATATAATTTAAAACAGAATTTGCTTTGATCATTTTTATTTTTATATGTTTTTAGTTGAATTCAATAATATAAAAGAATAAACTCTTAGTGGTGTCAACTGTTCTCTTGTTTCATTTTAATTACTATTAAAGATCTTACTGAGAAATTCTTCTCTGATATTGTTTAGCATGATGAATGGGTATATGAAATATTTGACACATCTCTCCTTTCAAATAATCCCCTTTGTAAAGTAATTAAATAAAGTATCTTTTAATAGTCTATGGCCTGTACAAACAGTATTTTAAGAGATACTAAAGAGTTTTTCTAAAAGTTACCCCCCGTTCCCTCACCTCTGAAGAGGGTTGTAATCCCTACATGAGACTTCCTACATGGGATTAGACATTCCCAAAAGGCTAGCACCTCGGGACCATGAAGAATATCCAAAACCGCTTCTATCTAAAACAGGGAAAAAATACGAAGAGGGATTACTTACTTTATGGACACCCTGTATATTCTAAATACATAAAAAAAGATGCTTCCTTACTTTACATTACTTCAACATGAATTTTTTTAATTTGTCCCATTTTGTACAATTTATGGCCCACTATGCGCATTGAAATAAAAAAAAAAATAGTTTAAAACATTAAAATAGTTTATAGACAGCATGTATCATATCTTTCTTCATACATTTACTGATGTTATTTTTATAGATATCATTTGTGTGATACTTTTTACACAAAATAGCAGTGCATTGCTATGCTAAACAAAAAAAGAGAGATAATAACACAATATTAAAGATAATAGCGAAAAGGAAAAAAGAATAGATAGTGCTCGTGTGTGTATGTGTGGGTGTATATTATCTACATATGACATTTTAATTTACTCTGCACTGCCGTAATGTAGCATTGCGGTGTTTTTTTCATGGTACAGCAGAAAACTTGAGATAATTTATGCTAACTTATGCTAACATTCGCTTTTCTAACACTTGTACATACGAGGAAACGTATCGAAAGTGCGTGAGCTGAGCAAATTTAACAGGAATTTATATCGAGTATCTCTCTCTCTCTCTCCTCTCTCTTCCTCTCGTACCGGACATTCTCACGGGAGCTGAATTTGCGGCACAATGGAAACGATATTACTGAACGACACTCACCGTCATTAACTTTTTACTCGGCGGTACAACGGCGTTCTCGTTGCACGACATGACTGCGACGTGTCACCGAGTATATACGTGGCAGTCGGTTAAACAACTGAATCCACACTCACTATCAATAAACGTCGATCACAGCCGGTGCCACTGGATGCACTGTCAGCACTGTCACACAGTCCGGCACGATAGAAGTAGTGATAAAAAGTTGGGTAAACTCATGCGCATGCGCGACGAAAAAGTGAGGATTCCAGTAACGTATCATAAATATGCCTATACAATTGTTGGTTAGGTGGGATGCTAATCAAACGGTGACTTGTAATTAAAATTGCGTACATTTTGCATTACATTTATGATCTTTTAATTTTATAAATGTATTTGATTCATAATGCGTATATTTAATTAATTTAATAATTTTAAAAATATGCCAAGGCCCGGTAATGGCACCTTACTTTATTCGTTCTGCATACTACCCTGAAGCCAAAATCGTTGCACATGCGCGTCAACCTATTCAACTGATCCATCACTGATCTGAAATCAGCGAAATTTATAATGTAATATGAGGTGAACCAACAGCTAAGCGAAAGATACTGAATGAATCGAGACACTTTTGTGCGATGGTTGTGCAGAAAGGATGTTGAGATACATTATTGTGTAAACGTAGCAACAATATGATAGAATATATGGCAAACAAGATCGAAGGCTCGGCAAGGTCGTATTTTTAATTTCTTTATTCCTGTAGATATGCTTTTTTTATCGCTTTATCATATTCTCTCTCTTATGCGTCCTTCCAATATTCTATTTTTATAGAAAACCCAGAAAAACAAGTAGTAGATATTAATTCGTATAGATTTGTGATCGACTAGTCCTTGACGAGTTCTTGTGCGACTCGTCACACACAGGAACACACAATTGTAGTTTAGTTAATAGTTTCTCATGAGATGATAAGAAATTGAAGGACGAATCCTCTGTACGCATAATGAATGTTAACGCCGTCTTTTAGGACTCATTAACGAATAGATCTTTTTTTTTAACAAAAGGTGCTGCCTATTATAAGAAAAAAAAATAGGTCACGTTTGAAGAAAACATAAGAGTAAGATTTCTCGCTGAGTGCGATTTTTCATAAAAATATACTGGGGGCAAATGAAGCGGTTGACTTTTTTTTGAGGTTTTATTCGCCATAAAATAGAGTGTATACATTCTGCATAAATATAAGAGTATTATAAAATTCAGGTCTAAGCGTTGATACGCATTCACGAGTGAGGAGTTTGTATCGTTGTTAAAACACGTGCTGCTGACTGCTACTCGATTCTCGAGCACTACTGTAGAGGATCTGTCTCATACCTTATATCAAATTTTTAGAAACTTCAACCACATTGTTAAAGAATTTGTGTATTGAATACGATATACAAGAAATCCGACAAGTATGGATATTTACGAAATTTATGAAAAATAAAGTAAATAACAAATTTTTAGATTTCAAGCAATGTAGTTCCAAATCAATGAGCAAATTTGTGATTAATAGAAAATAAATTAACATATTGGTATATCATTAAAAATCATTAGATATCAACACAGTCACTTAAAGGACCTTAAAGAATATTTTCGACTTGTTCTAGAGAAAATAATTGCACGATGATAACTTTATAATCGTAATAACGTATAATTAAAGACGAGAAATTGAAAATGAGAAATATATAAATTCTCTGAAACACGCGGGACACTTTAGATTTTGTTAACTAAGCCTCGTGTGGACACACGTTAGTGCTCGAGGGTCAGAAGAGCAAGGGGGACACTTAGACAAAACATGATTTTTGGAGAACGATAGATCGCGTGTGCCTTCTTCGTTCGCTGGATTGCTTTTATGAGGAACTGTGTGTGACGATAATACTGCAAGTTATCATTTCCACAAGCGATAATAATAATAAAATCAGAGAGAAACACTAATAACGTATACATTACCATTACAAAACGTATAAACTAAAAAAGGGAATAAAATTATTTTTAATTAATTCTTAATTAACGACCTTCGTAGAAAAGAGAAATCTAGTTAGAGAGTTTTCTTCAGTATGTCTGTATAAAAATAGAATCTCTCGAATAACCTCTAAATTCAAAAACGAGAGAGACAGCGACAGTAATGAAAATGTATATACTGGATGAGTTATTAAAGAAAAAAAAACTGCCTTTTTAATAATGATTTTAATGATAAACGAAATAAGATACCTTTTTTGAAGCATTTATATATTAATGAACATATTTTATGCCGAATGATGAAAGAAATTGATACGAATTTTTTTTTAATCATGCAATTTCAATTCAAAGAAGTAAAGGCAATCTTTATATTTTTAAATAACTTCTAAGGCGACTTTATATTATAAAATAATTGTGCAACTGGAACAAAGTTATAACGATCATAAGAAACTTGTAAAAATCAAATACGGCTTTTGTCTATACATACAGGGTGTTTGATAGCTCATCATGCAGACGAAAGTTGGAGATAGATTGGGTGTAGCCGAGAAGAAAAGTCATGTACCATAATGTCAAATTGGCAATAGTTATCGAGTTATTAATTAAAACATGTGAGCCAACGAGCGCGTAGAGAGCGGAGGGCGACCGCAGTAAGCACATAGACATTTGATACAGGCGGAGTCAGCGAGTGGCGATAGGCGAGCGCGCGCGGCGAGGGGCAACGTAAACAACAAAAGGCGAACGCGCGCGACGAGGAGCGAGCGAGCACAAGTGACAAGAGGCGAGCGAGCGCGACGAAGAGCGAGCGAGCGCGAACGACGAGGAGCGAGCGAGCTATAAGGAAAAACCTATAAAGAAAAAGCTCGCTCGCTCCTCGTCGCGCGCGATCACCTTTTGTCGCTTACGTTGCCCCTCGCCGCGCGCGCTTGCCTACCGACACTCTCTGACTCCGCCTGTATCAAATGTCTACGTGCTTACTGCGGCCGCCCTCCGCTCTCTATGCGCTCGTTGGCTCACATGTTTTAATTAATAACTCAATAACTATTGCCAATTTGACATTATGGTACATGACTTTTCTTCTCGACTACACCCAATCTATCTCCAACTTTCGTCTGCATGATCAGCTATCAAACACCCTGTATATGTACATGTTTTGTATAAAAATGTATCCATACGTATATATATATATATATATGTACAGGATATTTCATTTTAACTTTCGCATTAAAAAATCTCGAAATCTTCAAGGTCGACGAAAAAATGTTTCAGACAAAAGTTGTATGATTTCAAGGAGGACATAAAAAAAATATATTATTTTGTTTACAAATGGCACCACTTTCGAGATATTCACTGATCATTACTTTTCTTAAATGGAAACCACAATTTTTTATTACACCGTCTTTTTCTACCAATTAATATAAACAACTTTTATCTAAAACATTTTTTTATTTGTCCAATATTTTTTGAGATATTTGAGGAAAACTTGATAACTTTTTCAATATTTAATTTACGATATCTCGCTAACTATTTGGAAAGGATATCGGAAGCAAAAGTGATACTAGACTTTCTTGCTTTATTTAGTCTCAAGGATATATTGTTACAATAGTGCCCTGATTTTTGATCATTTGGTGATTTTGAAATTTCCAAAAATCAGTAAGTTAACAAAAGTCAAGGCGCTATTGTAACAATATATTCTTGAGACTAAATAAAGCAAGAAAGTTTAGTACCACTTTTTCTTCCGACAAATAGTTAGCGAGATATCGTGAGTTAAATATTGAAAAAGGTATCAAGTTTTCTTTAAACATCTCAAAAAATATTAGGTAAATAAAAAAATGTTTCAGGCAAAAGTTGTTTATATTAATTGGTAGAAAAAGACGGTGTAATAAAAAATTATGGTTTCCATTTAAGAAAAGTAATGATCAGTGAATATCTCGAAAGTGGTGCCATTTGTAAACAAAATAGTATATTTGTTTTACATCCTCCTTGAAATCATACAATTTTTGTCCGAAATATTTTTGCGACCTTCGACCTCGAAGATTTCGAGATTTTTTAATGCGAAAGTAAAATGAGACACCCTGTATACATATAATTATACATATATACATATATATAATCATATACAATTGTGCTACAGTTCGTGCGAGTGTAGAACGAACTAAAGCGAACAAAAAAGTCCCCATGCTGTTTTGCGATATTCGCAATAATTATCAAGTTATTAATTATAAAAGTGAAATGAATGTGAGCGCTTACAGCGATGGTAAGGAAGAAATGTTTGAGCCGTTCTTGAACGCAGCCCTGTCGTTTTAGCAACTTGCTGTTGGGCGGTGAGAGGAAGGACAACGCGTCTAAGCTCGTATCGATATGGCCGCTCAATATTCGCGATTACAATTACAAGGTTACTTCATGAGATGACATAGGTGCGAGAGTTGGATTAAAGCAAAGCTATGTGCAGCGACGCTTTCCTTGCCTCCATTTGGAAACGAAAGGATTCGCGTTTAACTGAACAGGGCTTATCGGACAAGGAACATTATTTATGAGACATAAAAAATAAAAAATGGCTCATATTCATATTGTAACCGTAAAAAGTTCTGTGACAAAGAAAAATCAAAAGAGAGAAAGATAGCTCTCTATCGTACAACCACAAAAGGAGAACATAAAAAAATCGATCATTAATTTATGACAGGCTTCCGTTAATCTATGCGAAGAAGGAAACTTTAAGTTTCTGTTATCGTTAATATCATTAATATCACACTGATTACGACTGATTCAGGTGTGTATTCGCAGTATCAGTTCGAATGATTATAAACTGAATTCATTGGTCTTCTTGGTATTATCATACGTTATAAACGTACTTTTAATTCAGATTTCTCAAAGCGTAGTATTCGGGAAGAAACGAATCGATAGCTCACGACAGCTTCCCGAATCTTTTTAAGATTTTGTTTTTTATCTTTGTAGAATCTTGGACGGTGTTCTGAACTCTTTTTTTTAAAGGAGAGTTCAGAATACCGGATATTCGACTTTGGCTTAAAATTTTTCGATCATGAACGTCCTAGAAACTTGCTTCAGACCCTTGCGTCTTTTTTTATGTGATCGAGTTTAGATTTTCGAACAATTTCTTTTTCTTGTATCATTGAAATGTAGGTTATTTTTTTAATCCTGATGTTTTCCAAATTTTTGGGTCATCAGAATCCGGTGTAAAATGTATATACATCTTAATATGTGTATCTCACTCGTTAAACAAATAAAGATCATTACAGAACATTTTACGACGACGTGAAATAGTTCCAGAAGAGTAAGAAATAATCATAAGAGAGTCTCGGAAATTGCAAATAGTCAATTGCGTAAAAATTATTTAATGTAAAAAGTCTGAAGAAGCGAAAAAAAAATGAAATGGCTTGATAATTGTTAAATGCGAAGAACTGAAGAACGGACTCTGACACTTAACTTGTAACATTATATAATAGTGAGTAAGCTATATTTTGTTTAAATCAGTGAGTGAAGTATATATATGCATACATGTGTACATGCGTATATATGTGCATATGTTATGTATTACATAAGTTTCTCTGCATATTATTGTCCTCGTATTGTTCCTTAAGAGCACTATTAAGTTACATAACTCTATTTCAATGTAGACGGTTTGTGGATAAATGTTCTCATTAGACACGCACACACATATACGCACGCAACTTTAAATTTCTGCTATCATTAATATCACACTGATTACGACTGATTTCAAGTGTTTTTTCTACGATACGCGAATGAAAAATCTGGATCGATAAATGTAGATCCCGTCGGCTTTTGTGACTTTCTCTCTTTCGATTTTTTTCTCATAGAACTTTTTGGGCTTTCAACATGAGCCGCTTTTGCTCTCATGAGATGACTTCGTATTGCAATCGCGAATATTCAGTAGCCATATACATATCGATACATATCTATACGAGCGTCGACGAGGTGCGGCGAGACGTAAGAGCGGCGGGGTAAGCATACGTGCAGCGGCGCGTTGTCCTTCCTTTTCGCTACGCGACAGCAGTTGCTAGAAATGACTAGAAGACCTGAGAACGGCTCAAACTCTCCTCCCTTATCATCTCGGCGCGTGCTTGTTTATCCAACTTCTATAATTAGAATTAATGACTTGATAATTATTGAGGACATCACAAAACGATACAGGATTTTCTTGTGCGTCTTAATCAGTTCTATGCGAACTGTGGCACGATTGTTCTAGGATAGCCTGTATAATCATGTATGACTCACATATGAATTATATTTCCATATCTGAACATGTATAATTATAGTTGATACAAAAAATGCTGCTGAATGAAAAGAGAATATAATAATTTGATTTAATTAAACGTTGACATTACGGTCTGCCACAAACATAAGCATTTACTTTGTATTTATACAATATTCCTTTAGATATACATATATATAATTATATATATGTGGATGCTGTATGCAAATAAAACTCATACATGAATAATTTTTTCCAACTTTTCGTGAAGCAGTTTTTAACAGCTCATCCAATATGCGGAAGTGACGAAGTATAATATGCAAGTACTTTGGAGAGTACTCGATGGTGAAGAGAAGTTACAGAGTTGGTACAAAAATGCGATCTCTGCCTCTGTCATTTGTTCATCATACAACGAAATTATTTTTAGTACCCTGCCGAGAAACGATAACTACAAAATTGCAATGCAATATATATATATATAATTATATAATTTTAGAATCATATTTTTTAAATTATATATATATATATATATATATATATATATACATATATATATAATTTTCAATTCTTTTTTATTTATTTTTTGACAAAAAAGATAGGGTTTGCAAATCATTTTTTTACTTGATCAACGATAAATCTACGATTTACATCTTGCAAGAGTGGAACATATAGTTCTATTCTCTAATACACATAAATCGCATATGAGGGACTGCAAGGTCTCAAAAGCTGCCTCAAAATCAAGGAAGTTTGCTTATTTTATGATAGATATCTTTCAACCGAAATCTTGTATTTTCAAATTAAATTTTACTCTTTTTAATTATGGGTTTTTTTTCAAACATCTCAACTTGCCAAGAGCTTAACAGAATTTACATATCTTCAAGTTCAAGTGCAAGTGGCGGTTAATTAGCGTTTTTACATCATGAGCCATCTCGTTATATGCAAATCAAATCACAGAGTATCAGTTCGGAAAATTTGGCCTTCTCTTTATCTCCTTATCCCTGGTAGTCTTTGATCAATTTCGACCGACACAGTGAGGAAATTTTCATTCTCTATTTGGCTCGACTTTTAAAAAGAAAGGGATTATTCACGAAATTTTGAAGGACTCATCGCGGACTCTTCTCTTTCCTCTCTTTGATAAAGACAATCTTTTATAAGTCGTTCCAATCTTCTCAGCTCTTTTATATCTCGAAAGTGATTTTGTGTTCCAGCAACATGTTGTTATCCGGGGGTAAGGATAAACAAGCTCTCAGGATATTCTCAATGGCAGCTCGTTGTCGAAAGAGAGCATTCACCACAGGTGTCCCTAAAGGCACAAGGGGAGCTTTACACAAGTAAGATAATATTGACAGGACACTATGGAAGCCAGAGAAGTCCTCAGTGTCGTCTGCTTTTTTAAAAGTGATGCGAGAGCAAAGCTCGGCGAGAATCACCAGGTCAAGTATAATGGGAGATGCTAGGAGCGAATCTTCGCATGTATTATGGATGACGATGGTGTTGTGACCGCCAAGCATGATTTCGGACGTGTACTCGTCCATGGCTCTTTTGCTGTCGCCTAGAAAAATATGACAAACGATATGATGAAGAAGATCTATGGTAAGTTTAAGGCCATCAAAGACCAACTATAAGCATGCTAGATAAAGCTAAGTTCTCTCTTAACCCGGCGTCATTGAGGCTGAGTCATGGCGTCCCGTTTTTAAAGCCATTAAATATTTCATCAAATTATTAAGAAACTACTGTTCCATAGAAGCTACTAAAGGGTGTCCCAAAATTCATACAAGAAGTAATTTTGATAGAAAACAGGTTTATAATTAAAAATTGTAAATTTTTTTTTTATTCATAAAGTATACAGTATAGGGTTATGTATGGAATAGCATATCGGGTAAATGGCCTCCACGGCTTTGCTGGCACATATGCACTCTTTTGTTGAAATTTTCCATGACCGTTTTGCATAAATGTGGCTGAATTTCGTTGATACAGCGCTTAATTTCCTCATTCAAGGCGTGGGTGGTCGTGGGCTTGTTGGCATAAACCTTAGACTTCAAAATACCCCAAAGAAAAAAGTCCGACGGCGTTAAATCGCATGATCTGGGCGGCCAAATCTGATCACCAAAACGGGAAATTACACGACCAGGAAGTGACTCATGCAGTAATTGAATTGTTTCTCAAGCTGTATGGCATGTGGCACAGTCTTGTTGAAACCACATGTCGTCCACATCCATATCTTGCAATTTAGGCACAAAAAACTGGATTATCATTTCGCAATAGCGAGCACCATTAACTGTTATTGCCTGACCAGCCGCATTTTCGAAGAAGAACGGTCCGATGTCTCCAGCCCAAAATCCGCACCAAACAATGGGTCTGTTCTTTATAGTTGCACTACTGAACTGGTGCAATAAGTTAAAATGAGACAATTATATTTTTTCTCACTCTAACTTATTGCACTAGTTCAGCAGTGCAGCTATAAAGAACAGACCCATTGACACGTTGTGGATGCATTTGTTTCTCAACAATCACTCATGGATTTTCTGAACCCCAAATGCGACAATTTTGTCGATTAACCAAGTCATCAAGATGAAAATGAGCCTCATCGCTGAAGATGATTTTGTTCGCCAAACTTTCATTATTTTTAAAATATTGCTCAACAATGAAAACGCGTTGTTCTTTCGTGTAGCACTCCATTTTAAAAACCCTGAACTGTCAGCTGTCACGTTGTCTTTTTTTTTCGTTGGCAACACTTTACCGCACAAATGGCGCAAAATTCAAATCTTGCGTGAATTTTGGGACACTCTTTAGCTTTCCGAAACCAGAGTTGACACTGCGAGGGTGGACCAAACAATAATCGGATCATCATGACCTCAACGTGCGTGTAACATTTTACCATCACAATGACGCCGGGTTAATATTGATTTCTTTAGTATGTCATATGATCAGGAACAAATTATTTCCAATCTCCTTATTGAATGTTAATTTTTCTTTATTTTTATCTATCATAATCGTGTATCATATCTGATTTTAATTGTCTGTATAACTAATTTTATTATCTCTTCTCGTGCAATAATGGAAAATATTCCCGTATACTTGTATACATAATAATAACAAAAGAGAAATATAAAACTAGATATTAATAAGATATTAATAATTAAGACTATTAATCTTTTATCGACTAAAACTTTCAGTATGAATATATTAAGAATACTTTCCTTTTTCAATGTATGATATTCGCTTATCATTTCCTTGCTAAATTAAATATATAGTTGTATTACATGAATAATGTTACGTGATATCAAAATGAGATCTTACCGACGTAGGGAACGTATTTGATAACGACGCAATGATCTGGCTTCTCTCCGGGTTTGTAAAGAATCTTGTTGGACTCTACCATATCGTCCACGACATGGTTCTTGGAGATCTGTATTGCATCAATCATAGATTAAGACATCGCATGATGAAATTTTTAATGTACAATTTAATAGACAAATATAGACTATACACGGAAATATCTCGAAAAGGAGAAGTTTCTCAAAAATATGTTTTTGATGAAAGTTTTATGGCTTCGAAGGGGAAAGATGGTATTACCAATTTAATTGTAGATGGCGTCACTTTAGAGATTTCATCGTCGTGGCCATTTTTTTAAATGGATATCTTTTTTCGAGATAAAAGTTATAGCTGACGATAAAACGAGTACATTTTTTTTAAACTGAATCATTTTTCAGTGAGTTACAGCATTCCAAAATTTATAATTCAAGTAAAAAACTCCTATCCTCATACAGTATGTGTTTTATGACTCCGGACCGCCCTATATATATAAATATTTTTTTCAATACATATTACGTACTTCCTTTGAGCGAAACTGCTGCGGCGCAGACAGATTGTAACCATCGTTGTTCCCTAAATGATTGTAGCTGACGATCGACACTGGCTTGATGCCGGCCGACACGAGGAAATCCACCAGCACAGACTTGAGCTTCGTTTGACCAGACTTGAAGTCGTCACCACCGACGAAGGTTTTCTGTTTCTCGGCCAGCTCCAATGCGCCCGGCACGAATGTGTTCTGTGGCGAGCCGTTGATGTAAGTACACTGCAAGAGTATAAAGTCAGTCGGTAATTAAGCCGGACTTCCCTCCATAATCAATAATGAGGGATACCTTACCCCGAATCTGAGACGCTTCGCACATTTTACAACTTGTTTCTCGTTACGATTTTAATATAATATTTAAGTATACGCTTTTTATCGGATGATATCCGATATTAAAATATACAAGTATAATAAAATAAGCGTATAAATATTGATATTCAATTAATATAATAATTTATTAATATAATAATATAATATTTAATGTTTATAGACTTACAAATTATTAATATTTAATACTTTTGTACTTTAATATGGCAATATCTTCAGCTATATATTTCTCACGATATCTTACTCCTTCTAAAGCCGCAGCTACAGCGAACATAGTGCTAGGACTAATCTCCGGATGATCCTCCTCGATCGCCTTCAGCAGATTGTCACTCGTATCGTTAACATCTGGGATTATCTTCGAAAATCTCTCGGTATTGGCGGTCCACAGGACGATCACCTGGTCTAGATTCTTCGTGCTCATGAATTCCACGATATCGGAGCGGATTAACTTCAATTGCTCGGACTTACTCCCCGAAATGACGTTATTCGCTCTTTTATTCTTTATAAAAAAAGATAGGTCATATATCAAATAACAATAAGCAATAAATAATATAAAGAAACGGTCAGAAAAAATGACTCACTTGGTTCGGGGCAATGAAGTCGGAATAATATATACTCTTGCGTGGCCGCATATGTGTCATATGTGATCGCAGCTGCAACTGTAGATTCGTGTCCAGCACCTTCGCGCGTGCTATTGCCTCTGCGAGGTTCATGTTGGAGATGTCCCAGCCATCAATCTCAATATCATCGGGGTTCAACATGGGCAACATGCTGGACATGGGCACGTACACTTCGCCTTTACTCGACCTGCCGAGCCTGACGGTGGACGCTTGCGTCAGGGAGCCGTACCTGCGGAATCAAGACAAACAGACGTTAAATTTATTGCATAATTAAATGAAAAAGAAAAACGAGTACATATCTAAATGAAAAATTGTGAAATATAAATCGACGTCTAAATACAAAATTCAAAAAGATTAATTTCTTTGGAAAAAATGGAGCAGCTGCATTACATCTTATGTGGTATATCTTCACTTCTAGTTGGTACGAATACGAATACGAATGAATTATTGGAATACATTACCAGTTTGCAAACTTCACACCCTCCTTTGTCTCCCATGATAATTTAAACTTGTTTGCCAATAGGGCTGCTGTTATAGTGCTGCCGTTGTTACCACCCCAGCCCACCAACATTAAACCCAACTTGGGAACTTTCATCACAGTCCTTATCAGTAGTTTCGTCGATGTTGGTTTTACCTGTATGAAATGTCGTTGAAGATTAAGAAGATAGTTATATATAATAATCACAATAATAAAAACTAAAAAAATAAAAATATGAGGAAAATATATTATAATTAATTATAATTATAAGTATATTATAATTAATTATATCTATCTATATTATAATTGTATCTATATCTTGAATTTTATACCGAATGCAAAAAATATCCTTAAAAAAAAATGTCGAAATAAATGATAATATAATGTACGATTTTAAAATATATGGTGGCAATGATAATATAACTTTAATAATTATATTTGTTTTTATAATTTAAAAAAATGTTAACAATCAAAATCATGCATTACAATCAAAACTCAAATTGCAAGTATAAATGCAAATCATGCATTTGCTTGAATTAAATAGATCAAAATATAGCTATATCTAAAAATGCTAAAAAAATCATTAAATAGATCTATCGAATCCGATTAAATCTGCTTAATGTGAGATATATATTAAATGAACACACAAAATATATTAAATGAATCGCCTACGAGACGCACGAAATACAAACAACCTCTGGAACACACAATATTACTTCTCACTACCTCAGAACATACAATATTACTATATGAATTAATTTAAAAAGTGAAAAGTGCAAGTTACGAGATAATGACAATATGATTTTAATAATATAACGGTACGATTTTGACGTAATAACAATATAATGGTATAATGATAACAATATTAATTATGATAAATATAACAATAATATAATATAATGATAATAATATCCAGTTGCCCGCGGAACGAGATCTCGTTTCGGGACCAATTGAAATAACCTTCCAAGTGAAAGCATCCCTTAATAACCGGGAGAATTTTATTGACCCCCATGGCATTCAGTTGGTATTTAACTCGAACGTTAACTCAAACTTTTTGACGACTCGAGATGCATGATTGATCCCAATTGAACTCAATCTGTACGTGAGCTCGCGATTAACTGGAAACTAATTCGAATGCCGTTTAACGGGTCATCTAATATGTTCAACATGTATGCGATATACAGGGTGTCCCAAAAGGATCACCCTAATAACTCTTCAGTATTGAAGTTTCAAGAAAAATGATCTGAATAAAAGTCGTAGGAATTTAAGTGAGCTACCTTATGATGACCTTGACTTTAACCTTGACCTCTATTTTCAAGGTCATTTGAAGGCCAACTTGCGTTTTTTAAATGGGAACCCTTATTTTTTATTAAACTGTTTTTTTCTACCAATTAATTTGAACAACTTTTGTTTAAAATATTTTTTTACTTGCCTAATATTTTTTGAGATATTTGAGAAAAACGTGATAACTTTTTTAATATTTAACTTACGATATCTCGCTATTTGTTGGAAGAAAAAGTGGTACTATACTTTCTTGCTTTATTTAGTCTCAAAAATATATTGTTACAATAGCATCCTGATTTTTGTTAATTTGATGATTTTAAATTTTCCAAAAGTCTGTAAGTTAACAAAAGTCAAGGCGCTATTGTAACAATATATTCTTGAGACTAAATAAAGCAAGAAAGTCTAATATCACTTTTTCTTCCGACAAATAGTTAGCGAGATATCGTAAGTTAAATATTGAAAAAGTTATCAAGTTTTCCTCAAATATCTCGAAAAATATTAGACAAATAAAAAAATGTTTTAGACAAAGATTGTTCAAATTAACTAGTAAAAAAAAACAGTGTAATAAAAAATAAGGGTTCCCATTTAAAAAAACGTAAGTTGACCTTCAAATGACCTTGAAAATAGAGGTCGTCAAAGTCAATGTCACCATAAGGTAACTCACTTAAATCCCTACAACTTTTATTCAGATCATTTTCCTTGAAATTTTAATACTACAGAGTTATTAGGGTGGTCCGTTACTTTTTCAAATGAATACCCTGTTTATATACAGGGTGTTCATTTGAAAACTTTCCAGCTAATTATCTCGAAAACTATGATATTAAAAAAAGCTAAAACACGTGTTCCATGATTTCGAAGGTGAAAGAGAATGGCATTATCAGTTTTTTATTTGGAGAGCATTTTCAAAGTCAGTTGAAGGTCAACTTAATTTTTTAAAATAGAAGGCCCAATTTTTTATTATATCTTCTTTTTCTACCAATTAATTTTAACAACTTTTGTTTGAAACATTTTTCTATTTGCCTAACATTTCGCCTAATATTTTTTGAAATATTTAAGGAAAAATTGGTAACTTTTTCAACATTTAATTTACGATATCTCGCTAATTATTCGTCGAAAGAAAAAATAGTATTAGACTTTTTTACTGTATTTACTATCAAGAATATATTACTATAATAGTGCTCTAACTATTGTTAACTTATCGATTTTTGAAAATTTCAAAATTATTAAATTAACATACATATATATACATATAACATATTTCTATACATTGTATCGGACGCGACGTATCCGGAATGAAAAGTTTGCGGATTTTTCTGACTACTAAGGATTCGGAAATCGAACACTCTTTCCATCTGGAGAAGGGAAGAGAATGAAGGTCCATCTACCAGAGGAAAGAGAAGTCGACCGATGTCTACGTGCGAGATACGGACTGCGTTTCGAAATTCACTGCCAGCACTGAAAATCTATAGTATACATGACATAAACTATGTATTTTCAATACTGGCAGTGAATATCGGAATGCAGCCACGGTATCAGTGCAACGTCTACCGCATCTGAACGAATCAGCAGGAATAACTTGCGGATTGTTCTACCGGGACAGCTGTGTTCAGCCGATGATGTTGCTTATAGCGCGAGGCGGTGACGATGTTTGTGATTCAAACGCGCACGCGCCTATTTTCGAAGTTGTGTGTATGAGACAAAAGGACACAAGCAGAGTAAACATCAGCGTGGGTAAATTATTAACATTTTGCAAGAACGTTCCACGTGTCTTCGCCACTTCGACAATGACGCCCCATCGAGGGAGGACGTGCGTTTTGCTCATCAGTCTTGTACACCCTTGTCAATTTTATCCGACGATGTGCCTCGTTTTATTCAAAATCTCCCTTCGCTCGTAGTCCCCCCTTTTGCTTCTATTGATTTTATTGCCCCGATTGAATAACATGTAGTCTCGGTCCATTCATTCATTCAATAAATGACTGTGCGCTGGAAAACCCCAGGCTTGACGCCAACCCCTCCAGTAGTATGAAAATAAAAAAAAAACAAGGACAAAGCGTAAGCAGTCGCCACGATAAAAAAATATGCGTAGTTACAAGAACCACATCCAACCGCCACGAAGGCGAACAAAAAAACTATGTGGTCTCAGTTTTACACGTTCGTCCCGGCGGGTGTGTTAAGGTCATTCTACAATACGTGTCGTAAGTTGTAAGCCGTAAAAATTGGCGAATCACAATCAATTATTATAAAAATAATCGGCCATAATTGGTCAATTATTACGGTCAATTACGGCTTACAACTTACGACACGTATTGTAGAATGACCTTTACACTTTGCATCGCCGGGCTCTCGATCTCATTTAGAACACCCGATTTTATTTGAATCTTCGCTCACCGGTCTTCCGCTTGCGCTCTCCAGGCGGAACAGGAAATCAGAATGACGTCAAAATGACGAGGAAAACTGATTTTTCCATCATGACTCGGTTATTTTCTTGTCATTTTGATGTTATTTTTATGTTATCATGATTTTCTGTTCTACCTGAGACGTTCATATCGATTTTATTGCCGCGAGATTGAGCAACGTGTGCAAACAAACGGAGACCCGCCGCATCCTCCGTTGATCATCAAACGGCGAAAATAATCGAGAGATCCCGGAAGATCGTCGGGAGAGGACACCTATCTGCGAATATACTTGGCATGACAGCTCGCGCGTATCGCGCGATAAGCGTCGGCACACTTCCAATGGATCGATCAACAGATGAATAGACACGGCCCCACTCACCGTGTATACATCCTCGTCGTCATTGTTGTCGCCGGTCACGCTTGTCGTCTGGTATTCGTATTCTGCCTCGATGAAGTCGTCCGTATAGCGCAACCCCGGCGAATCCACGCGCACCTTTGGTCCCGTCATCCCACTGAGGATACGGTATGCGACGACGACTAATGGAAAAGACGAGAACGAATGAAAAATGACGAAGGCGCCGACGGTCCCAAGACGCAGGCCACGAGCGCTCGGCTCGCGCTGGACTCCTCAGGTTCGGAACGCGCCGGAACCGAGACCGTGAGGCACGATTTTCACGAGTTCGTTTCACGTGAACTTCGCTGGCCGGAGAATCAGCGCGCCGAGGTGTTGCAACAGGCAGGCGGCTTCTGGAACTGGCAGGGATTTCATTAAGGACATCGGCGATATCTCAGGCGGCGGCGGCGGCGGAAGAGCGCGCGATAGTGAATTTCGCACGGCGACAAATCAACGAAACACGAGACGAGCTCTTCCACGAAAACCGGGACGAGGATATCGCCGCGCTGTCGAACTCACCGAAATCGTGCCGATCGCACGTGCAATTCGCGCGCACGCTCCGCCGGAGGGAAAGAGGAAAAGAGTGTGAGCAAGCGCTGGAAAAACCGAGAGCGGCGAGAGGAGCGAAACAAGAGAGACGATCGAGGTCGGTTCGCGCTTTGCGACTACTGAAACGTAAATGCGGCGCAGTCGTGCCCGCCGGCCGTCGTTAAGGGTCGCGAACGGATGGCCAAGGGGAGTGCGCGAGCGAGGGCGCCTCTCACGAGAAACGTGGATACCACTCCGTGATAACGGAGAAAAATCCCTCCGACAGCCCATTATGTCTAATACGGGGAATCATTAATAAATATTAATAAAATAAGCGCTGTAGTAACGGATACCGCGACAGAAATGGGTCGCGCGACCTTGGTATCGATGGCTCGCAGGAGCGAAAGTAATATCGAGTGAAGATATATTCGTTCCGTCACGAATAGAATACGACGGGAAAATAGGGTATGGACAAAGCTGAATGTAGTCCGGAGCCAACAAAGAACCACCACTACTACTACTACTATTACGAATAGAATACGCGCGAACAGATATCTCTCCCATTTCTTTCTTATCTAAATTGCAATCGAGTGTGATTTTGTTCGTTTTCATCCCGGCTGTCGTCAAGCCGTTGATCGGCCTCGGTGGCTCTTCGTGATCGAACGTGTCACTTCAGCATCCGTTGCATCCGTATTTGAAAGTTTTCGTTGCTGCTCGGCTAAAAGAATGCAAGGGAGTTATCGGGTGAGTTTCGGTGCTCGTGAGAACACCAACGGCGTATCGTAGTATCGTGTGTCATGGAATGCGTATGCGTATAACGGAGCACGCGGAGGGAGAGAGGGGGGGAGAGAGAAAGAGAGAGAGCCACATATCAATTTTAGAGAAAAATACCTTGAGATAAAGGTATCAGTGCGAAGCACATACTTAACTTTGGACCTTACCATTATTTTGATCTCGAAATTTGAATATTAAACTCTTAAGGTGAAATATCTGTGTGGAAAGTTTAAATATTCGTATTTAAAGACTAAAACAAAATAAGAACAATGATAAGAGCAAAATGAAGAATTAAGTACGTGTTGGTATTTTTAGTTTAAATAAAAAATTGAGTTTTGAAGAGGACACTCGACGCCAGTGATAATCTCATTGTAAATAGTTTCGAGAACTTTCGAGAGACACACACGAGCATTATTTTTTATTCAACGTGGCAAGAGAATACCATCTTTTGTCTCATTAAAACTGATTTATCTTCGATCTAAGTTTCCTAGGCTCCATTTCAATGACAGCATGGTTCAAAAGAACTATACTCGGTCTTTACATCGTAAAGAAGCGAGGTGTCCACTCCTAATTTAATCGACTCGTTCATTCAACGTCTTGCTCCGTTCTTATTGTCCAAGACTTCCAATCTCCAACGCCAAATCTCAGTACAATCTCAATCCTCAATGCGTAGTCTGATACGCGCTTAAGTTGCCGCTTCCTGTCTTATCGTTAAAGCTCGCCTGAAACCTTGTCCCTCGTCCTCTTCCCCCTGCTCAACCAAAAGTCGCTCATTGGCTGTTATTACATGTTTCCCCCTCTCCTCCTTCATCTTTTTATTTCACTGCACTAGCGAAAACGGAGGCGGAGGAGACGAACAGAAGTGTGTGATGGCGTGTTATATATTACAAGAAATATATTTTTTAATTACACTGTAACATTTTTTCCGATAAGAAGACTTACAAACTTTTCGAAATTTCTTATTTTCGAGATTTCTTTCTTTTGTCTAACGTTGCAAACGATGATAGCCGATATCGGTAGTTTAAATTATTACTTGCGATCTCATTAATTTTTCGGCGACCGACATAAAAAAAAGTATCGATAAAAATTCAGCATTTATCGAGATTTTTGTATTTAGATATATTCTGATATAAAATATATATTTTAGTATTTTTGCGATTATAAAGCGTAAATTGTCATGTGTTTATTTGGCTTATAAAACAAAGTATAGAATATAAATTTTATATAAACATATAATAAATAAATAATAAACATAATATATTTTAAACAAATTTTCGTGGTTTGTTATGATGAAAGATAACTTCTCGAGAATTACGCAATGAATAAACTTTCAATATTTAAATTTATATATCAAATTTATATATTTTCATAAATCTCACATATATATGTATATATAACTTTTATTTGATCTCTTTTGAGTATTGGTAAAGTTATACCTGTTTTGATTTAGTTTTTCTTATCGATTATCGTAAACGTTGGAATCTCGTGATGCTCTTTGCGACTCGACGTCGTTGTTCGAGAAGGCGTATCTCGAAGAGGTAGTTCGTTTAGGTGGCAACAGGAATATCAGCGATATCGCCATGACGATGTGCCACATACTGTGAATATACTGTAACGAAGTAAATAGTAAAAAGATCTTTGCCAAGTGGTCAATCGAGAGAATCTCAAGTGGAATATATCGCAAACATACGCACTGCATAGTTCTTCTCGGTTTCGGCGAAGGAATAAAGCAACATGCCTGTTATAGCGAGCAACAGACCTATTATCGTCTTGCCTTTCGGCTTCTCCCATTTTTCAGCATGAAAATTGCGATAAATATACATAAAAATCTGCAAAACATACACAAATGTTTGTGAAAAATGGATATATGTGTTAAGATTTTTTAAATTTCGGAATGTACTTTTTCCCGAAGACTTACAAGTATAAGAATACCCATCGATAGCGGCACTAGTATGCTGATGAGACACATTTTATTGACCTGCACTGCTGTCATGATGACGAACACTCCTGTCATATGGCACATCGACGCGAACTTGCTAGTCAACTTCGCCATCGCCACCAGTGTTACCCAAAATGCAAGAATGCTCGAAAAAAAGTCGCTATATTGTAACACCTAGAAATAGTAGGACGGTTAAATTTCTGGAAAACTCTGCATACCTTCCTGTAAATAAATTTTGAAATAATTTTTCATAGACATGTGATATAAATCGAATAAATTTCGTACTTCATACTTTATGATGCAGAAACCTCCGTTATTCTGATCACAGGCGTGATAAAAGGACGAAAACAACATGGTGGCCAAGTATACCAATCCCTCCGCGTATAGTTTTCGTTTTGCGGCTAAATAAATGGCTGGTATAAAGAAAGCGTTGCTTAAAGTAAGCATCGTGACACTCAGGACGGATAAAATGGCGGCAGTGGTGTTTACAACTTCGGTACAATCATACCCCGCGTAACCTGGTGATTAAAACGTGAGTTTACGGGTAATTATAATATATAGAAGGGAATTAAAATATCAACTTATATAATTCTTCCAGTGTTTGTGTGTGTATATTAAATAATTCAAGTAAATGTCTAGGTAGCGTCAAGTTTCCCTTAATTGTCCAATAATCCAAAACAGAGACAAAATATTTTTAGATTTTTATTAAATAATTATTAATTGGTATAAATAATTTTTAACAATGATTAAGAGTTGAATGTAGTAATTTAGAGTAAAATACTGAATAGACTGTTGCTAAAATGAATCGACTTTCTAAATTATTAAAAAAGGTTATTAAAAAAAGTTGACTTTAAGTGGTATTACCTTCGAAGCAATTGCATGTTGTGTAGTGAAGATTGTTCCGCTGAATTTCTCGGCATACACCGTGATCACCACAAGGACTTGGATCGGAAAACACGCACTTTTTGGTGTGCACGTTCAACAACATGGAAACATCCTCAAATTGGCAATGCGCCGAATTGCTAAATTGAGTAAACTTCTAAATATATACATATATTATTTAAATAGATTGTTATAGAATTGGAAGCTATATTATTTATACGTTACTCACCCATAATCGTAACATATCGTATCGATAATAATATACCATACATCTGGTTGTGGATACGCTATTAACAAACTCGCGTTATGTTTATCGAATGAAGACAAATTCATTGATAACGCACCATTTTGACAGGAGTGGTTGAACTCGTCGAATTTTGGTATACGACCTCTCTGGACGCATAATATTATCAATATTAATACTTTCGGTGTCAGCTAAAAGGAAATTACAAAAATATAAGAATACTGATTAATTTATTGAGTAAAGCAGATAAATTGAATAAGATTTCTCTCAATTGTTCAATAATCCGAAATGGACGATAAGAGTTGGTTCTTATGGACCATTTAAAGCCGATATATATTTTACCTTTTCCGCTTCTAAATGCACACTGATATCAAGCGTGCCACCAGTATCTATTAATGGCAAAATATTGAATTGTATCATGATTGGGACCGAATCCATTAACATCAGACGCGAACTTAGCCATTCATTCCCCTAAAATATAACAATATATATAAAATTAGAAGTTGTAAATATTGAAAAGAATATAACAGAACGATATACACTCAATTGTTTAACTTTTATCAACTAGCAATTTATGATCCAACTCAATATTTCGATTTCATAATATTCAAAAAGTACCTGTAAGAAATAGACGGTCGAAAACGCCTTAGTATGTTTTACACGAACCAATTGATGACGTGGCATACAAACGTCTCCAGTATCAGGTTTCTTATTTCTTTGGTAAGATTGATTTTTGTAAAACACATATTTGCTATTGGTACTGTTTTCTTCATAACGTTGTACCTGTCTTACGGAATCTTTGGTATTTGATCCTGTTATGGAATTAAAGCTTACGGCGGCATTGATATATTCTCTGTTGAAATATTTTTCTATCACTCTGATGGGACATTCTGAAAAATAACAATATTGTTTTGAGATAATATTATAGATATTTCGTGATAGAATATTTAATGATGATATATATTTAATAACAGAATGTTGTAATTCTAATATGTTTGCAACATTGTTATCTCGTGATAAATTACTTCCATAAATACTGAAGAAAAGTTACTCATTAATCTTAAGAGTTAAGACCAATTATCAAATTATCAAAATATCAGATAATCACCAAATTACCTGATACAGTGACTTTAACGTCGAACTCTATGACACTATTAGAAATTATCGATAAGTAATAGTAGCTATCTTCATAAGGAGACATTTCTACAAATGTATAACTAGTATTTGTAGTCAAACTTATAGACTCCTCAGGATGAGAATAGTTGGAAGTCGGTAAAGCACGTCCCTTTAAGGATACGCTTCCGATGCAAGGCTCACGAATATCGTGATAACTGTGCAAAGTAAAACTGCAGTTCCAGATAGACAAACGGAAAGCCCATGTCTCTGAGGGGATGTATATTCTGCAAAATTCAAAAATTACAATTGATAAGTTATAATTGTAATTATCTATTATTTGTATATATATTTTTTTTTCATTCAATAAAAAAATAAAGGTACAGGTAAAATTAAGTATGCTCTATAAATAATGACAGATTATAAGTAATAAAATAATTATTTTACTTGTAGTATGTTATCGTCCCACTTGTTTGCAATGTTACTTTGTAACCGATAGGAATATTTTTAATACTGTCTACTTGTGACCATAAAGTTACTGTACCTATACTGTATTGGCATATGTGTCCTAAACCCTAAAGTACAAAATGAATCAAAATAGATAAATGATTTGGATCGTTTAGAATGTAACAAAATGTTAGATATAATATTATAATTGTTAATCCAAGACAATCGGTTTTCAATTTATAACAAATATTTTTTATATATGAAGTTATATTGAAAGAAAAAGATGTATATATGTATAGATAGCACAAGGCTTTCAGATATTCAATGAGATTCGTAGAAGGCTATGAAGTATCATTGTACGAATATATTGATAACACAAATGCACCAATAATAGTATTTGAATAGAGCAATCATACTTGCTGTTGCACTCTTTGATCCCATGGAGACATGTAAGTTCCCACAAACCAATCCCCAGCTTCAGGTCCATAAATTGGCACAATAATTGGATGTTTTGATTGATAACTTGTCATAGTAGTAATTATGATATCATGGTTGTTTTCGATATGCATATTTGTGAGAAATGATTCATTTTTTGTGAAAAATGATTCATTGTTTGTGGATATAATTGGATAACTACCAAACCTTAAGTGTCTGAAAACAATATCTTACCTTTAAATATATCGACAAACATGCAGCAAAGTAATACATAAATGACAAAGATTAAACAAGTTATTTACATGTATACTTTCCGAGGTTGACAACTTGGATCATCCATAAATGCAGCAAATTGCCATGTAGCTCTTAGTACTTCTTTTGGTACAGTATAACGAAACATCGCTACATCAGAGTAGCTTTTGAATGAATGTAATAAATCCTCTTGGCTAGCTTGTGGTATTATACAATAATTTACTGTAATTAATAAGTTTATTTTCAACAATACAATATATCTTATATTAAGTGAAAACTTATCTTATTAACTCTCAAAACTGTCTTTTATCAGGTAATTCTACACATTTTTCAACATAAGTATAAATGTAGAATATTTTTTATGATGGTATATAGTCTTAACAAAAGTATATAACACAAGGAATATTTCCAACTATAGTTTCCTTATGAAGGATTTAATATAAGTTAATACATTCGGATATTCATTGAAATTCTAAACAAAGTTGGCAAAGTATTACAGTCATATTTACCGCTTACCTTGAAAAAGAATTAGCAAAATACTTAAGGAAGTATAGAATTGAGGGAGTTTTAGATATCCTCTGCAGGAACATGTTGAAATAATCATAATGTAATCACACAAGCAGTTGTATTCCTCTCATGGAAGATGAATAAACACAACAGCCCATATACACTGAGTCTGTCTCTTCCCAGATTGTGTCAATTCGCTATCCAGATTTGCTTGAGAAAATTAATAAAAATAAATCCAAATCTTTGTAAGATCAAATTTCCTCATTCTGTTTATATCGGCCGTGTTCAACATTATATATAGACTGTTCTTTTTAGCTGTACTGCTGAACTGGTACAATAAGTTAGAGCGAGAAAAAATATAGTTGTCTCATTTTAACTTGTTGCACCAATCTAGCAGCGTGGTCAAAAAGAACAAATCACTTGATTGAAAAATGTCTGACCTGTCGTTGAGTTATATTATGATCTCAATTTATCATTTAAGATAGTGACAACTCGTAACGGAAATTTTGGAACTAATGAACAGGTCTAATTAATAATTAAAAGTTTAACCTATTAGCAGCAAACATATTTCAATACTAATTCTTCTTTTTATATAATTTCATACCTTATAAATACTCATTCCATTCAGATAATATCGAAGATTGCGCCTTGCTCTTTCCTCGAAACAGTCATGATGCTCAAATACATAGATGTAATACACGTTATTGAACAATCTTTACGCTGTCTAGTAAGTATATTAATGCAATTAATGTATGCTAGGTATCAGAAATGTCCAACCACTTATTAGATCTGGAGAAATTTGAAATTTTCGATTTTACGTGTATATTTCTACATACTCGCGTGCTCCATGATTACCTCGACATAACCATCTATTGAATGAACGAATGAGTGAATGGCTGCGTTCAGTAGAACAAAATAATCAGTGAGCGCTTAGTGATTATTGTCTGTGATTAGAGCATTCTTTTAGATTCTTTATAGACCCAGAAGTATTTACCAATCAGGAGCGAGAATCACTAAGCGCTCACTGATCACTTTGTTTCGCTGAACGCGGCCAATGATTACCTCGAAGCAGGTGAACTGTCAATATGATGGCGCTTCCATTGATATGTTTAAGGTTAGGAAAACTAAAAGTGATAGATTGTTTTAAAATTACATTAATTGTTACAAATAATTTTAACTCGATATCTCAAATAATTAGTTGGATCATTTTTTAAATTATCACGATTATATTCATGTATATATATATAAATAAAGACTATTTTTCTTTCATCCTTTCACTGATTCAAAATTATTTGCATAGGCGTTTGGACATTTGATTATCAGTAAAAATAATATATATATATATATATTATTTTTACTGATAATCAAATGTCCAAACGCCTCTGCAAATAATTTTGAATCAATGAAAGGATGAAAGAAAAATAGTCTTTACAAATGAACAAACAATTATATCTATCTAGGTTTCATTGATATTGGCTTAATGATATAAAGAATGACAGTCAATTATTCGACTAATTTATTGAAAAATATCCACGAGGATCTGGCTTTACCAGACAAAAGTAAAACCTTTTTGATAAAAGGACAATACGAGTACTGGCATTATGGTTGCGATGGTTTCAACGACAGGGTGTGTAATTATAGTTTGCAACAGTTGCAATAATCATGATTATATTTTATATTATATTGCAAAAAAGTTTAATTTAGTATGGATTATAATTATTCAGGGTTGGGGATGTGGATATAGAACACTGCAAACTATCTGTTCCTGGGTCATAAACAATGAGAACTTGAAAAAAACTGTTCCAAGTATTAACACAATACAAGAGACACTTGTTGCAGTAGAAGATAAAGATGAGACATTTATTGGATCAAGAGAATGGATAGGAAGTTTCGAAGTAAGCTCAAGTTCAATTTCCTTGAACATATATTGGATTTGGATAATAGGATTGCAAATATTCTTTTATAGGTGTCCGTTGTATTGAATCAACTGTATGATATTCTTAGCAAAATAATTCATGTCTCAAGCGGAAAGCAGCTGATAGATCAAGTAGATAATATCAAAAAACATTTTGAGCAATTTGGTAGTCCCATTATGATGGGTGGAGATACAGACTGCTCCAGTAAATGTATAGTAGGATTGCATGCTGGAAATAAAGGTGTATACTTGCTAATTGTAGATCCACATTTTGTTGGAAAAGCAAAAAGTGCAGGACAACTGAGGAACAGTTACTGGGTAAAGTGGCAAAACTTGAATGATTTTGCTGATAGTTCATTCTACAATCTATGCCTGCCACAGCTTAAGTCTCACGTACTGTGCAATAAATAAGATGTATTCTTATATTGATACGAATGTGTATAATATATTGCTTGTATTAAATATCTGATACAATGTGAAATCTGTTAAAAATTATATTTTTGTAAATTACCGATTCTTGTTATTTTGATATTAAAAAATATTGAAAGAAAGCGGAGGTAAATTCTTCACTCCATTCAACTATTCACATGTTAAGGGGATCCTGGACTTCCTGGAGCGACGACCGAACTCCAACGCGATACATAATGGAAATTCAGAATTACCATTATGTACATAATAGAAATTCGGAATTATTATTATGTCGTGACATAATATTAATTCCAGTATTCTTATTATGTCGGGACATAATAATAATTCCGAATTTCTATTATGTACATAATAATAAGTCTGAATTTCTATTATGTACATAATGAAAATTCAAAATTAGCATTAAGTACATAATGGAAATTCGGAATTATTATTATGTCACGGTATAATAAAAATTCGGAATTATTATGTCCCTACATAATAAGAATACTCGAATTAATATTATGTCACGACATAATAATAATTATTTTTGTACATTCTTATTATGTACTTATATAATTATAATTCAACGTTTATACCTTCGCATAATAGTAATTCGATGAATTATAATTATGTCGGGACATAGTAGAAATGCGGTATTTTTCTTATGTAGACACATAATCATAATTTGTCGAATTACTATTATGTCGTGACATAATAATATTTCAAAAGACTAAAACATAATTTTTATGTAGCCATTTTTATTTGGAACTTTTACATTATGCTGAATATCTTTTATGCCATGAAAAAGTAAAACGGCGTGCCATACAAAGCTTTTTCAACTGGTGCTACTATTCGAATGACTTGACAGATCGAATAAAATTTTACATGGGTTTATATCAGGGATGCCACTTTCCAATACAATTATAGTTTGACAGTTTCTAATGCCATATATGTGTTAGGTCGAGAACTTTTCAGACTGCCTATGTATATTGCGAAAATATACATTATGAAGACATATGGTATACATAATGCATATTATAGATCTTTAATATTCGCAATGTATATCGAAATATAGTCTATATATAGGGTGTTTGATAGCTGATCATGCAGATGAAAGTTGGAGATAGATTGGGTGTAGCCAAGAAGAAAAGTCATGTACCATAATGTCAAATTGCCAATAGTTATCGAGTTATTAATTAAAACATGTGAGCCAACGAGCGCGTAGAGAGCGGAGGGCGCAGTAAGCACGTAGACATTTGATACAGGCGGAGTCAGCGAGTGGCGATAGGCGAGCGCGCGTGGCGAGGGGCAACGTAAACGACAAGAGGCGAGCGCGCGCGACGAGGAGCGAGCGAGCGCGAACGACGAGGAGCGAGCGAGCTATAAGGAAAAAGCTATAAAGAAAAAGCTGCGTGCGACGTGCGATAAGGATGCAACATCGGAACATCTCCCACCACTTCTCCTTCTTAACTTCTCTCGCGCTGTACAGTACGCCCATATGCGCATGCGTATATGCCTATCATCGCTTTCGATTGTTTTACAGGCATATACGACATCGCCGGGGGACACCATACCTGCCTCTGAGTGTACACTCGTGAACTAAAAGGTATGTGCACCGATTTTTTGTTGACTTCGGAACGCGCTCCAACTTGAGAAGAAAGTCAACCACTGCTTCATACGTCAGCGCTGTCACTTATTACGAGAGCAGAAGGATGGCATATACGAGTGTCAAATAAGTAGTGATTGTGGCGTAGACACAAATGTCTTGGAGACTTTGAGTTATAATTGAAGAAATGAAGAAAACAAATAGTAATTGTGAAGAAAAGTGGCAAAAGGCTTCATAAAATTTGTAAAACAGCATATTAAAAGAGAATATTAATTGTCTAATAATATTTTAAGTGAAAAATATTTTTAAATTTGAGTGTAAGTTAAAAAAAAAAGTTATAAACTATAATTTCTTTAATGTTAATAATTTTATAGCTATAAATTTGCCATCGACGTTAAATGAATATGTATGTAATGCTATCATTTACATAGGTGGAAAATTATGTTATTGCGCTCATAAAAAATAAGCAGCAGACCAACTCGAGTGATATTTTTTTAACAAGATACTCATATCACTCAACTTGGTCTGCTGCTTACTTCTGCTGAACACAATAATATAATTCCTCACCTATGGAAATAATAACATTATATATATATTCATTCAACGTCGATGACAAATTTATTAACATTAAAGAAATTATGGTTTATAACTTTTTTAACTTACACTCAAATTTAAAAATATTTTTCACTTAAAATATTATTAGACAATTAATACACTCCTTTAATATATTGTTTTACAAATTTTATGAAGCCTTTTGCCACTTTTCTTCACAATTACTATTTGTTTTCTTCATTTCTTCAATTATAACTCAAAGTCTCCAAGACATTTGTGTCTACGCCACAATCACTACTTATTTGATACTCGTATATGCCATCCTTCTGCTCTCGTAATAAGTGACAGCGCTGACGTAGCAGTGACGTGAAGCAGTGGTTGACTTTCTCCTCAAGTTGGGGCGCGTTCCGAAGTCAACAAAAAATCGGTGCACATACCTTTTAGTTCACGAGTGTACGTCCATCGGACGTCCTATGTCCGAAGTTGTGACAAACGTTCTATGGACGTCTTTTGTAAAAAAAATGGACATATAACGGACGTCCAGTGGACATCCGTGTGCTGTCTGGGATATTTAGAATACAATTCCATAATATTGCTCATACTGTTTTCGTTGAGTTTCTTTCGGTGCATGTATTCTAAGACAAATTTGTATGTATTCAACATGCAAATAATATATTTGTAAAACTTGTTTTGTGTAACTTATATACAGGGTTGAGAAGTAACTCGTTACTTGTAATGAAGTTACAATTACAGTTAATGTTTTTCGGTAACTATAACTTAACTTCGTTCCGTTTTTTCATTTATAACTGTAACTTAACTTAGTTACATTTGTTTGATAACTAGTAACTAATTTAATAGTTACTTTATATTCATATTTCAAACTTAAATTTTTGGTAGATCAACACGATAATATGACGTGCGATGCTTGATATCCAATAAGTATACAGTTACTCTGGCTGCTTTATTCTGGCTGATTTAAAAAATTGTATAAAATAGCCAGTACCGAGTATATCACTTTTGGGATATTTTTTTATTAACCAGAGCGCTCATGCAAATCGTATCTGGTATACAATATTGTATATAGTTGTCAGTCCCGATAGATTGTTTCTGGGATATTTTTTATTAACCAGAATGCTCATGCAAATCGCATCTGGTGTACGGTATTGTATAAAATAGCCAGTACCGAATACATCGCTTCTGGGATATTTTGTTATTGACCAGAGCGCTCATGCAAATCGCATTTGGTGTACAGTATTGTATAAAATAATCAGTACCGAGCATATCGCATCCGGGATATTTTTTTATTAACCAAAGCGTTCATGCAAATCGTATTAGGTGTACAGTATTGTATAAAATAGCCAGTACCGAACATATCGTTTCTGGGATATTTTTTTATTAACACTAACAATAACTATATGATAAATAAAATTAGGTAAAAACTTTTTACCTAATTTTGCATTGATTATCCGCGTTATTGGATACGTAACGTCGTAACAGTTCCGTCGGACGATTATTTTCGTGTCGCTTACGTGCTGTGACCTGTACGAAGTCAACGCGCGACACTGATTCTTCACTGTCTCCACAATACATACATATAAGGTGTCCCATTTTAAAAGACCCACTCAAATATCTCAGAAATACTGCGTTAAATCAAAAAATGTTTCAGACAAAAGTTGTTTGGCTTGAAGGTGAACATAAGACAGCGATAGCATTTTGCTTATAGATGGCGCCATTTTCGAGATATTCACTGATCATCAATTTTCTTAAATGGAAATCCCAATTTTTTATTATATCAACTTTTCTACTAATTAATTTGAACAACTTTCGTTTGAAACATTTTTTATTAGCTTAATATTTATTGAGCTATTTAAGAAAAATTTGGTAAATTTTTAAAGATTTAACTTACGATATCTCGCTAACTATTCATCGAAAGGAAAAATACTATTAGACTTTTTTATTTTATTTACTATCAAGAATATATTACTATAATAGTGCCCTAACTTTTGTTAACTTATCGACCTTCGGAAATCTCAAAATTATTAAATTAACAAAAGTTAGGACACTATTATAGTAATATATTCTTGATAGTAAATAAAGTAAAAAAGTCTAATGATATTCTTTCTTTTGAGGAATAGTTAGCGAGATATCGTAAGTTAAAGGTTGAAAAAGTTAATTTTTCTTAAATATCTCAAAAAATATTAAGCAAATAAAAAAATGTTTTAGACAAAAGTTGTTCAAATTAATTAGTAGAAAAAGATGATATAATAAAAAATTGAGATTTCCATTTAAGAAAATTGGTTACCAGTGAATATCTCGAAAGTGGCGCCATCTATAAGCAAAAGCTTTCGCTGTCTTATGTCCCCCTTCAAGCCAAACAACTTTTATATGAAATATTTTTCGATTTAACGCAGTGTTTCTGAGATATTTGAATGGGTCCTTTAGAATGGGACACTCTGTATATGTCATCGTGTCAGTGTGTTCCGGGACACATAGTACCGCAGTGGTGCGATTCTTGAATTCGTTATTGGAGTTAATGTCACTTTTGTTATCGTTGCGCAACTTTTGTATACCGTAGAAAAGCTGCGCAACGATAACGAAACTGTCATTAACTCTAATAACGAGTTAAAGAATCGCGCCGCAGGAGCAATAGTGTGTATCGCCGAATATACCAACTCACACAATGTGTATCTGTGTAGAGACAGTGGAGAATCGCTGTTGCGAGTGCGTTTCGTGTCTCTAATATTCTTATCAGGCAGTCGTAGCAGCAATAAACATTTATTTTAGATTTTATCAGTTGGAAAGTTGTTGCTATGACTAGGAGATGCTTTGCCATTAAAATGCTACGTATAAAACACCAAACACGACATAAATCGCATAATTTTTAACTAAATAGGTATTCGATATTTGTATTATATATTTATTTATAAATTGTCCGATTTGTATCGTGTTTGGTGTCATTTTAATGGTAAAACATCTCATTATACCATTGCAATTATTTTCAAATCGATAACACGCGAAACACAAAAGATGTAATTTTCATTTCATAAGATATTTAAATTCGTGAGTTCATTGCTACGGAGAGATTCCCGATGTCGTGAAAGTGAGAGCGAGAACAAATAAAGAGCAAGCGAGATGTCATTATGAAAAGCGATACGTAAATAGATCGTCGCGAGACTTCGGCGAGACTCTCACACTTTCGCACGCACGCACGCACGCACGTGCACAGGGGTATAAAGTACGACCATGCAACCTCCACGTGGTACATCCTGGATAATACTAAGGGCAAGAGCACAGGCTTTTGCATAACATATAATACATAACACATAAGAGAATAAATCAATTAGTTTTCTTCATTTCTCTCCTCAGGACAGAAATGAAGAACTCTGATTGGTTGATTCTCTTATGCGTTGTGTATTATGCGTTATGCAGAAGTCTGTGCTCTGGCCCTAATGCTGGCGGTACCGTAAATTCTAAAGTTCATAATTCAGATAATTCTCAACAGAAATAGATCATCAAGTAGTATTTTGGAAACGTCTCGCTGTTATCTTTAACACTGTTTATCTTTAACACTGTGTAATAAAAAATGGGGTGCTCCATTTAAAAAAATCATATTAGCCTTGACCTCGCCTTGACCCCTCCATTCAAGGTCAAACGGATATGATCAATAAAACTTTTAAAACCCTACAACTTTGGTTGGAAACATTTTTCTCAGAAACGTTTCGTTTTCGAGATATTTGACCGTTTCCAGACTTTTCTAACACCCTGTATAATAATTATTGATACAGATGGTAATTTCCATGCTGGCCGCCCGAATACTTTTCGATAGAAAATGACAGTGTATTTTTACTCTCTGGCACGTAGCAAAATAGAAACAAAATAGTTTAATAGTAAACGTGGCCCGGAACACTTTCGTTCTCCCCGAAAATTATGCACATACCACCACACTCAGACAGATTATAATTGTTTTCGGCAGTCTCAGCGCTTTGTGCCAAGAAATGACAGTGCATTTTCACTCTCTGGTATGTGGTAAAATAGGAAGAAAATAGTCCAACGTCCAAACCTCAAACGTCGCCCTCGAACAACGTTAGAAACAGTTGACATCTGATCCTCATTGCATATTTATGTAGCAATAATGTATTATGTGCCGCATTAATTTACAGTCAGGAAGAAAACAGTTACGACAAAACGCTGAAGAGCGTGACTGGATAAAAGAAGAGGAAAATAAGAAAAAAAGACAATGGTGCCTGTGGACGAAAGTTTCTATAAATAGTTGATGTTAATGTACATGGTAGCAGTCGCATCGAGAATATCGGTACATTCTTGTCTATCGATAGATTTCACGAGTATCTTTATTCCGAACATTCGTTCAACAGCAACCAGTATTCAAGCCAATTTTAAAGTGCGTGCTTGCTGCTTTCAGGACGTGATACGAGATAATATGACGTAATAATGGGATCACCCTGAAATTCTAATCTGACGAGTTCAAAACGTGCAAAAAAGCAACGCATTTGCGAATCGCATGCATATTAGATATTAGTATATTTCTTTCATGCGGGAGAAGACGGTACGTAGAATAAAATTGTAGATTCACTCAACATCCATTTTGATCGTTGTATTTGTTTTTGTTCGAAGGAGGAAATAGGAAACATTTTGTACTACGTCTTCTGTACGAAGAGGTCTGTTAGTGGGACGGAAATATGGAGGGCAGAAGATATAACCCATACGCGAAAGTTCCTCCAGATGAAGAAATTGTGATTTCCGGTATTGCCAGTCGATTTCCTGATACAGATAATATGAAAGAATTTCAAGAAAATCTGTTGAACAAGGTGGACTTCGGTTCGGCTGACAATCGATAATGGAGCAACGGTAACGTACAGCTACCATTCAAATTACGAAAATACTAAGGAAATAGCAAAAAAGAAAAAAATAGTTAAAATTTGGAAGATTATATTCTTAGTACAGAAAATTAATGTTTGAAATTTTTATAGTCCATTATGACATGCCAACTCGATCGGGAAAGATTAATAACGCAGACAACTTCGACGCACAATACTTCGATGTTTCACCTGAGGAAGCGCATGTCACCGATCTCATGTGTAGGATGTTGTTCGAGCACACTTACGAAGTGATTATTACGACGCTGGAGTAAATCTCAAAGAATTGTGAGGAACAAAAATTGGTGTCTTCGTAGGATCATGTTACTCTGAAACGACCAATGAGATTTTCTACTACAAGACTCAGGTACAATACCTCATGATATTAGAGATATGAAAGAAGTTTTGAAACGGCCGAATATTGCGAAAAATGAACCTTTTCGAGTAATAATATTACAAAAATTTTGTGAGGTAATAATATTACAAGTAAACATTGTTTTGTTTTATGTGGACTTAAACATATTTTTCTTGAAATATATTATCACGGTAATTGGCTTTGTTTCCGAATTATTTGATTGTGCCGAGACTTATTACATATTCAATATAGAGATATGATAAGAACGTTGCAAACGTTAAACATTAGATAGCGTCACACAATTAGACAGTTAAGGAATTAGACAAAAAAGACAGTTAATTCACCTTGACAATCATATTATTTGAAACTTTTCTTTGTATCATAACAAATAAAAAGTGTATTTTACATATGCATAAGCACGAGCATATACAATAGAATATCTAAGAAAAGAAAAATAAAGTAAAAGATAAAAATTAACATGAATATAATTTACTTTCAATTAGGTAGTCGGATATCCAATTATTGGCTGCGGTAAATATTGGCTGGCGAACAGCATTTCTCGCTGGCTCGGCCTTACCGCACCATCTTATGCCATAGACACAGCCTGCAGTTCAAGTCACTACGCTATTGCAGAAGCTTACAGAATGATACGAAGAATGCGATGCAGCTATCGTGGGTAGTTCTCTCCGTTGAAGGTTATTGCAAGCCTTTCGATGTGAGCGGTAATGGTTACATGCGTAGTGAAGCGATTACAGTAGTATACCTGCAGAAAGTAAAAAACGCGAAACGAATCTACGCTACTTTAGTCTACTCTAAAACCAATTGCGATGGTTGGAAGCCAGAGAGGATTACGTTTCCTTCATTGAGCGTACAAAAGAAATTATTAGAAGACTTTTACGATGATTGCGGCATTACACCCGAAAAGCTATCCTACGTAGAAGTCCATGGCACTGGTACTTTAGCAGGAGATCCGACAGAAATTAATGCCATCGATCAGGTTTAATGTTCAAAGAGAATTACTCCTTTGTTGGTGGGCTCGGTGAAGTAAAATCTTGGACATTCGGAACCTACCAGCCCAGGTAGCAGACTGACGTCAAATGACGTACTAATGACGTTAACTAACGTCATTAAGATGTCATTAGTACGTCATTTGATGTCAGTCTGCTACCAGGGAGTAGTGGTCTTTGTCAAGTAGCCAAAGTATGTATTTTAATTCCTTAACTGACGGAGATGCAAGATTGCGTTCGCTAAAAATAATCCAAATTAGTCAAGGATAATCATATAATAATATAATAAGTTGTTGCAAATGAAATGGTTCTTGAATTTTGAATTTAAATTTTCATTCGACATATTTTATATATATCTTGTCAATCGAAATAGTGTCCATTTACCTCGATATACTTTCCCCAATGCGATACAACCGTATCAATGCTTTTCACGTAGGAATTGGAAAAGCAAGATGCAAGAAATTCGTCGGACGCACTTTTCACGCCACTTCCTGTTTGAAATACTTTTTCACTTAAAAAGCTATCCACATGTTTAGACAAGTGGTAATCTGTTAGGGAAAGGTCAGGAGAATAATGAGAGTGAGGGAAAGTTTCAGATTTGTAAACTGTTAACATTTTTACAGTTCCTTTTGCAACATTTAGTCTAGCATTATCATGGAATAATAACATATCATGTCTATTTAATAAGACCGACTATTTACTATGCAATTTTCCCATCAAAATGTCAATTTTTTGGCAGTATTTATCTACATTTATATTTTCACCTTTTTTTAGAAACGAAAAATGCATAATATCCTTAGCATGTCATCACAGATACCAAAATGTTATGTAGATGAAGGCTCGGTTTCGGCATGTATTTCGGAGCTTGATCAGCATCTAACCATTTTATTTTCTCCATAGCCTTTAGATATCGAGAAACAGTCGAATAATGAATGCTAATGCTGTATGTAATATCTTGAACTGTTAAATGTGAGTCTGCTTCAAACATGTTTTACAAAATATTGTCCTCAACTTGATGGCGAATGGCCACGAGAAAAATTGTCGAGGTTTTTATCACCAGACCAAAACTTTTCAAACTAATGTCTAGTGGTGCGAACACATACACCCTTACGAATACGGAAAAGAACTTAAATATTGGGTTTACACTCGATTTTGAGAGTTTGAGTATACAGGATGTCTCATAACTAATGTTGCAGAGTTCGTGGAGACATAGAGCGGGTTAAAGCAAACATAAAAGTCCTATACTGTTTTATAATATTTATGATGATTGTCGCGTTATTAACGGCAGAAATCTAAGGAGTGGAAGCGCGCTGACATTAATGATTGGAGAAGTGCGCTGGTAACAATGTTCCACAACAATTATTTACACCAATAGAAAAAAAACAGAAAAAAAATTTAAATAAACTAAAACAAAACTTATCGTTGAAATACTACATAATTATAATAGTGAATAGTGTAGAAGTGTAGTAGAATAATAGTGAGATAAATAATAAATATGGCATGTATTAAAAGTGTAAATATATATTTTTCTATAATATTACATTGATGAATAAATATGCATACATATGTTAGTCAGTTTCCATTTTATTAACTAATGTCATTATATAGAATTTACCGTTACACGGTAAAAGTACATTTACTATATATTTTTAGTATGCATTATGTTATTTTAATTCACCGAATATACAGATTTAAACAATGTTCAGATTGTGAGACATAAGCGGTTAAAGAAACATAAAGTCCTATACTGTTTTAATATTTATGATGATTGTCGCGTTATTAAGGCAGAAATCTAAGGAGTGGAAGCGCGCTGACATTAATGATTGGAGAAGTGCGCTGGTAACAATGTTCCACAACAATTATTTACACCAATAGAAAAAAAACAGAAAAAAAATTTAAATAAACTAAAACAAAACTTATCGTTGAAATACTACATAATTATAATAGTGAATAGTGTAGAAGTGTAGTAGAATAATAGTGAGATAAATAATAAATATGGCATGTATTAAAAGTGTAAATATATATTTTTCTATAATATTACATTGATGAATAAATATGCATACATATGTTAGTCAGTTTCCATTTTATTAACTAATGTCATTATATAGAATTTACCGTTACACGGTAAAAGTACATTTACTATATATTTTTAGTATGCATTATGTTATTTTAATTCACCTAATAGCCATAAACAATTTATTAACAAAATTGTTAACAAATTATTTGGTAACAAATTTTTTTCATTGTATTACTCATTATTATTATTAATAAGTATTTGAAACGAATGTTTTCTTTCGGAATATAGTCTGCCAAGTGGTGTAATTTATTCATCAAATTGCATATTCAGCTTATTGTTGTAAGCTTTAGTGTAACAATTGCTTTAAATTTAAACATAAGTACAATGTTACCTTCAACTGGAAAATTAACTTTAGGGTTATTCTCAACTTGAGCAATTGTTTAAAGGGATTCTGGAGCCGTCTGTTTTACCGACACATTGATTTCAATCTTTTCAAACACTATTCTTTTTATTAGCTGCACAGATTGAAAAATCCTTTTGCACAAATAAAGTACTTATAAAAACGAAGTCTGAAACAAAGAGTTTTATGTAAAATTCAATGAAAAATTAAAAAATTACAGTTTCGTTATCATGTTCTGCGTCAGCTCGTAACTTTACTTATTAAGGGGATCCTGGGCCCGTCTGTTTTACCGACACATTGATTTCAATCTTTTCAAACACTAATCTTTTATTAGCTGTACAGATTGAAAAATCCTTTTGCACAATGAAAGTACTTATAATAACAAGATCCGGAAGACAAAGTTTTATGTAAAATTTAATGAAAAATTAAAAAATTACAGTTTTGTTATCATGTTCTGTGTCAGCTCGTAACTTTATTTATTAATTACTATATAATAGTTTTGCAATTTATCCACGCAAAATTGCTTCCGAACTAGCCATAATATAAAAGAATAATACTGAAGTAACAGAAATGAGCTTAGAAGTCAGTGTAAAAAGATCAGTGTTTGAAAAAAAAATGTATTGCATGCGGAATTGTGTTTGCTACATTTTGGGGTAAAACAGAACAATAGATTAGTTCCGCATAATCATGATCGATGGAGGCAGACACAATCGTACTATCCTTATCTGTTTCATGTGTGGAGTAATGTTATGATAAGGAAACTGTAATTGTTAAATTTTTCATTGAATTTTATATAAAACTTTGTCTTCCCACCTTCGTTACTATAAGTACTTTTATTGTGCAAAAGGATTTCTTAATCTGTACAGCTGATAAAAATATTAGTATTTGAAATTCTCTTGTATCTTTGTTCCCTCGATTGCATTATTAGGCTGCATTCACAATCAGTCGGAAGACGTCATCGTTTGTCGTACATATCAATCGCAACCTCACAACTGATAACCGACATATAAAAATTAAGATTGTGCACATGTGTACGATACATATATAATATATTGTATAATATATTTTATAACATATCACATATTTATATACATATATAATATACAGGGTGTCCCATTTTAATGTCCCACCCTAAATAACTCTTCAGTATTGAAGTTTCAAGAAAAATGATCTAAATATAGTACCACTTTTTCTTCCGACAAATAGTTAACGAGATACTGTAAGTTACATATTGAAAATGTTATCAAGTTTTCCTCAAATATCTGAAAAAATATTAGACAAATAAAAAAATGTTTTAGACAAAAATTATTCAAATTAACTAGTAGAAAAAAACAGCGTAATAAAAAATAAGGGTTCTCATATATATATATATAAATAATATATATATATATATATACATATATTATTATATATATATACATATATATATATATATATATAAATAGAGGTCAAGGTTAAAGTCAAGGTTATCATAAGGTAGCTCACTTAAATTCCTACAACTTTTATTTAAATCATTTTCCTTGAAACTTCAATACTGAAGAGTTATTAGGGGTGGACATTAAAATGGGACACCCTGTATAAAGAAAAATATATGGCAATGTCTGAATTTTATAATAAATAATTAGAACGTTTATTCTTGTTATTTTTTATATAATAAAATAGATATTATTGTATATGTGTGCATTATATTTTTGTCCTATAAAGAATAATAAAAATATTAAAAATATTATAGAAATATTATAAAATATAGTAATACATAATATTATAAAAAAAAGTTAGCACTGCGAAAACTCGAACACTCTTTGGACGTAGACGACAAAATACTATAGCGGACGCCATAGCTTCTGCAGTTACTGCGCTTCACGCTTATTGATTCCAAATTACTACACTTAACATGTAGTTGTTTGTTTAATTGCAAATTTCTCGTAAACGAAGGCCCATGCACGCAAACTCTTTTAGGGTTTTTATGTACTTAACCTCCCCATTCGAATGAAATATGACTCATTCAATTATCGATTTTACATGTCTTGCCATCTCCTTGTAAGATTATGTGCGATTAATTTTAACGTTTTCAAGGTATTGATATTGATAGCGATAGAAACTGGCATTATTCCATCAACCATACATTATGAAACATCGCGAAAGGAACTTACTCCTATAGTTGAAAGTAGAATAAAGGTCGTCTCTGAACCTATTTCCTGAAACGGTGGCTATATTGGCATTAGTTCTTTCGGATTCGGTGGTACAAAC